TTTTTTTTTTTTTTTTTTTTTTTTTTTTTTTTTTTTTTTTTTTTTTTTTTTTTTTTTTTTTTTTTTTTTTTTTTTTTTTTTTTTTATTTCTTATTAATATTGGTAATAAGCCTATACTATACTATACGTATTAACATGATTTTGGTAATCCCATATAAATATTATGTTGTTAGAATTAATGTTTCTCCGTGAGTCGTGAGGGTACTCGTGAAAATAAATAATAATCAGATAATTCAGAATACTTGATAATAATAATGATAGACATGACATGATCGTCTTGATGATCAGCCGATGGCCATCGATACAAATTAAATGACCATTCGACAGGTCCGCGATATCATAATCATACATTTTATATGACAATTAATGTGACATTATAATCAGTTTCGTCATTCTTGATTAGCCGTGGTCAGTGGTAGGGCTACACTTACACTCTTTCAGTCAGTCAGTCTTTCTTTACACTGACGACTGTGACACTGGCAAGTGCTACATGTAGGTAACTTGCATAACAATTAACATAGTAGAGTGAATTATGTATACTATACATATTCTTATACAGTTAATACAGTTGGCCTAATACTCTAATATTAATAACAAAGTGGAAGTTTACACCGCGGCGGTGTACGTAGCGAAACCATCAGCTTTGGCCTGGGTAAACCGCGGCGGTGTACCTAGCCAAATAGTGGGCTTTGGCCTGGGTACACCGCAGCAAAATGTACCATTGGCCCTGTTTTAAGATATGCCTGTTGTAGAAGATCTTGTGTGGTCAAGTGATAGAGTGGACGCTTGGTGATATTATATTTTGAGATCAATTCCCAGTAGGGGATCGAGCTTTTTTTTTTCTTCCCATTTTAATTAAAAATATTTTACATTTAAATTATCATGTTCATTTGCAACAGTAGTTTCATGAGAATTTTTTTAATATTTTGTAGCAATTTAAAAAATTTAAATATGTTGTATTCAGATTATTAAGTGTCTCAACAAGTTGTGCTGGCCTTTGACTTTGAAAATACCGGTAATATTAGTAATAAGTTAAAAAAAGTTTCTGAAAGCGCATGTATAGTGTATGTAACATGTATAAGAGAAACATTTTGAATGCTAAGTGATATTTTATTGTATTTCAACATTCTTGTTGTAGTTGAATATTTACATTTTACCTTTACGAACACCCAAATAAAATACCAGTATATCAATAATATCATATGAATATTAATGTGCATGGTCGTATTTCAACCATCTTGCTTTCACTATGCATTGGCAAAATGTACACACAATATGTGGGGGTGAGTTATGGGCAGAGGCTTAACCAAAAAGGGGGGCCTACACAAATCACGGCTCTGGATAGGGGTTATCCACAAAGGACGTCCGCACAACAAACTTACCTTTTGCATCCCCCAACCCGGAGAGGGGGGGGGGGGGGGCTGATGCCCGCGGGCATTTTTACTTTTGCCAATGTAAAACTAATCAAAGGATATTTAATTATTGTTAAAAGACTTTCAAAAAAGGGTGAGTTATGGGCAGAGGCTTAACCAAAAAGGGGGGCCTACACCAACCACGGCTCTGGATAGGGGTTATCCACAAAGGACGTCCGCACAACAAACTTACCTTTTGCACCCCCCAACCCGGAGAGGGGGGGGGGGGGTGCTGATGTCCGCCGGCATTTTTACTATTGCCAATGTAAAACTAATCCAATGATATTTAATTATTGTTAAAAGACTTTCAAAAACCACTGCAGTGTTTCGTATTGATCATCATACTGTTGTTTTGTGTTGTCAATCGTTTGATATCACAATGACAATGCCTTGGACAACTTTAACTTCACGACTTCATGATCAATTTATGTGATTCTCTTCCCGTAATGTATTTGTGGCGTAATTATATCTTGGTGCTAACAAAAGAGATACACTGGCTTCCCATTCATGTTTACACCATGCCCCGAGGGATCACATACAATGTTATAATTAAAATGCCTCCCCCACACCAAAAAAAAACCCCATCACCAGTGGGGCAAGGGGGGGGGGGAATAATTTGAAATTAGCTACCCTTTTTATGCCTATTAATATTAAGCTGCACAATCATAGGATAAAACTTACTACAATTAATAAATATATTTGCATTTCAATATATGGGGGAAATAAAGTTGTTAACTTTAAAAATAAATCATGGTTTAACATTACAACCCCAGCCCCCTCCCTTCCAATAAATAATAAATGCTCGACAAGGACTTTGCCACATAAGCGTGGAACTACTCAATATCTTCCTCCCAAGGTACTAAACAATTTTTAAATAAATAGTTTTCAGTTTTAACAAGAGTATAACATTAAATCTACAAGTACCGGTTAGGAGAAAAAGTTCAGACTCGCAAAGACCATGGTTTTACTACATTAAACCGCTGCCGTGTACGGAGGCCACAGACAATGATTTAGCTAGGTACACCACCGTGGTGTAAGCAGGCCAAAGTCAATAGTTTTGCTTGGTACACTGCCATGGTGTATGTAGTGCCGGCCTATTAGTAATTAGCCTTAGTAGTTCGAAGTAGGCCTAAAAGTTGGGCATTGCGAAGGGAGGGGGATGGGGGGATCTGAAGGAGGCAACTGCCCTGGATGCCCTCTTCTGCTATTTCATGCAAAATATGTGTAGTCGTAGGCCTTATTTAATATATATAATTACATTTATATATAATATATTGTTTTACTTTTAGCCAATATGAGAACTGGTAACTGCCTATGCATGCCAATGTTGAAATTTAATCATAACAATGACGAATCATAGGCAATATTACTTTATAATTTATATATGGCTTTAGTTTGGGTATAGTATAGTTACAGTCTCTATTAATCAAATTAATATTGTTCGTTGCTGAATAAATAAATTCATAAATAAATAATTGGATAAATAAATAGTATTTACTATTTATAGTTAGTAATTTTAAGTTTAAATGACAAAGTAAGCAACTTAACTTCTGACATTAAACTTGAAAATGCTGGAAAAGAGACAAGAGGCAGTGGTTTTGGGGAAAAGTTATTCAATTCTTGAGGAATTAATTTTAAATTTTTGGATTAGCATTAGGTTATCAATAATAAGATATATATGAATCAAATATGAAGTGCTCATTTTTAGTAACTTAAATGCATATTTTCTGAATTTTAAATGAATACATTTTTTATTAAAATTAAACTAGACTGTTGAAGACTATGTCGGGATCTGGGAAACAGCCAGCCAAAAATGAGGAAAATTTTAGTAAAGTCAAAGAAAAGATGCAGAAATTCTTTGGATTTGGAAAAACTTCTGCACCTCATACTGTTCCCAAAGCCACAGCAAGGGAAGTGGTTTTTACGCATGAAATTCTTAAGGTAACATTGATCGCATTACTAAAACATGATATTAACATTTTGACATATTTCAAAAAATTGCAATACATATATATAGATATTATTTTTTTAAATATATTTTTGGTGTTTAAAATGTAAATAATATAAAAATATTTTCTTTCATGTCTTCATGTAAAAAAGGCCTAACAAAACGGGACAGTGAACATCATCACTGTTTTCTCTACATTATTGCTAATAACTTGTAGTTGAGAGATTGTCAACACTTTTTTTCTAAAGAGCTTTTGTTCTTTTGTGGATTACTTCTTATAAAGATCAATATTCTAAGGGTACGAGATGACTCTCTTAGGACCCCGGCCGTGAAACATGGCCAAGTAGTCCCTGAGGACTCCGGCCATGCAACTCGGTCATGAATAAAATTGGTTGGAAACAGCTTTTCTTCCTCCCCGGAGATGGCTTTGCGTTACCACCTCCACCGCCCGGGGGTCGTCCGTTTTCCCCGTGTGGGACGGCTTTACTTCCTCCCCGGAGATGGCGTTGCGTTGCCACCTCCACCGCCCGGGAGCTGTACGTTTTCCCTTTTTGTAAGACGGCTTTTCCTCCTCTCCGGGAGAAGTATGCTGGCCTACTAACTCCCACCACCCCGGGAGTCCTGAGCCAAGTTAAGGGGTTCCCTAAGAAATGTTTCCCTCCGGGGAGGCGTTGCCTTGCCTCAGCCCGCATTTTCCCGGAAGCTGTTCGGACCGGACATAGCGGCTTTAACTTCCTCTCCGGGTTAGGCGTTGCATTGCCTCGACCCACCGCTCTGGGAGCTGTTCGGACTGGACATGTTGGGACGAAACGGTCGCCTAGGGGCGGCTTTCTCAGGGCCACGTCTTTTTAATCATTGGCAAGGGTTTAGGGCCCACTACCTCATACCCATAACCGGCAACACGTAATCATGTTAGCGCTTCCTTCCGTTGCGTTAGAAGTCATGCGTTTTGCAAAATAGATAGATAAATAAATAAAAGAAAATAAAAGAGTATGGGGTTTGAGCAAAATCTCTTCCTCCCAGTGAAAGGAGGCTTTGCGTCACCCCCTCCCCTAGCTCATTGGGTCTTTCGATAGGGACAGTGTGATCTTTAGCTTCAGGGAGCACGCCCTATACTAGTCTGTTACGCCACAAAGAGGCAGATCACGTGTACACCACTCGAGCAAAGTGGTGCTGGTTTCCCCCAGCAAGAGCCGACCGGGGCGGAAACCAAACAGTGTGGATTACTTCTAAAAAAGTTCTGCCCTTATCAGGATATCCAGGTGGAAAATAAACATGTTGCTGTGGAGTCTGCTAATGTACTAGCACAGCATCTATCCTGCATGTTACCTAAATTTTGAACAAGATAAATGGGATTTGGCAGTCCATGAGTTATACTGTTCTGTTTATAAAGTAATTTTATAATTTTTTTTTAGGTTGGCTTTGTTTATTTTAGGTTGGCTTGTAATAATTATAACATGCATTAGGGTGGATGCAAAAGCTTTCAGTGATTTCTTATTTTCAGGAAATTGGACCAGAAAGCCCAGCGAATAACAGAATCCGCACCATTCGTGAACTATGTGAAGTAGTGAAACACAAGCAGCTTGAAGATGTAATTATAAGAAAATTCTTATTAAACATGAACTGACTAATCAGTATAAAAAAAAACAATTTTATTATTGTAAGAATAATTTCAAAGAATTATAGCTTATGTTCATAAATGCAAAGTCTACATTATAACTTTTAACTTTAAAATGTAACTGAAGTTTAGATACCTAAGACCTTTCCTTTAAATGGTCATTATGAACTTTAGAATATGTCCACTTTTTATGAGTGACTTTAAAAAAATTTGAAAAAACAATAACTTAAAAAATAATTTTTTTACTTTCATAAATCGCCATAAAGGATGGCAAAAAATAAATATATCCTTAGAACGTTTGATTTTTTTTTTTCTCAGATAATTTTTGATAATTTGTTTAATCTTCATATTTCCTTTGCTTTATTACATTGTATTTGAAGACAAAGTTTAAGTTATGTTCAACACAGACATTATCTATAGCAAGTTTAAAAAGACTTTACTAAAATAGAATTCCCTAAAAACTGTTGCTTTTTTATTCAATGAAAATAAGCAATGATTAGTAATATTAAGTCAGCAGTTACCAGTTTGGTGTGTATTTTAAACTGTTTAACTTGATCATCGAGTCTGGCAACAGTATAATAGGTTACACAAGAAATTCATTAATTTGTGTGCATATGTCTCACATTTTGACTGAAATTAATACTTAGCTTGACTATCACTATTTCCTGCTTTTAAACTTTCTTAAAGAACAATTACTTTCCTTCTAGAATGCTGTTGAAGCTCTATGGGGTCAAATCAGTGACCTACTTAATACTCACGTTCTGCCAGAAAACCGTCAGTTGGCACTTCATTTTCTTCTTTGTTTGTTGGAAGGACAGGTGAGTGATTCATCTGATGATATGAGAATACTTTTTTTAATAATCATGTCACTAATTACAATACTAAATTAATTATTCATTGTTACCGATACATGGCATCTATGGCCATAGAACTGTACTTTTTTAAAGACATTGCATTAGGTTTGCTATTCATCTGTTACATTTTGCATCTTATCATCAGTGTGAAAAATTGGACTATATTTGAAACAGATCAGCTATAATCAACATATTTTTCAATTCATTGTAACTTTTATGTTGTTTTTCATGGAAAATTAATTAGCTGTAATGACTAATGTAATGACTAATCTAATGACTAATGTAATGACTAATGATCCAAAAAATTATGGATAATAATTTGTAATCCTTGTTAAAATCAAACTCAGATTAACTAAAATGGCAAAAAATAAAATAATAGTAACATTACTATTCTCTTAGTTTTTTTCTTCCCCTTAACGATTTACCTGTGCCTTATTTTTAAAGTATTGATAAATGAATTCTTTTACTTCCTATTATCTTGGTTTTGGGAAACCCAACTTCCCGCAATAACTTAGCATGGCAACTCAAAACAATTTTTTTGTTCATTTGTCCTGTTTGCTGAGGAAGTCTCTTAGCTGAATGGTTTTTCTTTAATTATCCTGTCTTTATATTTCAAGCTTCCACACTACCTTGTTTCAATATTTCCTTGACAAAGCTTGAACTCAGTCCTTCATTTATTACCTTTGCCTAAGCATAATAATAATTTTATTATGGAAATATTGGACGCATAGGTCATCATTCAGCTGTGAGTAGTGTTTGCAAAAGTTTAGTCATATCATACCATGTACCATGACAGCAAGACATCAAGCAATAATGAATGTCAGATTGCCGCCTGACTTCTGATAGACAACCAAAAGCCTAAATCACTTTCGCCCAAAATAAAAAAAATCAACCGATAGTTAACTTTTCTGTTGCATCCTCAACGGAAATTAGGCAAAAAATTATATGGCAACTTTCGGCGATGAAACTGAAACTGAAATTCATTCTGCCTCTACACTGTTACAATAAACAAAACATGTCCTCCATTTCCCACGCTATAGGCATAATTGGGTTCTATATATAAAAATGTCATGTTTACAAATCTTTTCCAAATATTGAATGCACATGTTCATTTACTCTACATTATATTTTCTAATAACTTTCTTTAAAATCTTAGTTGTCCTACATGACTATTGTCAGAGGACATTTCTTCAGAGTCATTGAAGGCTTAACAGAAAAATCAGATATCCGTCTCAGGTATGTAGAGATTGATCATGTATCCATCATATGTAAGTAGAGATCTATTAGATATCTGTTACAGGTAAGTAGAGATCAATCAGATATCCACCATAGGTAAGTAGAGATCCATCAGATATGTCACTGGTAAGAAGAGATATTGAGAAAATGAGCTTCTCCTTAAGATTGATAACTATTTCAGTGGTTCTTGTCGGCATCTGTGGGGTAGAAAGAATGCACTGAGTAAAACTTCAGATAACTCTGGGATATACTATCTAACCAAACCAAAAATAATTTGCTGGAGTTTAAAGGTGTATCATAGGGCCAAACATATTATGCTGCAATTTATAGAAAAAATGTTAAGCAACCTAGAAAAAATAATTTTAAGCACATTAAATAATTCTCTTAGTTTCATAGTTCTATATATTTTTTGCTCCTAGTGCCATAATTCTGTAGATTTGTTGTATGTTCCAGGCTGGAGCTGTTCAAAACCCTGAGTGAATGTGGCAAAAACTTGTTGTATTTTGAAGACAAAATTGGTGAGGATAATGCAAACTATTGATTGGCTGAATTATTTTAGAAATACATTTAATGTTTAATACCTAAGTCTAAGTGGAGGTAATTCAGGATAAACTATGGGAAGAACAAGTATTAAATCCTCAAGTTAATTTAATCTAATATTGAAACAATTTTTCTTTTAGTTAAGCAAAACTATTTCCATCCCTAGCGGTTTATAGGTTTGTAACAGTTTAAAGATGTTAAAACTTTCAGGTGGCTTCTTGCTGCACTTGATGCCGGATGTACTGAGTGCAGGACTTGTTGTGTCATTCCTACCTATCATTCTAAATGTTATCAAATACAATGCTGCCTACCTGGATGAGGATGTCATGTCAGGACTTGTACAGTGAGTGGGGAACAAAAATGTGTGGGATATTATAGTGTGGGATTGTCAGGACTTGTACAGTGAGTGGGGAACAAAAATGTGTGTGTTATTATAGTGTGGGATTGTCAGGACTTGTACAGTGAGTAGAGTAAAATGTGTGTGTTATTATAGTGTGTCATCTGTTCATTTAGCCACCTCGTTTATTTTCCATTGTTGTACATATCTAAGCTATTTCAATCATATGTGTGCTACCTTTCTATTGTAATCTTGTTATCTTTGTACCAGAACCCAAGCAATAAATGAGAATGTATCAATATTGTTACTTTCATACCCATTAGTTCTCGATGCTCAGGAGTTATAACTGTAAAGTTACATCTGTTGTTCTCATTATGTATTTTATTGCTGGACATTTGCTAAATTTTTAAATACCTGATTTTAATGGCAAACTTCTTTCTTAAGTTTATAATTTTAATATTTAACTGCTGTATTCTTGGTGTTGCTAGTTAATATATCAAATGAAATGTGATGTAGCTCCTTTGTTGATAGTTTTTTAAAAAAAATTGATGTTTTAAATATTATTTGCAGGCAGACTTGCATGATTCCAAACAAAACTCTTTTAGATGAAGAAATAACTGTAAGTACCATTATGGAGGGTGAATCACATTTTTTTTTTTCTAGTTCAAATCTTTAATTTGTAAATTTAGTCAGCTTAATGTTCGACTATTCTAGATAATTAAGAAACAACTCCTGATTAGAAATTCTTCATTTATAACTCTTTCAACAACAAGGAGTGATGTACACTTTATTGCATTGATGCTTCTCAAAATAGGGGAAAGTATGACACGTTTGACTATATTATTCCTTTTAAGATTATCTTGTCTGAAATCTTTGTTAATCATGAGACTTGGAGTGTTGGTGAGGAAAATGAGAAAACAGAATTTTAACATTTTGTTTTTCAAATAGTACGTTGCATTTTCCATTTTATGCTAAGGGTGCAGTATTCATATTTTAATTGACTATTATCTCAGTGTGCACAACAACTTGTCACAAAAAATTAAATGACTACATGAGTGTTGGTTAAATGACTAAATGAGTCTTGGTTAAACTCTCCAGAAATGTCTTCAAGTGCTGGATGCTGTCATATGCTACAGTTACCTCCCCTCTACATCTCTGTATTACTTTGTTGCTGCTCTCTGTCATACTGTAGACAAAGCCCCATACAGTGAGAAATCCTGGGAAGTGAGTTTTCTCATATCTCTGTTGCTTAAGTTTTATCATATTTTTATAATTATTGTCTATTTTGCTAACAAATATTTTGTTGTCATATATTTAAGCCACCATGGGTTGTTGTTTAAAGATGAAATAGCCTTCATTAAGAAAAAGTTCATCCTCATAATTTGTGCTCTGAATCATTTATGCATTCATTTTTACCCATCAAAACAAGTTTATTTAAAAAATATTTTATTTCTTAGAAGTTAAAAGTGCAGTAAATCGTCAAATCTAGTGTTTATGTTGTTTCAGCTAATGAGAAAACTCCTTGGAACTTACTTAGGACACAGTGCAATATTTACCATGTGCTCAATACTACAGAACAAGTAAGAGAATCATAACAGTGGATGGTTGACATGTTTATTTCATCTTATAATTTAGTAAAGTTTTTATGCTAAACATAATCAGGCATAATTTAATTAATGTGATACATTTTTAAAAAATTATTAATTTATGACGGCTGTCTTGTTCACATGTATATGTCGCAACAAAGTTCCTGAACTTCCCATATAAAAAGTTGGTATACTTAAACTTTCAGTGACTGATGATCTCCTTTTTATGTGGTCAGTTCATAAATCTTTTGATTACCCCCAGTAATTTGGGAAATGTATTTTCTGTAAGGTGAACATTTTATGACCCAGTAATGGTGTAGAACGTATTTAACTCCATCAAGGAAACAACCTGTTGATGTGTTGCTTCTAAGAGGTGCAATTTTCTTTACTGGCATGGCCCTGTGGGGCTCCAGGCGTGTGCCCACACTCAAGTACACTCATGCTTCAATCTTGCCGTCCTTTTCACAGGTCAGGATCTATAACATTGATTACATTGCACTCATATATTGTTAAAGGTAAAAGGGTAATAAGTTAACTTTAAATTATAATTGAAACAAATTTTCTATATTCCTGTCTTCACGATCTTTGAATATTCCATCTCAATGCAGGCTTTGTGCCATGAAAACAATATAGTGGCCTACGAGATCGTGCTGAGTCTACAGCGGCTTGTACACAAGTACGGCAAGGACCTGGAGCATGTCACCTGGAATATTATCCTGGATATCTTGGAAAAACTACTCAACCAAATGGATGTAAGTTTTCTTCTCTTTTCACTGCTGAATAGAATTGAAGGCATGTCCTCATAAATTTTTCCTCTGAACTGTGTTCATTTTTCAAGTTTCTTTTCATCCAGTGATCGGCAACCTGGAGTTTCGGAGCCCTATGTGGCTCTTTGAAAGAATAGACGTGGCTCTTATTAAAGTAATCTATAATAACATAAGTAATCCGCCCCCGCCTGCGTCTCCAAAAGTATTTTCTTAGCAGTTATAATATATACAATGGCTCCTCAATCACTGTTTTAACCCATTCAAGGTATTTGCTGATTAAAAATGCGGTAAACTTTGCTTTCAAGTCTAACAAGAGACCATGCCTATCTTAACTTATTACAGGGCATTTCTAAAACTCTTTCTCTTTTATGAAAGATCAGTGTTATTGTAAAATTTAAAATTTCTGCTATCTCTTACAATACATCTCAAACATTGAATATGTTTTGTTTTTTAAAATATAAGCTATATTAGTTGCTTTAAAGTGTGGTGTCAGAGAACTGAGAATGTAACTCCTTTAGTTTCTCTTTATTTTGTTGTTTAGAAATGTGACTTTGACAAAAAGGTGGCTACAGAAACCCATCAAGTGATCACAACTATTGAAACCCTCAACACTTCCAGGCAGTTCTTTGGGCCAACTGCCCGTCTTTTTAAAATTGTGGAGATGTGTGCAAGCAAGCGACCAGTTAGTTATTTATGATGATGTTGTTATTGTGTATTTAGTGAAGCAGACTTGTTTGCTCTCAAACTCTTAAAATCGTACAATATCACAAAATCTTTCAATACATTATCTTAATAGTGAAAAATAAACATGCAGTATATATAATGTATGCACCTCAAAATCGTACATTGTACGCCAAAATCATAAGAGTAAACAGGTCTGGTGAAGTGTTGGTACATATTTTTATGAAATAAACGAAATAATGGACGCATATGTCATAGGCAAAGTGTGTAATTCAGGCATTCTATAAGATAAGAGTCTTTTATTGATCCAAAAATATGTAAATGTTTTTAATGACATTGGACATATTCCTTTTCAGCATATATATAAATACATATTTTAAACCAGACAACATTTTACAATCATAAGGATCATAACACAAGACATCTAAAAGTATTTCTCTAGCTTAGTAATCAGCCATCAGTGAACTCCCTTAGTGTCAATATTGATCATGCTGAGGAACAAAAGAATTTGTATATCTTTCGGCCCTAACTTTAAGAGAAAGAATTCACCCAGATCAGGCTGATCTTTGGGGACTGTGATGAAGAGGGTGGGGTAATATATCATCCAAAATTATTTTAGTTTTACAACAGCATTTTTCTTTAAAAAGAATGCCTGATGATTTTTTGTAAAATAGCAAAATATATGAGGCATCATATACAATTGGATTTCACTTTGCCTGTAACATGTAATTTTTGGGCATAAATAATACTAATGTAAATATGCTACATTCCCTTCCCAATAATTTAAAAACAGAAATTAGCAATGTAAACTACTGTAGAACCTGGTTATTTTTGACGGTCTCGGGGTTTGCCAAAAAGCGGCGAGACAACCGATGATCGAGATAACCGAAAACCAATATAGCAGCAATATATTAACATGTGCTTGAAATTTCTTTATGTACACGATATGCGTTTATAAATGAGAATGTACATGCAAGTGTTTTTGGAGATTTTTTTTTTACGCAACAGCGTTACCGCAATTTTTTTTATGAAGAGATCGGCATGCTATAAAAATGTACATACATGTTTGCTAACAACTCAAGGCATATGTGGGGTGCAACTTTTCCGGATTATCCCGGAATTCCAGATTTGTGAGGCTAAATATTTTCCAGCTCCGGCTTCACAAGTTTTTATTTTCTCTCACAAGTTCAGTTTATTCAAAACGAATTCTGGGTTTAAAAAAAAAAAAGATCAACCTATAACTGTAAAAACGCATGTAATCCTATTAAGTATCGAGCGACAAGCGGGTTCACTATCAATAGAACGGGTACTGTAACCTAGCCTCTCTCTTTTGTTTGCAAGCCTCTAGCTTCTTGCTGTGTCAAGTTAATTGTGCGGACACCGATAATGTCATTTCATTTACTACAATTGAAAGTAGGCACGTTCCGGTTGTATATATAATTTTTAATTGCCGGCAATTGGTCATGGCGATCGAGATAACCAAGGTTAAGTGGCAAATTTGTCCGCCTTTTGTGCTCGAGATATCAGGGTTCGGCGACATAAAAGAATCGACATAACCTAGGAGAAAATTCTAAGACAAAGAGAGAATTAGGCGTTTCCACGCCAAAAACATTGACATAACAGGGTTAGCGAGTTAACAGAGGTTGAGATAAGCGGGTTCAACTGTAATATGATATAGCTTTATTGAGCACAAAATAAATAACCAAAATGTTCTCCATGTGACAAAGCCAGATTATTTGGAACATAAACATATATTTATCTCACAAGCAACTGAAAAAAAAATTTATTTTGTCTTCTGGAAATTTCACCTTACTCTAAGGTACTTTTGGATCATCTTTTATTCTTATGTAATTTCAGTTTCATTAGAAGTCATAACTTATACTTTCCATACACTACTAAGTGTTATAATGTGTAAATATATTAAGCTTTAACATTTTGTCTATTTTTAACTTTAGTCCCCATTCTAAGTTTGTGTAAATTTGCTCACATTGCTTCATCCTCACTGTATTCAACATCATCTTATTATATTAAGTTTGACTATGACTGTATTTTACTCTGTCCACAGACCAGCTCAGTGTGTGCTCTTATAGACTATTATCACTCCCACTTCATTCATCCAGGTCAAGAAAATTGGATAGAAACCCTACACAGTTTAATGGAGAAATATTTTAAGTGAGTCATGTAGGCAATATCTCTTACAAAATGACAACCAAAATAATTTAATGTGTTTAATCCAATCAAGACATGAAATTATGTGTGCCTCTCCTTGAGACAATCCATTCCTTTGCAAATACACTATTGCAGACCTGCACAATATACGGCCCGCCAGTACCCACTTTGCTCCCAGCCAAATAACGAAATATTCTTTATTTTATTAGCATTACCCCCGTCCTATTTTTCTTTCGGCCGCACAAGGTTTTCATAAAGTCTTACGGAAAGCCTTGCATTTTGAGTTGTGCCGGCCTACACTATAGAGTCCAGCATGTAGATTTTAGCAAATGTTTGTTTAAAATACCAAAATAAATTATTTTGTAAAATATAAACTTTAGATCAAATTGTTTATTATCGAGGCATTATTTCATTAATTTTTTTATATCATTAAAAGAGGCCAAACAAGAACAGAAGTGAGGAAAAAAGCCCTGGATGTTTTATCTCTTGTTCTCAGCATCAATACACATGTCTATGAGGTACAGGAAAACATTTTATATTTATTTTAAAAAATATAGTTTAAAATATTGTATCGGGAGGCATCATCTAGTTATGACAGCTGATAATGAATACAAATAAATTGAAAACATTGCTTTTCCACAATATTAAATGTTACTCGTATTTGAAATGTTACTTCTTTTTCAATAATTTGAAGCCTGTTTACGGGACCCTTTTCTTTTGCTGATTTTTATATCAAAGAATATAGGCCTAAATTGTCACCATTTTTGTCTTAAAATTTTCCAGAAAGAGCTGATAGACTATGTTGTGATTCCCCACTTCATGCGAATAGATTCTGACCCGGACACCGAGGTCCGCTGTAAGGCAGTGGAGCTCCTGATTGGGCTTTGTGAGGACTGTCACTCCAATGAATTCTTTGAATTGATTTTGATTGTTGAGGAGGTCAGTGCATAAAACAGTAGCAACAAAGATTGTTTCATGAGCACGTAATGGCAACAACAAAAATTGTTTGATGAGCACGTAGCATAAACAACTTTGTTCACAAACTCTGAACTTAAATTTTTGTATTTGAATAGTTTCATTGTAATGAATGAACTTAATTTTATTCATCACATTTCTGAAGGGTTTTGTTTTAGTTTAAAACTTGACTATTATCATCATTCCAGTGGCAGATCGGCAAGCGCCCTTCAGCCTGAAATGTTGATGAAACCTGTCAAGAAAATGTTTATTTTTGTTGCAGATTTTAAAGAAGCCTTTAGGGGGTCACATGCTAGAGTTAGATCGCAGGGATGAGCCGGGCCGCAGGGATGAGTCGGGCATGGGTTCAGATGAAGGAAACTTGAGGGACATCTACACAGGTGTCACAAAAATCATTGAGGTTTTCAAGGTATGTTTGAATGTGCTCATTTGCTGTGGCCGCTTGCACTGACTGATTGTCAGGCTATAACGCACTATTACCATACTAAATTAATAATGTGTGTCAAGTAATACAAACTAAATTAACAATGTGTGTCAAGTAATACAAACTAAATTAACAATGTGTGTCAAGTAATACAAACTAAATTAACAATGTGTGTCAAGTGATACAAACTAAATTAACAATGTGTGTCAAGTAATACAAACTAAATTAACAATGTGTGTCAAGTAATACAAACTAAATTAACAATGTGTGTCAAGTAATACAAACTAAATTAACAATGTGTGTCAAGTAATACAAACTAAATTAACAATGTGTGTCAAGTAATACAAAGACAATACAAACATAAAATTTGTATAATAAAATATACAAATGAAACCATTATATATATGGGAAGGAAATAAAGACCAACTTATTTTGTCATTGTGTCGTTTAGTTCTTTTCCTACACTCTTTTCTTGAGGCATTAAAAAGGTACATTTTATCTCTTGTCTTCTTGACCTACTTGAAGATAAAACTGTACACAGCCCCAGCAACTCACTGCCAGAAACTGTATGAAGTCCTTGTGTCTCACCTGGAACAACATTACTCTCACCTGTACTTGGGTAAAACTGCTTGTGCCATTCGTAAAATGGTAAGGTCTATACATTTCAATGCACTGTTTTCATTTAGTGCATTTACACTACTTTTTACAACTTATGGAAAATCTCTGCATGAACAATGTCTGTTTCAATTTCTTCAAACTTTGATTTTAAATTAAAATACGTAAGAGTTTATAATGGAAAGTTTCAAAAAACATGTCTACTACTTGGCTTGTATCTACATCTATGTTCGTGTAATGTTCATTTTCAGATTTTCAACTTGCTTTTACTGTTACGGGCAGACAGTCGAACAAGGGTTGGCTTGGCAGACAGGAAGCCAGGGGAACGTCACGTCTTTAGTCCCTATGTCATGTGCCAACCCAGGTAACTATCGTAACTTTATTTTCTTTAAATGTCACACCCACATGCCTATGACCTGTGATGCACCCTCCTTGCCCTACCTAATTTTCTGTTTCGGTTTAATCCTGAAGTATCAAAGTGTCCTCTTTTCATAGCCATGTTCATTGTTTCTATAGAATAGTAGTTACTATCCTAGTGTCTCATTTGTATTTACTTAGTTTACATGTTTTAATAATTGTAAAGCGCTTAGAGCTTTATGATAAGCGCTATATAAAAATGCCTAAATAAATAAATAAATAAATAAATGAAGGTGGGCTGACTTGGCCGGTGGCATGGGAAATGATGTAGTCTGTAATGGAATGTTTCAATGAAATGGTGTTCGCCAAACTTGTGATAGAAATTTGTATATCCTTCATCAGAGTTGGCCAAACTTTTTGAGAGAAATGTGTATATCCTTCATCAGATTATAGATTTTATTTACAGTTAAATCAGCGAGTCATGCACAATTTCTATTATGTTTAACTATCTTACACTACAGACATGGTTCCTTGTGTCCTTTCATTAATATTGTCTGGTAGATTGTATTAAATGTCTCCCCGTGTTCAATGTCTCCCCGTGTTCAATGTCTCCCGTGTTCAATGTCTCCCCGTGTTCAATGTCTCCCCGTGTTCAATGTCTCCTCATATGCTTTGTATGCTTATGTTCCAGTGAAGACTTGGAAGCCTTGTGGTTAAAGAGTCCATCGGTCCCGGGGCTGCACATCACCAGCGTCAGTCAGCTGTATGCTGTCATTGAGTATGAGCACACATTCAAGCTGTTCCTGCGATGTCTTGAAACTGTGAGTCCTCCACTCGTACAATATAGACATTATTTAAGTTTTAAATTCTTGTTTAAAAAAAATGTTTTGTGGGTGTGGCTATGTGAGCATTACTTGTTGCGGTTTTGGAGGGTAACTGGTTGGCAGTAGCGCATAACAGGCCGGGGCAGGGGTGGACTGGGCTACCGGGACACTGGGAAGATTCCTGATGGGCCGCTAGTACCGGTGATATAATAAAAATAAAAGTCATGAAGATAGGGCCGCTTTTTGTTTTTTTCCTGGGCCGCTTTGATTTTTTCCCGGGCCGCTTGAACTCCCCAGTCCACCCCTGGCCGGGGTAGGGGGCATAATGGGGTGGCGGATAACACTTGTCCACATTTATATGATATTCAGACAAAGATATACCATGATATTTGTATGGTAATCAGTCAGAGACAGACCATAATATTTTTATGATATTTATACAAAGACAGACCATAATATTTGTATGATATTTAGACAAAGACAGATCATAATATTTGTATGATATTCAGTCAGAGACAGACCATAATATTTGTATTATATTCAGAGACAGGCCATATTTGTATGATATTCAGACAGAGACAGACAATAATATTTTGATCTCAAACTCAGAGTAGAAAATTAATATCATTACTTCTGATTTTTATATTTAATGGATTTAAAAGTACAATGGTTAAAATACAATTGAAATTGCCCAACTTGTGTCCAGCTATTTTCCTAACTATTACACACCTGATGTTCCCAGGAGAGAGACTGGTCAGTCATACAGGCTGTATTGGAAAATATGCCTCTGATTCTGGAAAATAAAACCCTGGTATTGTCAGCTGACAGGAGTTTAATTGATGCACTGTGTGGAAAGCTTTGTTCTATGGTGAGTTTAATTAAAACTAAGACCATCGGTGAACGCTCCTTCTGCTTCCATGGGCCCACGTTCTGGAACCAGCTCCCCTTCCATATACGTCATAGTGAAACCTCGTCCATTTTCAAAAAGTCCCTTAAAACTCATCTGTTTAGATCTATAGAATAGTAGTTACTATCCTAGTGTCTCATTTGTATTTACTTAGTTTACATGTTTTAATAATTGTAAAGCGCTTAGAGCTTTATGATAAGCGCTATATAAAAATGCCTAAATAAATAAATAAATAATTGATATGCTGTGTGGAAAGCTTTGTTCTATGGTGATTTTAATTGATGATGAGCTTGTGTAATTGATGCGCTGTGGGGAAGCTGTGTGCTATGGTGAGTTTAATTGATGCGCTGTGTGGAAAGATGTGTGTTATGGTGAGTTTAATTGATGCGCTGTGGGGAAGCTGTGTGCTATGGTGAGTTTAATTGATGCGCTGTGTGGAAAGATGTGTGCTATGGTGAGTTTAAATGATGCGCTGTGGGGAAGCTGTGTGCTATGGTGAGTTTAATTGATGCACGGTGTGGAAAGATGTGTGCTATGGTGGGAAAACTTTTCTCCACCTGATCATCAGTCCATGTCAATGTGGTCAGTCGTGGTTTATGAACTTGAAAGTCACAATTGAAATATTGTTAAGTTATAGGTACATCTTCCTTATCCATTTTAAATGTATTAAAACTTATCTACACAGGTGAAAGATCGCACCGTGGAGCAGTCGAAAAAGTTGATTAATCGTCCCAACAATTTCACACGTTCAGATTTCCACAGCTTTGTGTTTCCAGTTCTAGCTTCAATGGTTACCTACCACTCCCATTTGGACAAGAGTCGTTTGGTGGGTCAAAGGGTCGTTTGGTGGGTCAACGGGTCATTTGGTGGGTCAGAGGTTCGTTTGGTGGGTCAAAGGGTCGTTTGGTGGGTCAAGGGTCGTTCGGTGGGTCAAAGGGTCGTTTGGTGGGTCAACGGGTTGTTTGGTGGGTCAACTGGTTGTTTGGTTGGTCAACGGGTCGTTTGGTGGGTCAAAGGGTTGTTTGGTGGTTCAAAGAGTCATTTAGTTGGTCCAAGGGTGGTTGAGTGGGGTCAAAGGGTCATTTGGTGGGTAAAAGAAGTTTCATTACTAAATCTTTTGTCTCAGTTTTTGATAAAAGTGTACCCAGATATAATAGCTTAAAGATAAATTTAATAGAAAAATCAAAGGCTAATAGTAATTTGAAGAAATTATTTTTGTCTAATTTTCAGAAAGAGTTGGTTAACTGCCTTGAGTTTGGCCTGGTATCAAAATGTGCCAAAATTTGTGTGACCACTCTGAGAATTTGTTCATTGGAAATGAAAGAGTTGATGATGAGAATGCTGCCGTCAGTTCTGCTGTCCCTCTCCAAAATATCAGCTACCATCTCAATGGCCATTCCAGTACTAGCATTTTTGTCCAGTAAGATGGTCATTTCATTTTAAGAAAATATTATTCAGATCATTTAAAAATGTTGTATTTTCAACTTTGACTGACGTAGTGTAAAATGAATGTGTGATTCCTTTTAAAATTGTAGCAGCGCTCTCAAAATAAAACATTTGTATCTTTTTTCATCATCAGAGGCCAGCTGTTATATTACAAAGATATTTCATTTTCACGCTGTAAACAATAAACTGAAGTAAATAAAGTATTATATTATTAACACCGAGGCGTGAGAAATGTATTTAGTGAAATGTGACATAACTTAAAAATGTGCAATATTCTATCCAGGCATCGTCCGCATTCCAAAGCTCTACGCCAACTTTGTAGAGGATCAGTACATGAGTGTGTTTGCCATTGCCCTCCCCTACACCAACCCTTTCAAGTAGGTGCTTGGACTAGCTGTACTTGTTACTGTTAGAATTTAAAGCTGCAATCAACTTTGTTATGGTCGTTTTATTAATGAAATAAAGCAAGTGTAAAACTTGGATTTCCCATGCATCATTGATATAAGTATGGGACATTAATTATAAGTCTTCAATGTAGTTTATGCATTCATGAATAACACAGTAGAGATATGATTGATTATATAAAAATAATGTCATATTAGGAACTTCCATGCAAAAATAACGAGAGGCGAAAAAGTTTTGATTTAGGCCAATTTAATGTGTAGTGAACCTCTCGCCTCTCCGTTCTTATAGATTCAGCCACTATACAGTTTCCCTGGCCCATCACGTCATAGGGATCTGGTTCATCAGGTGTAGACTGCCATTCAGAAGAGGTTTTGTCAAGTACATCCAAAGGGTATGAGCATCGTAAATTGTAATCTTCAACAAAAAAAACTATGTTTATCCAAATAAATTAAAAGCTTCTGAACAAAATCTATTTAAATTAAGTAAATTATTTTTTTAATTATTTTATTTTCTTCTTTCCATTGGCTGTCATAAAATATTGATACTGTCACATTTCTGTTTTCATAGAAATGTTATGTGATTATATGTCCAATAAATATTAAATTCTCAGGGTCTGAAGTACAATGTCTTACAACTGTTTGAAGAGAATTCAATAAGACATTTGAGTTCTTTCAACCAAGACTCTACAGACAGGGGTCGTACTAGCTCTCTGAATGAAGGTCACCGCAGGTCAGTTTATATCATAACAAAGTAGAGTTCACTTTTAATGAGAGCCTGGTTCCTAAAATGCTAAGAAGATCAGATAATTCTCTCGGCATTGCTGCCACCATTCTTTGGCTGGTTATTTCTAGTGAATAGATATGATAGGTGCAGTCAGCCAGAAAGTGATCATTGTACTCTATCATGTATCACTTCTTAGAAAAATTATTAAAGGTTCAAAACTCAGCCGCTAGCTAATTCAAGTAATTCTAAAGGCAAAAAAACGTGATCATATCACACCACTTCATTCCCTTCATTGGCTCCCTGTACAAGCACGTATTGACTACAAACTCTCTGTTCTCTGTCACAACTTTTTCTCGAATTCCTGCCCTTCATCTCTAACTGAACTTCTCTCTGCCTATTCATCCCTTCGACAGCTTCGCTCCTCCGCAGACGCGCATATTCTTTCTGTCCCCAAGACTTGCACAAAAACCTACTGTGTACTATTGTTCTCTTTCTGTGCCCCCAAACAATGGAATTCTCTTCCATTACACATCCGCAATATACCGACCATCACAGCCTTCAAAACTGCACTCAAAACACATCTCTTTAATCTCTACTATCCTGACTGATTCCCACCCCTGACCGAAAAACGATGGTACTGAGTGTCATCCATGGCTTGAGAAGTAAATAGTTTTAAATATACATATGTTTAGTTTTATTTTATTAATGCATGTCAATTATTTTTAAAGTTTTTTTGATTATGTTTGTTAAATTGTATTTACAGCGTGGTGAGCCCAGCCCTAGGCTGGGGTACCACACTATATAAAACCATGTATAATAATAATAATAATAATAATTGTGCAGTCAGTCTCAAAGAGATCATTATAATGTGTCCAAACAGCAGAAATCATAAATTTTAGTCTTGATGGCCAGAGCCTTTCCTCAACTTAAGCAAATTTAATATTTAGCTATTTATTTACATAGCCACTATACTCGCTCTTTAAATATTATTTAGCAGGCGCCGTAATGTATCTGGAGTTGAAGGTGTGCGTAATGATGGCCGTATTCCCATGGATGAGAAGATGTCCCAGTTTCACAAAGAATTGACAGAAACTTGCATTGACATGATGTCTAGATATGCCTTTGGCAACTTCACAGCCCTACCCAGAAGGTATGTTTTTTGTTTCTTTCCTGTTATCCTTATCTTTCTTTTATATCTACACCTCAACTGTTAGCCACATTTAAACAGCCAGACATCAGATAAAATAAAATTAACTAAGAATACGCAGAACATTCATAAAATATTTTGATATTAAAAATTTCTTAAACTTTTGCATTGCTCACTTTGTAGGCGCAACGAAGAAGGTTTTAGTTCCTTCATTGATTATTTCCTTTTAAAGAGAAATATAAATTAAGTGCATGGTGTTTAAATCGACGGCATATTTCTTATTTCAGATCTCCTGTGGCTCAATTTTTACTGAAGGATGGCCAGTCTGGCATGTGGGTTGTTGGCAACAAAATCATTACAGTGTCCACGAGCGGTGGAGGCAATAAATCTGGCAACTCTGGCCTGTGTGATAACTGCCTGGCTGTGTTTCTGCGTTCCCAGGGGGAGTTTGGACAGGATGTCAAGTCGTCTGCATCAAATGTGACGATATCCTCCAGACGAGACAGGCGTCGGCACAAGTCCATGGCCAGCTTGGGACGCTCACAAACCCAGGTCAAAAGAAATATATTAACTTAAGCAAGGATCGATATTTGTCAAATTTATTTTCTGTTTTCATTATGGATTGTTTGAAAAATAATACTGGATTCTAAAACATTAATTAAATTAAACATGTTGATTGAATGCATTAAAGAAATTAAATATCATTTTAAAGGTAAATTGATACACATTGTTATTTGACTGAAGATGAATATGTCCATGATATCAAACAATTAACAACATATTTTGTATCCTTTTTTTTTAATTAGACCGATTCCCTCGGGCTGTCAGAATCAGATGAGCTTCAGCTTCCACGTCGAAGCCTCGATGACATGAGCTTGCTTCAGGATGCCAGTGGGGATCCATTTGGTAGAGATGATGTTGCTGTACAAACAGGAAGTTCATTAAATAAAGATGGCCTTGATCCTCTTTTGACTGGTCAGTCTAGAGCAAGATAAAATAAACCCTGGCATTTCTGACCCAATTTACTGATGTCAAAAAATGATAACATAAGCCTTTGAGCTTTGTTGGATCCAGTTCCATCAATATTGTAATTCATCATATGTATATGGTAAATGGCTTAATAAAACTCATTTATGTCACATATACCAGGCACATAACATCCTATTGCTCCTGAAAGTTTTGAGCTTCATGACTTGAATCGTATTATGAAGACGGCGTTTCCTCATAAATATAATTGAAAACCATCACCATTTTTATAAACGACTCCGTGCTCAGATTTGTTCCTTTTCTTCTGTTGACCAGAGATCAAGCATCAGTTCCCTGAACACCGAACTTTCTCTTCAACTCAATGCAGTTGTTGGTGCACCAGCTGGGCTGAGGTCAACATTCGAGGAGCCAGTGGTGTTGTCTCTTGGATGATGAGGATAGAGAATGAATCCAGCAGCTACAGCTTCTACTCCGACCCATCCCTACCTGATATTACTCAACTCTTGGCTCCTGTCAGATGCAAGTAAGCAACATTCCATTGTTTCATCATCCCATGCAGCTCATATAGGGCTCTGGTCAGCCTCACCTTTTACTTCCGCTCTGACCTAACGGATGAATTCATTTTCCATGCTTGAATTCCCGGCTGCTGTAGATCTTTTTCCACATCATCCATCCATCTAAGCCTAGGTCTGCCTTTGAGCCGTTTTCCTCTGGGATTTTGGTGGTGCACCTTTATCAGTCTTCTGTCATTTGGCATTCTAAGTGTCTCGCCTAGCTCAGCCTACCCTTTATTTCTGCTACTAGCGTGGGATCCTGATATAGTCTATACTATTCCTGGTTGGTTCGTATTCTCTGTCCATATTCATCCTTTGTTGGTCCGTATATTTTCCGGATAATTTTTTTCTCGCCCATGTGTTTAATAGGTTTTCCGAGGTTTTTCTTTTTTAGGGTCTTAGGCCTCGTCTAATCTGAAATTGATCCTGATCCTTAATTTCGCTTTTTGAATTGTTTAATGTTGACGTCACCAATTAAATATGTAGAGCTGTGCCAACCCCACCTCTCCCTTGATTGGGAAAAAGGTTGTTTGCTTTCAAATATGTTCTGTTTGTTCTAAAGAATGATTTCAAGTGGCGCAATATGTAGAATTTCGTTTCTGGAGGTTTCTAACTTGCTCCCTATATATATAAGCTGGCTTCTTTCCTAACAGGAGAGAGATTTTAGCTATTTTCCTAAGCATTTAATATACTTACAAGAAAAACTCTTTAGGGTGTGTGTATTTAAATAATTGTATCTTTCAATGAGTAACTCTACTTCATTTTAAAAAAAACTTTAAAATCATTATTTACTTAGATAATAAATATTTTGAAGTCCACTTGTGCATGACGTCTAGAGTTACAGTTGAAGCACCCTGCTATCTTCAAGTTGAAAAGCCCCGAATAATATTGATTAAAAATGATTACAAATGTGTATAAGTTAATAATTGTCCTGTAAGAAATCATTCAAATTCAGTCAATCGTACACGAAATACTTTTTATTTATTTTTACTGTGTTTTGGATATGTTCTTATAAAACAAACTTCTGAGCTTTAAGTTTCCATGCTAAAATTTTGTGAAGTTATTTGCTAATTATGCAAAATGAAATCAGTTATTAAAATAAATTAAAATAATTTTGAAAAACTCATCAGTTTGTCATCTTCAAAACAATACAATCGTAACAATTAAAGACACCCATTTGTTTCTGTATTAATACCAGAACTCCAGACTCAGACAGTCTTGGAAAAATTGACAGCGGAAGTCTGTGTGAGGAAGAGTATGAAACACTACATTCACAGCATTTCTCAGAGACAGAGAAAAGTAGTAAGTTGTAAATGAGGAATATTAAATACCAAGCCTTTTTAAAATAGCCTCATTAGACGTAAAATGATTTTTAAAAAGCTGACTCTGTGAATCCAGTCTGACTAAACTGTTTTTATTCACAGCATCAAGGGAAGATCTTAATGGAGGAGATCCACACGAGGTAACGGCAAATATTAGTTTTTTGGTGACAGTAGTAACAAATTAAATCTATTATAGTCTTTTAACAAATTTTGTTTTTTGTGTGTCTTTTTTCAGATGTATATATATTATAGTTTTCCTTAATCCACGCCTGCTTAAAGTGATTCCTATTCAGGTGTGTATTTTAAAACTGTTTGTTGACAGGTCAGGACTTCGTGTGTACAAACTGAGTTCAACCACCAGGCCTCCATCAGGAGGGTGAGCTCATCCCCAACCTTCGTCACCGATTCCCTCAATGAAGAATTGGGCCAGAGCCAACGCAGCAGGTCAGACAGAAATCTACAAGCTCAAACAATTGTTAAAAGTCTGGACACTGAGGCTTCTAGATACCGCAGTGAGGCTGAAGACTTCTCTCAGACGGAATCTGTCCAGTTTGAACATGCCCATAGTAACATAAACAGACCAATAGCAGGAACAACATCCGAGAGAAAGTCTGACTTGTCTTTGAAGCTTTCAATGGATGAGAAAAATCTGGACAAAGCCCCACAGAAAAATTCAGTAGAAAGCAATGACGGTGTTTTTAAATCTGGACAGTCCCTTCCAAGCAAACATGGCAGCCCTGACGCTGCTGCCTACAGAAGTAGAGCGGAGACAAGTTCTGGGGAAATACATAGGAAACCAATTGGTGTTCAGAGTGTGGAGAGCAATGAGCACAAAAAGATTGCTCAGAGGAGTTACTCCATGGAACTGGAGGGGACCAGACGACCCGAGCACCTGCAGCTTCTGAGTTCCCACAGTCGAGATATTGATAAGTTTGTTCAAGAATGTAAGTTTGCTTGTTTTCCCCCTGATGTTTTAAGCCTCTGAACCATCGGGTCCCATTGGGTCCTAGTCTTTTCATTTGACTTTTATCTTAGGGGGCGTCGGAACAACTCTCTCTGGGATCCTGGTCTTAAAATACTTATTTTAGTTAAACTGAAGAATTAAGTTTACAAACATATAGTCCATTCAATTATCTTTTATAAATATATCTAGTAAAATTTACACGATTATAAAATTATTTTGTTATATCTAAATATGTCTTTTGTCCATGACTATTATGAAATGTATAATGGGGAGAAAAATGTCTTAGAATTGGTGTAGAATGGCATAGTAGATGGTCACTTTTGTGCCCCTGGTTTTCATGAAAACCATGGCTAGTACTTGGGGTAGACATTGTTGTTTATTTCCCAAAGCAGACATTCCATCACAAGCTCTAGTTGAAGTCCATCGATCGTCACTACCAATATCTAAATGCTATTGTTATAAAAAAAAAAGTTTGAGAACCACTTGTATAGGGTAAGGAATGGGAGACCGAAATATCAGTCTAGCGGGGTATGGATTTGCAACTCACAGACTGATATAGTGGGATCATGGGTTCAAAGGTTCACTATATGATGTAGGTTTTTTACCACAAATTTGTAACATTATTCTGCAAAGATCTGTAACCACATCTTCCAGGTTGTTCTGCCATGAGAGTTACATTGCATGAGATCTGTTTGTCTTTTAAAAATAAATTTATGAAAAATATTTCTTAAATTAAGCATTACTTGGGGTAGAGAATGATTGCAGCAGAGCATAAAAATATGCAAGCAGAGAATGATTGATACAGAGAATTATTGCCAGCAGAGAATGATTGCAAGCAGAGAATGATTGATACAGAGAATTATTGCAAGCAGAGAATTATTGCAAGCAGAGAATGATTGCAAGCAGAGAATGATTGCAAGCAGAGAATGATTGCAGCAGAGAATGATTGCAGCAGAGTATGATTGCAGCAGAGTATGATTGCAGCAGAGTATGATTGCAGCAGAGTATGATTGCAGCAGAGTATGATTGCAGCAGAGTATGATTGCAGCAGAGTATGATTGCAGCAGAGAATGATGCATAAAATGGTTGCAGCAGCAGATATGATAATCTTAAAAAATGTGGAGTTAAGAAATATTCCAATTTTCTCAATATAATTTTCATAATTTAAAAAAAAAATATATCTTCTTCATATAAGTTGGGTTATGAGAAGTGTATCAACCTAAATTACAAGCCTTCAGATTTTGTTTGTATTGGTGATAGAATCTATTTTCTTTGAATTAACATTTTGTGTGTAACTGTTTGCCTAGCTTCACCTAATGATGAATCAAGCACATCCTCACTTCAAGATGAGGTCCCAGAGTTGAGACAGATGAAACGCCGTGGACACACCATTTCTGTCATGAGTACGGCTGCAGCAGATGCACGCCAAGCTGATGAATTTCAGGCAAGTTAAAATATCTGTTAGGTTTAGACTGACCGATACCATTCCTGTTTACCCTCAAAACTCTTAAAATCGTACAAAATCATCACAAAATCTTTCAATACATTATCTTAGTAGTAAAAAAAACATGAAGTATATATAATGTATACGCCTGAAAATCGTACATTGTACGCCAAAATCATAAGAGTAAACAGGTCTGCGATACATCTGAAATAGACTTTTATCCTTTATACGTCTTACATTTCATTTGTCTCGGCTTTTTTAACTCTTTGCATCTATTCTGTGGTGTTCAAATTGTAGTTCAAGAAATTGTCTATGGAAAGTGCGCCAGACTTATGATCCATTATGTTATGTAAGTTGAAGCACATGACCAAAATTAAACCATTTCCGCTGTCAGCAACCCCACAATTTTTTTACACTCGGCTCCTACCTGGCGTAATTCACAACACAACACAATACTTCTGATGTAGGGTTCAGGATGTTTGGCTAAAGGTGAAGTTTCCACCAGAATATCGGTCTTCATTATGGAGGAATCCAAATTATTTTTCTTTGTTATCAAGTTATGAGAATCCCAAAACATTGAGAAGTTGATTAGCAAACTTAGAGATAAAGATATCAGAAAGACTGATGCAGAATCTATTGATGAAAAAAGTATTAGTTTTATTTATTTGGTTAAAGATGAAATTGAAAATGATTTTAAAAATTGTCTACATCAAAAGTCGGTTTGGGTGGAGTGGTTTAAAAAAAATTGACCAGACTTAATAGTTCTTGTAGTTCGTGGTGTACAAATAATCTTTGAATTTTAATCTTTGTTTCTAATGTTATCAGATGGTTGTATTATTAATAATTTGTTACATCAAAGAACAGAATTACTTATCTGAAGTGGACATTCCAACAGCCAAACCAGTTGTGTCACTTTCCTGTTTCTATTTCCCACCCCCAGGGCTCTGGGTCAGCCAAAGACAGTAAGACTGGCCTTAACCCAAACTATGTCTTCTTACAACTCTATCATAGCCACCCACTGGTGCAGAGCCAGGAGCAGCCTCTGAGAGTGCCTCAAACTGATGTAAGTTTTTGTAAATAACAGTACTATATTTAACTAGAATATATGACCCGATGTTATCGGGATAATAATGGTAGGTCCTTTGCGATAATTTCTACTTGGTATTTCAAAAACTCGTCACAATTCCTAATTTTTAAAAGAAGTATCTATGTAATGATATTTACGTTTCTAATATTAAGTTTTTAGAAGTATTTATCTGCTATATATTATAAGCCTACCCTACTCCCTTTCATGCCCTAAACTACTTATTACCCAATCTAAATTATCTCTAATTATATCACTTTTGTCACTAAAGAAGTAAATTGAGGGATGATTTCTACGCTAGAGAAATACTTTAGATTTATCCCTTTTTGTGCCAATGAACTACAACTTTTTTTACTCTAAAAATTGTGAAAATATAATCCTCTTTTCATGCCCTTGAACTAAAACTTTTTTTTTCTCTAAAAAGTGGAAAATATCTTAAATTCACAACAAAAACTCTATATATGATATAAGTATATTTTATATTAAAAGAATTTGATATGTTGATATCTTCATCAAAAATTTAAACAAATTTGTTTTGCCCTTGTTTTTTTAATTATACATTATCAGAAAGAACAAAGACTTCTTTTATTCAAAGGAAAATCTCGCAACTGTTTTTCACGTCTTTAACTAATCGACTTTAGTGTTGTTGTTTTTTTATTAAATTGTTAATCTCATAAAAATGCACACCCTTTTTACTTTTCGCAAAGTAAAAACAAAAATATATTTTCATTTTTTGAAAGAAAATATTAACCCATCACCGTTTTTCAAAATTAAATTTTTAAGTGTGTAAAATGATTGGGATTTGATATTCATGGGTATACTTGTATAAATGTACACACGATTTGTTAACGCCATTGATTTTCTTAATTGGTAAACATATGTTTATTTGTAAAAAGAGAATGTAACATCTCTTTTTTCACTAATGTAATACCATAGGATTTAAATATATTGTCATCCACGTAAAAATGTACACATCCTATTTCCTATCTTTGATATATATGTACCCCAAGAGGGTTAATTATTTATCAAATTCATTCCTTTATTTTGAGACATATCTTGTGCTGCCTGGGGAAGTGACCAACCCCTCCCCCACACATTTAAATAAATTTAGAAAATCTTCCACCGAATTGTAGTCCCTTCCATACCCAAACTATCATATTGTGCACTTCACATGGCTTGTTCTTATTTGGATGAGTTATAAGTGGATTAGTGAATGTTATTTGGCTATGGAGTTTCGCTGCACTGATTGACTTATACGGCATTTTCTTATTGGAATTATATTTAAAGGTTAAGTTTTTATTACATTATAAATTTAATAAAAGTATATTTTTGGAATTAAAAGTAAAAACTTATTAAATGTTAAAAATACAATGCTAAAATTTTTGTGCTTTTTATTAACAATTTAAAAAGCAATCAATTATATTTATTAATTTTACTTTTAAGAAAGGGAAAATACATTATCAGTTTTGTAACATGTTTGCCTAACATTTGCTGTTTTTTTTTAGAACAAATTAATTTTAATTTTATTTTGCAACATTAACAACACACTAAAAAACGCACTAAAAACAACTGATGTTTGGGTTTTCCCGATAAATTTGATTACGTGTAATTCATCAATTTTTAAATATTTTTTTTCATAACTTTCAAAGGCATATAAAATGCTTGTTATTTATAATAATAATACTTCAACTTTTACTAAAATAAAAGCAGAAATATATATATATAAAAATAAATATTTTTTGCGTATTTAAATTTATTTGATTTCCTTAAAATAATAGAAAATAACTATGATCGTTTTTAAGAATCCAAACATATAGAGATATGGGATTCAAGGCACCACTAAAACATGGATCTCTAGCTTCCTCAGCCACCGACTCCAAGCAGTAGTGGTGGGCGGTACAAGCTCCTCCTTTGTCGATGTGAAGTCAGGGGTCCCCCAGGGATCAGTCCTGGGCCCCTGTTTGTTCCTAGCATACATTAATGACCTACCCGAGAAACTGACATCACAGGCAAGACTGTTCGCAGATGACACAGCAGTGTATAGGATGATCGCCAACAGATCTGACCAGGACCAGCTACAACAGGATCTCAATCTGTTAGCTGAGTGGGAGATAAGCTGGGACATGGAATTTCACCCTGCCAAGTGCCAGACACTATCAATCTCTAGAAGTTGTACTCCTCTACACTACCAATACGAACTGCACGGCCATATACTTGAGCAAGTTTCCTCCGTAAAGTACCTGGGAGTTAACATTCAAAGAGAGGTCCGCTGGGACGAGCATATTAACAATGTATGTAACCAAGCAAACAAGACCCAAGGGTTCTTAAGGCGAAATCTACTGTGTGAAAGAAAGAGCATATAAGCCTTTATCCGTCCGATTTTAGATTATGCATCTTCAGTCTGGGACCCATTTACCCAGAAGAGCATTGACAGGTTGGAGGCGGTCCAGCGACGAGCAGCACGCTTTGTCCTAAACCGCTACAGGAATACCTCTAGTGTTGGCAGCATGCTAGAAACACTAGGCTGGTCACCATTGGAGAAACGACGACGACAATCCAGGCTCTCCATGATGTACAAGATAAATAATGGGCTGGTCCACTGTTCCAGTATTAAACAGAAACTCGTCCCTCTCCCCCATAGACAGCGACGAGGCCATGACAGGCAATTCAGGCTCATACCAGCAAGAAGCCAGTATAGGAGCTGCTCATTCCTGCCCAAGACAATCAGGGACTGGAACAATCTTTCAAAAGGAACGGTTGAGGCGACAACACTAGACACATTTGTGTCTATTGCATCAAGCCTTCAAACCCCTAGTGCATGATTTCCTCATCAACACCAGTAACAGAAACATTGCAAATCCCATCTACATGCATAGGAGCCAAAATGATCAATAAATTGATCGTGGGCCCTTAAGATATAGAAGAAGAAATCTTTTCGCTTCTTTGTCGTTATGGTCAGCCTAGCTCATTCTTATATATATAGTGCACTTTAGGCCTGATGTATGTTGTAAATAACAGTACTATAAATGATAAGATTTTAAAAAATTATAGTTCATTTCAATCAGCTGATCTGCTCATACCATTATATGCTTTTCTCAATTTAGAAGTTCCGACGTACAGTTGACATGTTGGATCATATCTACCCATACGAAACCCATAAAATAGGAGTGTTGTATATGGGTAAAGGCCAGGTAAATAATTGTTCAAGACTGTCAAAATTATGTTATTCAACACTGTCAAAAGTCTTTGTATCTTTTATTGTATGTTAATGCTGTCATTAGTCTGTGATTTATGCAATGGTTTTTATATGAGAAACATGAATCTCTTCTGTCGGCTCTAGAGAAAATTGGTAATGGTTGTTGGTTATTTTGAATGTCCTAATTATAAGATACAATTTTGTACTGCTTGTACGCTGGTAGGCCAGTGATGAGAAAACTCTACTGAGCAATGAGTTTGGTTCTCCCCGCTACACAAAGTTCATTATGGCACTAGGAGACATGATCAGCATAGAGGAAGCTGAAAGGGAAAAAGTTTACCTCGGTGGACTTACCCCAAGTGATGGCAAATTTGCTGTGGCCTGGCAGGATGAGTCTCTGAGAGGTGAGAAATCTTTATATAAAGTCTATAGAAACAAAGTATTTCAGCTTGCATATAAGTATAAGCCTCATCTAAACAACATAATACATTTGAGATAAGGAATGAACACTGAAATATTATGTTTAATAATTTTCTAAAAATTATTTTTGCTTATTTCTATTGACAAAAATTTTTGGATGTTATAATGAATGTTTTTGTTTGTGTTGAAATTCAGTTATTTTTCACATTGCCACACTGATGCCCAATCGACCTGGAGACACAAGGTTCAATAATAAGAAAAGCCACATTGGAAATGATTTTGTCACAATTGTTTACAATGACAGTTCTGAGGATTATAAAAGTGGGACCATTTCTGTGAGTTCAAGAATATTTTAAAAATTAAATTTAGTGTATTTGAAATGGCAGAGATGTTCGAACATATTTGCAAAATAAAGTATAAATTTGTAAACAAGTAAAACCATAGTATGTATAAGGAGCTGCATTTAGGTCGTATGAAGTAAATACATTGTGTAACAAGATATGTTTAGGCTTGAACAAAATTTTCTCATATCTTTTTACCCTATTTATTTAAATAAGTAAAACCAGTTGAAGTATACGGTCATTGTTATAAAACAGTGCTTCGTTTCTTTAACTTAAGCAAGGTAACTTTGAACAAATTTAAATCACTATATGCTGCAAATGTAAACTCTGACCATAAGAAAGCATAGGTCAAAGATATAAGCATAAAATAAGTTTGCAAAAAAAAAATCACTTGAACTGACTTAACTGAGATTATACAAAAATGTGAAAGTGCTACTTGTGACTCATTGAAAGGAAAATCTAATTATATTTTCAGGGCCAATTTAACTTTGTGAGTATCATCATTAGGCCTCTTGACTACGAAAGCAATGCTGTTACACTCACTACAAAAGAAGGTGAGGTTACTCAACTATTCTTTCTTTCTATCATTTTTAACAGTGGGAAATTCTAGTACCGTTAACTTAAGGAAACTCAAATTTAGAATACTATTTATAACATTATACAGTTACATGTAAATCATATTTTAGCTCCAGTTATTTCAAGGTGTAATTTTACTTTAAACACTTTGAGTTTCATAGCTTTGCTCTTTTAATAATTCACTCTTATATCAAGTTTTCTAATTCTTTAACAATTTTTAATATTTTACAATATTTTAGTATTCTTATTTTTCATTCGGTTCTTTTTGGTTGCAAACAACGACAAGTCTTATGATTTACATATTTAGTTATCTGCAGTCTTATTAAATTTTATAACTAAACAAAGGTTATGTCTAAGGAATTTGCTGTGTATGCCTTTACACTTGGGATTTTCTTTGTTGACAAATGTAACTCATCTTTTTGGGGGAATTTCAAGTCAAGTGTTTTAGTTTTTAAATAAAGTCTTTCAGAATTGAACGCAGTTTTTTTAGCATTCACATTTTTTAATGGATGGTAGGAGGAGGAGAACCTGTTCTACATTATCTTTATAAGTGGCTACTTTGATGTAAAGAAAATATCTTTACAAGTGGTTATTTTAATGTACAGAATTGATCTTTAAAAGTGGCTAATTTAATGTAAAGAATAGATCTTTAAGTGGCTACTTTAATTATGTAAAGAATAGATCTTTATAAGTGGCTACTTTAATTTATGTAAAGAATATATCTTTATAACTGGCTACTTTAATTTATGTAAAAAGATCTTTATAAGTGGCTACTTTAATTTATGTAAAGAAAAGATCTTTATAAGTAGCTACTTTAATTTATGTAAAGAAAAGATCTTTGTAAGTGGCTACTTTAATTTATGTAAAGAATAGATCTTTATAAGTTTCTAACTTAATGTACAGATAGAAAAAGAGACTCTTCAATGCTAAAGTTGACATTTAATCCCATTCTACTATATCATGAGATTAGGGAAATGATTTATCAAGATGAATAGAAATAGTAAATAAACTGAAACCTTATAATGTTGCAACAACAGTTCAGAAATCTTCATAAAATTGTATATAATAGTATACCGAAGAAAAACCGTGCTCAAAACAAATGTAGAACAAATGTAGATATGAATTTTTGGTGCTTCACTTAGTGGGAAGTAATCAGTAGAATTATGAATATGCCATGCCAACATTTTTTTTTACAGGATCCATTACTAAAAATGCCAGGAGTTTTGTTATTGATAATCTTAATAGTTGTTTTCATGACTGTTATTTCCACCCTAAATGCCAGTTTACAATTTTCACATTTAGGTTTAGGAACAATGCAGGGTAAGCCATTGCTACCGGACTTGTCTGTTCCCAACAATAACCAGATTGTCTCCTGTTTGTGTGTACCCAATCTTTTAGCTGCTTTCTGCCCAATCTTTTAGCTGCGATGTGCCCAATCTTTTAACTGCTGTGTTTTCCATTTGTTAAATTTGTTTGCCTTTAAAATTTAGTGTAGTCTGCTTAAGTGTATTTCAGTATTTTAAGACATTTAGAATTTTAAATTTTCCTCTGTTTTAAGAATAAGTTAACATCACATCTGAGTTTAGCCAATTCTATCGCTTTAAGCCAGTTCTATTGAGTTAGTTAACATCCCTTCTGAGTTTACCCAGATCTACCGGGTCTATTTAGTTTTCCCATAGATGTCATTAAATATTTATTCTAAATAACCTGGGAAATCAGGCATTTTCAATGTCACTAGGTTTGGGGGGAGCAAGAACGTGAAGTTAAAATTAATTTACTAGCATCCATAAAGACATGCTATTAAACATCCATAACAAAGTACTACAGGAGATTTCCGTAAATAGCCCCCCCCCCCCAGCATAAGCCCATGGGCCTGTATACGGAAAGTCTTTCCACATACAGGCCCAAGGGCTTATATTAGGTTAAAAAATTATTAAACCCACATACCGAAACTTCTGATGAATCTTCACTGTCATTAAGTATTATAAAAATAAATTTTAATGTTTTTTTTATTGTTGCTAAACATAAAACTTCAAACGATAAACGTAAAACCACAATTGTATTATTTTCGGAACATTTTATTGGAAATTATTTCCGGGAAAAATTATTTTTTTTAACCCGCACATGCATTTCTGTTTCCGTTTATGATTCGATAAGCGTTCTTTAAAACATGCCTCTAAAAAGAAAATCCTACACAATCGACAATAAATTGGATATCATTAAGAAACTAGAGAATGAATATGGAGGGAATATTAGTCTAGCATCTAGAGAGACTGGTATAGATTGGAAGCGAATAAGAGAGTGGTTAAAACAAAAAAAATGATTTGTGCCAGGGAGAAGATATGAAAAAGACTGATTGGAGGTCAAAGGCCAGCCTTTCATGAAAGGTTAGAACATGATTTGTTTGACTGGTTTGTAAAAAATAGGGAGGAAAAGAAATATATCAACTATAAGGATATAAGAGAGAAGGCACTTGCATTGAAAGAAGAATTTGAAGTCGGCGATGATTTTAAATGCTCTTATAAATGGATCTGTAATTTTTGTCAGAGGCATTACTTAAGTTCACGAAGAATAACTCATCATGGCCAACAAGATGACAGAGATAAAATGGTGATTAAAAGGACAGTGAAAAATTACATGGAATGTGTGCATGCAGCAACGGTCGAACTAACCGATGAGGACATTTTCAACATGGATGAGACCCCATGCTATGTTGACATGATTGGGAGTTCAACGTTGCATTTTGTTGGTGACAAAAATGTTGACGGCATGAATACAGGGCATGAAAAGACACGGTATACTGTGGTTTTATGCATAAGTGCTTCTGGTCGGGTTATCAAGGCCATGGTAATACTGAATGGACTTAAAAATGTACCAAAATGTGACATTCCGGAAAATATTTTTTTGACGGTGTCAAAGGGAGGCTCCATGACAGAGGATCTAATGATTGAATGGCTTGAAAATGTCTACAAAAGAAGAGGGCCTTATTTCGCAACAAGAAAATCGTTGTTGATCATGGACAGTCAGTTTCCACACAAATGAAGCTGTTCTTGCAGCATGTACACACATAAATGCAACTGTCAAACTTATTGCTGCCAAAACAACATCATTCCTACAGCCCTTAGATGTTGGTGTTAATTTCCCATTTAAGGCTATTTTAAAGCAGAAATGGAAAGATTGGTTTGAAAATGGGGTGAAGGAATATACACGAGGTGGATACAGGAAAAAAAACATCTTATGAACAATTACTTCAAATGGTGACAGAAAGTAAAGCGTAAAAATGATCTCACCTGAAAACATACGAAAATCATTTAGTGCATGTGGGGGTAATACGTGTTGATGACAAGCATCTCAACAAGCGATTGAAAGCTGCATTCAGTTTTGAAGCTGAAGAAGGTATCAGACGTGCACATGAACAGAACGATGATGAAGAAGAGTCTGATGACCCTTTTGAAGATCTTACAGATTAACATCTTAGAGATTAAAAACATTTTTTTTACTTTTTCAATATTTTCAAACAGCAAAATTTTAAAGTAAATTATCTTAACTGTGTTATCTGTATTTTTATTTATCAGTATTTACCGGTATTTCTTTTCTCAAGAAGATTGTTGGATGAATGATTACATTTAAATCCATGGGTAATCTGATTTATCTGAAAAACAATCTTTCAAAAATGATCCTTTCACTTTACTTACGACTGATCTTTATTACAAAATAAAATAACGTTTTAAATTTTTTATAACATATTTTCAACTTAGAAAAGATTTTGACTGAAAAACAGAAAAAAAATGTACAAAGAAATTGCATGAGAGTGTCTCAGGTAATAAGTAGTTTAACTGATTTGTATTTTCCATTTAAACGCCCATGGGCCTGTATTTGGTACACAAATCTCAATCATGTAACATCAATTTTCAGTTTTGAAGCCTAGGGCTTATTTTCGGAAATCTCCGGTAGTTGATTAAACATCCATAACAAAGTGCTGGGTTCATTACACTCCCCCCACCCCCTTTTTTCTTCCTCACCTGGCTATGCTTATGTTTAAGTTTTGAAAATGTCACTTCTATAGTCATCTTAATTATAACCAAGAATGCTAAAGTGTGTGTGGAAGGTATGCATTACGGTATTTAATCATCCCAGTCTATCAATTAAGCATGTCAGCACTCTAATCTGTACCGCAGTTTTACCTTACCTCACCAAGCACATCAATCAGTAGCACAATTAACAAAGCAACATATTACTCTGTAAACAATGGCTTTAAGTAGGAGGCATGTCCTAAATGTAAAACATGAATAGAATCTTGGATTTTTAAAGTTGGATTGAATAGTATGAAGGTAAAGTACTCAGGACATTGGATTGGATAGTTTGAAAATAAGTACTCGAAAATTGGATTGGATAGTTTAAGTTAAAGTACTCAGGCATTTACACAAATCTGTGGTTGACACTTTTTAGTTGATCACTTGGTAAGAAATCAAAATGATACAAGTCTTAGACTTAAGCTTAAGAATTTACACCTTTAGTAAACCGGTTATGTCAATACTTGTGGAACAATTCTAATTCTGGGCTTCACTGCACATTAATTTTAATCACTTATTTCTTTGATCCCTTGTTAGTGGCATGTGTGATTATAGAATTTCTGATCTTATGTATGTTTCAATTTTCATTGCATATTTAGTAGTAGCATGAACAAGCTTCTCAATGCCAAAACGTCATTCTGCTTTTTGTGCCAAATAAGCTCTCTATACTCATAGCTTTAATTTTGTGCCAAATAAGCTCTCTATATTGATGGTATTAATGTTGTGCCAAATTTATATAAACACTGTCAAATATATAATAAGTGGGGTTTTATAAATACTGTTAATTATATATTGATAAGTTGAGTTATATAACTTTTTTTATTTTAAAAGATGTGCCTAATACAACTTACAATAAAATCTTGTGGTAAAATAACTTGAAATCTTATTTTTATTTATGATAATAAGCTAATAGTACTTCAACTTCTAGGTATTTTTTTTATATATTTAAATTTAAGATTGTCAGTTTTAATACTTGTTCAACTGAAGATTTTGGCTTTTCCATATTATATTTATAACATGGACTAATAACTGTACACTATTAAAAATTTAATCTTTTGGCATGTAAAGAAAAGCCATGATCTTAAAGAAAAACATTTTTCAAAAACTTCAGATCACATGCAATTTGTTTAAAATCAGAAAATGTCAATGTATTCCCAGATATAGCTGACATTCTGGGCCACACCCACACAAAGATTATCTCAGATGCTAATCTCCCACTCCTGGTCAGACAAATAGCCATCAATTGTAATGTAAGTACAATCATAAATGTCTGTTGTTGGGGTCTACCGACAGTTAACTACTTCTGGTTCCGTTATCTAGGGTCAACAATTCTGTTACGCTCTTTGATAAGAGTCATGCAAACACAGCCAAGAAATACTTTAAATAATTAACAACAAATCTCTTGTTAAACATCTACTGTTATTTCAATTGATATGAACACTGTTTGAAAACACAAATTTATCTTCCAAGTAATGAAACAATCCCAAACAAGGTCACACAAGATGGCTGACACTCTGACCTCTGTTCACGGCCAGACACTAAAATCAAGTAGGAATTGGGCTCCACTCTTAACTTTAAGGGCTCTCACTCCTACTTAATCTCAATAGTACTTAACGGGCACTGTCAACACGCTAATAGACAATTACTAGAACTCTTGAGCACAACTTCACTAGGGGAACTTACATCTTTCTTGCCCACACTTTTTATCTTCATTTGTTTCTTATTTCCCTTCCATCTGATAGCCTTTAGACAGAAGAATTCAAACTCAACTCACTGTAACAAAAACATTCACTGTGATTATCAATCATATATACAACTTGGGGCAAACTTTAGGAAAAAATTCTTAGTTCTCTGTGCACAGATTACATTTTTGGCAATCTGCAGTGGTGGTGCAATCAACACAACTCTTAGATTAGACTTATCCTAACTTCCATTACTGATAGGACAATCAGTGGTGGTGCAATCAACACAACTTTTAGATTAGACTTATTCTAACTTCCATTACTGATAGGACAATCAGTGGTAGTGCAATCAACACAACTCTTAGATTAGACTTATTCTAACTTCCATTACTGATAGCACAATCAGTGGTGGTGCAATCAACACAACTCTTAGATAAGACTTATTCTAACTTCCATTACTGATAGGACAACACAAACACTTGACTCTACAGACTAGCTGTCTCATTTGCCGTTATGCCCAATAGTCTCACTCAAACCCTGACATACCTCTCTATGATTGAGACTACATTGTAGCATTATGTCACAATAGTCTCACTCAAACCATGACATTCTTCCCTATGGTTAAAACTAATGTACCAATATGTCACAATAGTCTCACTCAGGCTGTGACATTCCTCTCTGATTGAAACTGCTTGTACCATTATGTCACAAAAGTCTCATTCAGACCATGACATTCCTCTCTCTCTCAGGCCTGCACAACTCAAAATGTAAGGCAGGCCGTAATTTATGAAAAACTTGTGCGGGCCAAAAGAAAAAAGGACAGGACTTTTGTGGGCCAAAAGAAAATAGGACAGGGGGAAAGCTATTAAGAAAATGATAAGAATAAAGAATATTTTGTTACTTCGCGGGCCACAAAGTGGATGCTGGAGGGCTGTATGTTGTGCAGGCCTGCCCTCTCTGATTGAAACTAGTGTACCAATATGTCACAGTAGTCTAACTCAGACAGTGACATTTCTGTATCTGATTGAAACTACATGTACCACATTAGTCTCACCCAGACCCTAACGTTCCTCTCTCTGATTGATTGAATCAATTACCTTGTCTTTTTTATTGTGATCCCTTAGACTGTTTCATGGATCCCACTTTTTTAAAATCAGGTTCAAATGCAGATATATATCAGGACCTGCATTGACCTTATTGCCATATTTATTCTACATGGCTAAATAGTAAAAACTGGCTTCCACTAAACGTAGTTAAATTGAATCTCAAAAATAAACATTGCAATTTAAAAAATGGCCAGGAAAAAATCAATAAAAACTATCGAACTGTAAAACAAATTTGTTAATATACCGCCAACTATTGAAATATAGCTTCTTTAAAATGAACAGGTTTCTGCCAATATCAATATAATTTTTGCACATCCTCAAGTGGTCTGCAGCGCACTACACGGTTGAAAACGCATTGTACATAAAATATGTAAGTACAAATGAATTATTCAGTTCTTCCATTTTTCTCCCCAGCTTGCTTCGATGGTTTTGCAGCGCCAACAATCTACAGTGGGCAGCCCGGAGGTGTTTGCGTCCAACTGGTTGGAAAGACTCCGACAGATCAAACTTCTCAAACAGAGAATCTTAGAACATCAACCGGAGGAGTCGCTGGTCTCAGAGTCGGCCAGCCCCTCCCATATGTGGCCCCCTACCGGGGCCGGTGGTGATGCTGGTATTGGGGCATATGAGGATTTCACAGACTTCCTTTAAATACTCACATTCACATCAAAATGTTTCAGTTCCAAGATTTTTAACATAGTCTAGTCAAATAATTTTAGCTTGATTTTATGTAATTTAGCTCACAACTCACAAAGGACATCTCTAACAGCTTGTGAATTTAAAAAGAATGCTTCAGTGGCACTGGTTTACTCTCTCAATTAAGAATTCTTCAATTCCACAAAATTTCTTACTTTTACCCCCTCAACAATTTTTTTGTGACAATTTTTACAATTTTCCTGCAACAGTTAGAAGCATTCTTGTACTTTGGAACATGTTGCCACATCCCTGGGGGAGGAATGAGGCACACATTTCCAAGGACCCTGCTCAGTGTTCAAACTACAATTTCACCAAACCACCTTTGAATTTCTTTGTGCATTTTAGATTTGGCTAATAAAATATTTTTACAGAATTTCTTTGTGTATTTTTGATTTGAGAAATAAAATATTTTTACAAAGTATCTGAACTCGAGTTCAATTCTCTACATCTTCTTTATTAACTTCTATTAAATAAAAAATCTTCTGCAATCTTTACAAATGACATTTTTTTAACAGAGGTGTGACTGGACAGTTACATGAAATAAGTCTTGGTTAAATCCTCCTTGTGACGCTGGTAATTTTTTGTTCAAGATGCATTCAACAATCTTTGAACTTGGGGGCTCGTTTTTCAACAAAAGCTGTCATTCCTTCTTTACGATCATGCTACAGGAAAGACAAGAACAATATTGATGGTCACTGGTTTTCGTGATACTTGGTCAATTTCTAGAAGTTGAATACTTAATTGATTAGGGAACATGTGTACACCCCCCCCCCAACTCGCCTATTTAAGGCCATGACATTTTTTTCTTTAAAAAAATAGAGCACAGTGATCACTTACTGTTGAAAATGTGGCATGGAACAATCTTTTTTCAAAATGTATGGATTCTGCCAGTGTCAGATCATATCCTGCAATACAATTTCTAAAACTATGATATCTGAGGACACTTGGATAATCTAAATGTATAAGACTGAAGAGATCTCATCACTTCTCAGCAACAATATAAACAGGAGTTATCACTGGAGTAGGGAATTAATTAAATTATATATTCAATGCTCACCAGTATAAACACCATTCTGTGCCCACCAGCAATAAATTATACATTCATCAATGCTCACCAGTATTAACAGACTCCTTGCAGATTGCTGTTATTGTTTTAGAAAAGCTTGCAATTTTCTCAGCTGTTTTGATTGCTTCATCAACCAGTTGATCTGGTGGGAAAACTTTGCTTACCAGACCTGGAATATAGGAGAAACTTGATAAGGGAAATGCATGCAATTATGTTTTATTCTCTTAAGAACAAATTCTAAATGCCTTCTCCCCATCAAACAAGATGGCTATTCCCATATATTATATTCTTTATGCAACACCAACATTTTAAACATTTCTGGCCCAGTAAAACATGTTACTTGTCCTTGTAATCAGATCATTGGATGTACCTGCTTTTTCAGCCTCTTGGGCCGTTATCCTGTTTCCAGTGAGAACCATTTCCATTGCCTTCGACTTGCCAATGGCTCTTGTCAGTCTTTGGGTACCTCCAGCACCTTGGGAAGATATTTTCTAAGGTACTTTCAACAATGTACGGACACATTTGCAGTAAGCTAAGACTGATTTGAGAACAATCGCGATGATTGTCCATGACCCACTTTTTGGAGTTGACCTTTTCCTTCCATTAGTTCTATCTTGATTTTAAAAGGGGTTACATTCCGAGTGATTTCTTAAAGCCCTTACCAGGGATGGTCCCTAATGTAATCTCTGGCTGGCCAAACTGGGCTTTCTCTCCGGCATAGATAATGTCACACATCATGGCCAATTCACAACCTCCACCCAACTGAAACAAGAAAAATTATATGCCAATTTCTGTTTAACAGAACGTTTTGTTAATTATCCAAGTCTAAGACTAAGCTCATTGCATAAATCTAAAAGGATACTTAATTTTCTGAACAAAGTATGCAAAGAATATTCAGGATATAGCATTAACCTGCATCAAAGTTACTGAGGTAGTAAAATTTGAGCTCAATGAATAAAGAGCAATATCTGTCAACATACAAGACAACACCTGTTGACTCATCCTACAAGATTTTTTAACATGTGTTGACTCATCCCCATTTTTCTTATTGATAAACTGGTTTAAAATTACCTATGTATATTTTAATTAGGATTCAATATTTTTTAAAATTTTACTGAAATCATAAGTGAAGGTAAAACAAAAAATTATTCTAGCAAAAATGAACAAAGAAATTTTACTTTTGAAATGCCACTAAAATAAAATGGTCAAATTAAAGAACAAAACTGAAATATGGAATGTGAAGTGGACAACGTACAGCGTAGCCATTAACAGCTGCAATCAGAGGTTTTCTTGATCGCCTGAATGCATCAAAATTTGGAAAATCAGTGGAAACCACTTCGTGAAAAGACATCTGGCTCATCTCTTCTACATCAGCACCCACTGTAAACATGGACAAAACTTGGTGAGTTTAAGTTTTCTTTGAAAGAGCCCGAGATTCAATGTAGAAAACTGGCTTGGACAATGATTGCTGTAAGGTGACTGCTCTATTTCATACAGCCTTCATATCACGTATAATAATGGGAGAAGATTAATGCCGTGACATTGAATCCACCAAGTTTAAAGAAGCTTGAGAGAACATGAAGAAATATGATGACTTAGAGATTTGTCAACTACTGCCATTTGTAACAACTCTCAGAAGACAGAAACATTACACAGAGATGAAGATAAACATACAGCATATCCATTGACTGCTGCTATCAAGATCTTTCTACACTGCATCAAAGGGACATCAAAGGGAGGAAAGTTGTGTTTGAAGACCTCTTGGAATGACATGTCACACATTTCCTTGATATCATCACCAACTGAAAGAATGTATCCAAGGTTTGACATAACACCTTTCATGGATATTTACAAGAAAAGGAATTTACTTTATTTCTTGGCATGGTAGTGGGAAAAGGTTGTCGCTCAAGTTGAGACTGGCTTCATATTTTCTAAGTGATTAGATGCAAATTACTTACATTTAAAGCACATGATGGATGTTTAATACTAACATTGCTAGTGTTCTGCAATAATTTTATTTACAAGTTAAAACAACATTTAAAAAACTGACCGTAGGGCAAATTACAGAGAACTACAATTTTATTTATGTGTGGAAAATGTTTGATGAAACCTCTTCCAATTTTATATCATAACAAGCTGAGGCACAGTCTTTGGCTGTATTTATTCTCACAGGTTATTAAGTTGGCAACATAAGAACCATTGAGAACAGTCTGGGAAAATTGGCATCCAGTCAATACCCTTTTGTAAGAGCAGACATGTCTGAATGGGCGTTCAGTAGCAGCCATGTGCTTCCCTGCGCAGTTTCACACTGGTCGGTCCATCTTCTGGCTAACAACACAGCCATCTCATTCAACTTTTTCACATCACAACACTTTCCCTTGGACCACACAGATCTCTGGATCCAGGCATTTTCGATGGCAGAAAAATGTGTTTCTTCCACCCTACACAATCTCAGGAACACATCTATCAAGAAACCTTGTCACAACACATGTCACCTTCCAGACATCTCACCACTTATGACAGACAGCATTGCATTACTACAATAAGGATTTGTCTGTTCAGACTTCACCAGAATACATGCTCAGGTGCTCCCTCTCTTATTTGTATGTGTCAATAAAAATGAGCAGGTAGAGATTTGACATTGGAAAAAAATCATTTTGTTTTGATTAAATTGGAAAAAAATCTTTGCACGAAATTAAAGACATTTTTAAACTATTATCGGTTTTGAAAGTGATTATTATAGTTTTGTGTTGATCTTCAAACTTTATCAAAATATTTTTAAAAATTAAACTTGAAAAAGATTTTAAAATTATGTGCGCCTCTAATACTTTTTCATGTCTCACGCTTCCTGAGACCAAGTGCTGTGATCAGGGTTTTTAGTATCAATATGGAACAAGGAATATGTTGTGCTGTCAGTTCTAAAAAATTAAAGATAGAATAATTTTTAACTTCTGCTTATTTTTATAAATAAGCCAATATGAAATATTTAAAAGTGAGCTTTGGTAATACATAAATTAAAATAATAAATTTAAATCTATATTCTACAACGGATAATTGTTTTGTCAAAAAAAACAAAAACAAAAACAACCTTTAAACATACGTACAAAAAAAAAAAAAGGCCTTTCTACTTATTTTGCATAGCATTAAAATGTTTGAGTTCAGACAAGTAGAGCCTAGCTTAGATTAAAAAAAATTTGGCGAAATGAGATGCGCATTTTGCGATGTGGGTGAAAGCAAGTGACTAAAACTTGTCCATGGTGTAGCTGAGGGCTTCAAATTGGGCCAGATGTGCAAGTAAGATGTAGAGGACAGAATTACAGGTGTTTAACTCTAGTGGTTATTTCCCCTCTCATGGCAAGACTGCACAACTCAGATGCAAGATTAGTATTAAATAGTCAGAAAACTAGTTTGCCAAATAGATTAAGAAAATGTGACACATGAGGGTAAAAATCTTTTCTTCATACAGCAAATCCATTGACAGCTGCAAGAACCGGTTTACGACATCTGGCAACCTTGTCCCAATTCATCAGAAAGTTACTGTTGTATACTTCTGGGAATGAGTTCATTGTCTGCATCTCTTTAATGTCAGCACCAGCTGAAATACCAAGGGTTTAGAAGAGGTTTGATCAACTTGGGCCAAATATTTGTGAGAGGTGTCAGCAATGAGCCAGGCAAACATGGCATAGGGGAAGCATGGAAAGGGGGAGGGAGGGAGGAGTTCTAATTGATGAATTTATTTCCAACTTTTGGAGTGCTTAACTCATTAACAACATCATTATTTTTTTTTTAAGCATGTGACAGGAATAATTCTAGTTGCATCATTGGAAGTCAAGACTTGGTATTATGTGTTTTTAAAACATTTTATATTATGTACATCACTCAGAAATGTTTCAAGCTAGTTTAGTGTTAAGTTAATGAGCTAAGTACTTAATTTTTACAAACTAACATTACTTTTAACTTAACTAGAATTTTTTTTATAGTTCAAAATTGGATTGACACTTAACACTGATTGCAATGACAAAGCTAAAACTAAATACATTTTTTTTTATGGACATAAATGTGACTAATTATTATATATTTAACATACTTTATCTTTAATATTACCAAAATATATATAATAAAGACAATACATCAATTAAATCCCTACCAGCAAATGCTCTCTCACTCCCTGTGATGACAATAGCTCCAACATCTGCGTCGGCTTCTGCCGCATCAAGTGCTTGACCAAGTTCAGTTATAAGTGCATTGCAAAGAGCATTCAAAGCTTTTGGTCTGTGCAGCTGAATCAATGTGACATTCTGTTTTTCACCCTTTTTCTCAACCTTGATATTCTCATAAGCACCTGAATAAATGGAAAACATACCAGGTACATTATTAATAACAAGAAGGTGATAACTCTAGCTAAACTGTGTGATATGAACAGCAAATTAAGTTCACTTTCAAAAATTATTGTATCACGGCGGTAAATATGCTAAATTTACAAATATTTCATGTCTTCACAGTCATGAGTGAAGATCATGGGCCCCTAGTACTGGTTCAGTAAGTTGGTCATATTTGTAAATTAAATGCGATGAAGAAGTGATCTTAGTTACGCTTTTTGAATTATAAACGAGTTATTGCCCATACATATATATTTATATATGCGTATATGCAAATGTAAAATAGATGGCCCTAAGATTAAATAGATGGTTGTAAGCTTTAAAAAATGCAAATGGATTATTAATCCAACAGATTTTGACATTTTCTTTGGGAAGAAGAGTCTAAATATAAGTGTTACCAACTCCATAAAATAAAATTTACTATAAAATATACTGCTACTACTTCAAATTGTGGAAAGTAAGTTTTATAATATCTTGTGTAATAATCTGATAATGTTGTGAATTTGTTTCATATTACTTAGATTTATTCAGATATTTAAAGATAGGCCTACACAATATTAAAATGTTCTTATTGATTGTTATTGAGAACCGATTCTGTTCCAGGTGCAGATACAAAAAATTGAAAAATGATTATTTTCCATTCAGTGATTGGGGAAGAGGTGTGTGTGAGGGTGACAAGTTAAAAGGGCTAAAATTCAATGGAAAAGAGGTAATGGACTATTTCAAAGTTATTCCTGACCCAATTTGGATTGTTAACAGGAATTTTCCTGTCACAATAAATTTGGTTTGCTAAAAGAAAAGTATTTAAGAGGTTTATAGCTGAACGAATGGTCAAAGGGACAAAGAAAAATAGCGGAGGTTCCCCTTGTTGCATAAATGGTATAAGCGTCAATGTAAACAAATTATATGTTACGGAATTTGATGACTAAAGTACCATATTTATCGGCGTATAACACGCACAGGCGTATAACAGGCACCATTCGCCCCGCTATGCGGTATGTACTATGGGTCCTTAACATTATATCGGCGTATAACACGCACACATCATTTACCCCCTATTTTCAGGGAGAAAAAGTGCGTGTTATACGCCGATAAATTCAGTACTTTTATTGGAAACAGTGATTTACACAAAAAAACAATATCACAGCATAGCCGACTGTTTTATTGCCATGAAAGTTTTTATCATTTTTCAACATGTGCAGATAAGTATCAAAGTACTTACTTTTACCTTGATAGTACACACGACAGAATTATGTGGGATTCACATTTTGGTTTTGAACAACCTAACATCCGTTTCTAACACAGTAGAACACTTTTGATTTTAACCAAAGAGCTGCATTGAGATCTTCAAACAAGTAAGTATTTATTTATTTTTTGTTCTTGTTTTACTTCGTCTGCTGAAGAAGGCATTTAGCCAAAACATTAACATATATTGTTCCACTAGTTATTTACTTACTTCATAATTAAATAATATAGGGCATGAGTGCAGTCCTTCAAATATTATTTTGGTCAATTTCCGCAATCCTCGCCAAGACGCGTGTCTGTTTAGGATTCTCTCCCTTTTGCTCATTCTATTGACGTTACTAAAGCTAACTTTTCTTTAATACAAAGATGGAATGTTTTAAATTAAAGTTTAATTGGTTGGTTAATTAAAATATTTAAATTTTCGGGCAGTTTGGAAAATAGATATAGTAATGTATTGATTTTCTGATAACTTTTGGATTTTCATTTTGATGGGACCTGAAATAAAGTGTGTAAATGTGTATTCTATGAAACTGTATATTAGGTTTTCATTATTTCAAAATTAGTTTTTATAGTTTTTCTTCATTTTTACATTTTTTTTTACTACAGTGATTAACTGTAGCGACACACATGGTTTAGTTGAGGAAAAGGAGCATGTACCAGCTGAAATTACGATAGGAAAAGGGGCGACTGCAGGTCAATGAGACTTCTTGCCGCATATCTCGAGGGATACAATAAAGTAGCTTTGTTTGTCAAAAATTTATGTACCGGCTGAAATTATTTCATTAAATTTTAACATTCTGTTCCCCTCGTTTCTCTCTGTAAATAGCTAAACCAGCACATTCTCTCCCTTTCCTCTCCACACTTTAACCGACATGTTTTTTAAAAGGCCGCCACTTAAACTGTGACGGATCATGGTAACCAAGATGGTGGAAGTGGGAAACACATCATGGTGCAGATTGCTTAAATTTACCATTATTTTAAATAATGAAACAAAGTTAATTTGTTGTTTTAAAAGGCCTATCATATTTAGTATGGACAATAAGTATTTTCGACACCCTTGTCCGTACTAATTTTTGCGTTCGTATTTGTCAGTATTTTAATTCACTATTATTAAGATCTTATCTAAAGAAGATTTTGGCGCCTGCTGTAAATGCCCTCTTTGCCTAATTGTCATGGCTCTGCCCGAGGGCAACATGGCACCCAGAGCAACACGGCATATATTATGGGGACCACTGGGCTGGCAAATTGTCGGCTGTATAAACCCGCTACAAATTTTTTAAAATTCCTGTGACGTCACAATTATCTATTAAATTATTTGATTTCTTTGGTATATTTTATGGGGGTGGGGGGACTAAAAGCTTCTTGCACGTACGAGTTGGGGGGGGAGGTCCAAAAAAGTCAAGCACAACACCCACCCCCCCACTTTGTCATGGTTCCGGTTCCTGAGTGTGAGCATTTGTGTCCGTACTTGGCATCAAGAAAATCTGGTAAGCTTATTCTATCATATTCTATACTAGGTACTCCGCCAAAGCTAAGTGCCAAACCCTGTCAGTCTCCAGAAGCAGGTTCCCTCTAAACCACTCTTACGAACTGCATGGCCATATTCTTGAGCCAGTTTCCTCCGTTAAGTACTTGGGTGTTACCATCCAAAGAGAGGTCCGCTGGGACGAGCACATTAACAGTGTGTGCAACCGGGCAAACAAGACCCTGGGGTTCCTAAGGCGCAATCTGAAGATCGGCAACTCAAGCGTGAAAGAAAAAGCCTATAAAGCCTTTGTCCGACCTATCTTAGAGTATGCTTCTACAGTCTGGGACCCATTTACCCAGAAAAGCATAGACAGGTTGGAGGCGGTCCAGCGACGGGCAGCACGCTTTGTCATGAACCGCTACAGAAGCACCTCGAGTGTTGGCAGCATGCTGGAAACACTGGGCTGGTCGACATTGGAAGAACGACGACGACTATCCAGGCTCACCATGTTGTACAAGATAACAAATGGACTGGTGCACTGCTCCGGAATCAAACAGAAACTCGTTAATCTTCCCCCCAGACTGCGACGAAGTCACGACAAACAGTTCCGGCTGGTAAAAACAAGAACGAAGTACAGAAGCTCCTCATTCCTGCCGAAGACAATAGGGGACTGGAACAAGCTTCCAAAAGCAACAGTTGAGGCGGCTACACTCGATACATTTGTGTCTATTGCCTCCTGTATTCCAACCCCCAGTTCATAACACCACTGCTGAGTCGCCCTTGCAACCAGTGAAGTATCCCATTGAAACCCATGGACAGTAACATCGCAAACCTCTCTGAAACATAGGAGCCAGAATGATCAATTCATTGATCGTGGGCCCTTAAAATAAAGAAGAAGAAGAAGACTCCTAGTAAATTTGTATCGGAAATGGTCGTCGGCGCAATAGAATCCAATTTTTTCATGTGCATGTAATTTGAATAAATTATGAGTCCTTTTGGCCCATAATTAAGGTCTGACTCCGCCATATAACGTTAGGAGAAATATTGAGCTAATTTTTTCTTTATATGAACGTTAAGTAAGGAAAATCGTATTCAATATAAGGCATCTTCGTATTAAAAAATTCGGTCTAAATATTCAATGTAGGTCTTTCATATTAAAAGTAGGCCTGCATAATTTGTTGAAGTACACTTGCGCAAAATTTCATTGAGATACCTCATGAAACATTTTCACAATTCTCCTCAACGTTGACCTCAACGTTGACCTCATTATGCACAGGCCATTTTGGATTAGTGATCCCGCCCCCTTTAAATGGCGGAAAACGCCGATACTTAGCTTAGGAAATATTCATTATTATCTCTATGTACATCAAAATATTTGATAACTTGTGTTTCAGAATGCGTTTTGAAGACATTTAAACTAGAATTTTTAAATTTGAGCTTTAAAAACCTGGTAGAGTCCATATTATTAGCGATCAGAATTGACTGTGTGCAAAAAGTCATGGGACTTATTTTTTAAATACAGCATTAGTTCTGAAATTAAAATTATCATTAAAACAAGAGTTATATAGCTAGTGACACGAACAACGGAATTGGGTACCAGAAAATGGAGATGCGGCCCATGTTAAAAAAGGACAAATTAAGTCGTACTTTAAAAATTCATAACTTTAAAACTACAACAGCTAAAAATATGATTTTGTTGTTTTAATTCTTTAAAAAAATTAGCTTTATTCAACTATGCCATTGTCATTGGTTTATTATTTATTTTTTAAAAAAGTTTTAATTTTCTAATCAAAGTACCTATTATTCTATTATACTAATGACTAATACTATGACTATGGACGGTCTAGGCCTAGGCCTAGGTCTTCTAACATTATTTATACCTTTATAATAATAATTAAGCTAAAAAAAGTACATCAGTACTAACTAATTAATCTAACTCTAGTTCAGACCGAAAAATATCTTTACTGAAATATTATTAATTTTAAATTTAATCATTGTTGACTTTGACTTTCTTTTTTTTTTGTTTAACTTTAAACCAAACTATTCTAATTGGTTCCTTTCTTATTAAAAAAAAACAAAAACATTTGCATACCAGACGAATAAAGCCTATTTAACCCATTGACGTGCAACGATGCCTCGGCTTTACAAACTTGAAGAATAAGATTTTTACTGGTATTTGTAAAAAATCGTCCTAGCGTTGTCATTTTCTGAACCTAAGCAAAAAAACTTTGTACTGCCTTTAACCTTTGATCGGGAAGTGGATCAGTTAAGTTCAGATTTTTAAGAATAGAAAACAATACACAATATTGCCAGTTAAGCACAACAACACTTTCTTATTCTTTTTTTATATTTTTAAATGTACTGGTAGCGCAAAAATATAAAACTCATAAAATACTTAGCGCATTTTAAAGTCTTAAATATTATTATACGGTTATTATACCCAACTGTTTCTTTTTTACCTTAATAAATATTAGTTTATTCCTAACTAAGCTAATAAATTCACTCAATGATATGGTAGTAAAACTAGTGTCGTGTATAAATTATACATTACTATAATATAAGAATAAGGCTTATAAGGCGTTAAAAACAATTCTAGACTTTTAAAATAATATTGGATGTTTTAACCATAGAGGCCAACACAGTTATCTGCTTTCATTGTGGTAGGTACTAAGTAAGACAATGTAGTTTCAAAATTATATCTTAGCAAACCGATTTTCAACTAGTTTAATCAAGTATCTTTCTGTGAGAGGAATCTTTATAACTTTATATTCGACACCCAGCACCTATAAGCTAATGATTGGAAAAGTGTCACATTTGCATTAAATTCATAACATTGGCCAATCTGTCAAAATGTTTTGGGATTTGTGGTGTCTCAACCAAAGTCTTATCCAAATAAAAATTTAGTCACATGAATTTTTTTTTTAATTATACACATGTACGATGCCCCTTTAGTCTTATGACATAAGTTATGTATTCTATTTTTGTGTGTCCCAGATTTTAACGAATTTTAGAAAATTATTAAAAATCTCTATTTTATCTAACTTCTTGGAGAGCTAACATTTGATATACAGCTTAATCTTGCGAAATATTAAAACTTTTATTTGAAAGCGAACTTTCTGGATCGTTTCTGTCCCTTATATTTCAAAAACAAAAAGATTTTTAAACACAAATTTTTTTGGAATCTTTTACTTTATGGTTACACCCCTCCCCACAAAAGTTGATTGATAATGTTTTCTTGTTTATAATATTCTATTTGTTAAGCTCTTTAAAAAAATAATGGGTCAATCAGTTACTTACTGCCATACAGATTTTTAAAAATAAATGTAAAGAATATTCTTGATACTGAAGTAGTCCAGCTCTCAACATTCTTCCGCTACATCTATTTAGGCCAATATTATCTGCTTTTGCTAAAAGCAATAACTACAATTCCTACCCTGCACACAATTATTATTTTTCCCCCAATAGGTAATAAACAACAAAAGTCAAAGTTGTGTTGAGTAAAAAAAAAAAAATTTAACTAGTTTATTCAGTATCAGAAGTTTACAGTGACATTGTATAAATTGATTATTAAAGATATCTATGGCCAGAATAAACAAACAAACCAACATGAAAACTTGGTCCAGACGTTTAGAAGAAAAAAAAAGTCCTATTTATTCAAATATCCCACTTTTCCAATTTTGTATCTTTACAAATGGTCCAAATGACATCCACTCCTTCATAATAAGGCATCATAAAAAAATTAAACACAATTTGTAAATATTAAATATGAAGAATGGAAGGGAATGTGTATGATCTAGAAGATACATATGATATTTGTATGCAAAAACTATTTGGAATGTAGAGTTTAATCATTTTTAATCTCGAAAAAAATAAGTCCTAAATTAATTCACTTTGTTCAAAAAAACCTTTTTCAGGTTTATCAAATTTTTTATGTATGGTTTGAAGTTGTCCGACAAGGAACTAAATGTTCAACTAACCTATTGCCCAGACAAGTTAACTAGCCTATAGGTATAGGATTTTAAAAATTATTTTCTTAAATGGTCCTAATGCCTTGAAGCAAACCATGAGGGTTTTATGAGATAGGCACTGCAGCTTTTATTTTAAAGATCCACAACTTGCATTAAATCATAAATGACATTTTAGCCCCACCAAAATACTTTTGTTTCATGATTAAGAATTTGAGACTACTTCTCAGGCGGCTGAAGTTGAGCAAGAGGAAAAAGATTACACAGATGAAAAGATCTAAGTGAATATTTACATCATCTTCATGAAAAATGGGATCATTACAAATGCGACTGTACAAACAGGCCTACATGAGTATATTTCTTTGTACAGGATAAAATAGTTTATGTACATGTTATCTTAAAAATATTATTGGAGTGAAATGGAATGATGTTAACAATATATTTTTTTCTCCGCCATTTGCATGAAAATACCAGAAATAAAAAATCTATTAATTTAAAGACTGTGCCTATCAGCACAGGCATCAGAGATACACATTTGGCATGATCTTTTACAGTTGCTTATCATTTGATTTGTCAGATTCTACAAATGGCAAAGAATTATGTCAATAGAGAAAAGAATTCAAGCTTGCAATCTCATAGATATTCACACAGTAATCATCAATAAAAAAAATATTCTCTTCACTTCCAACACCTTTCATAACAGTCTTTATGACTATGCCACAAACGGAAGGTGATCTATGATCCAGCCATCATAAAAGACATTTGCAACCAAATCGAAGTTTAAAAAACAATAAGTATCTCCTTAAAATTTATCCTAATCAAATGACTTAGACAAAATACCTTGAATAACCTTATTTTAATTTACAATGAGTCATAGCTAGATAGATTTTTGTAATAATACAATACCCATGGGAACATTAAGGTCTATTAGTCTGTAAAAATGGTGAACTTGTCGATTTCTGTAAAGAGCTAACGTTGATACAAGAATACACTATTAATTTTGTATGCTTGGGATATTATGAAAAATATATCAAAAGTTTCCAAAGTGTATGAGTTATTGAATATTGAACCAGTTTAGCACTATTCAATGTATGATTGTGTACCGGTTTAATAAGTGTTCAGGCTATATGTCTATATGGGTGAGTGAAAACAAGAGCAGTACTTCAACTCAATTTGTCAGCCTTGAACTAGTGGCCAAGCAAGTGTGTGCTATGCCTTTATTAGCACCTTCTATTTTCAAATAGAAAAGGTATAAAAATGATTGCTTAAGCTGAGAAATTTTTTTCCCTGGTTCAGCTTCAAAACACCCCCCCCCCCCCACTCCCCAATTTATTACAATGAGTCCTATATGAAGACATTGAAGTAACTAAGCTTAAATAAAGTATAAATCATGGGGCTACCTTTATTTATGAGTTCTTTTTAAATAACAAAATAATATATATAGGAAAATGTGATAAAAATTAATCACACTAAAAACCATTTATAAATTTTACACTTCATTGCTGAGTTTGCAGTTAGATCAAGTGCTGGAAAATGGCTTTTACTTTTACAGTTATAAATTTCACTTTTATTCAAAGCTTGCAGAAACATACATATTGCCCAATCACATTTATTTCATTTGCAACAATTCGTACATACGTACTGATCTGAACAAACAGCACTTAACAAATGAAACCCCATACATCAAAGTATGCTGCCTTATTTTAAGTAAACACTCATCGAATCTGCCTCATAACAAAAACAACTAAAGTCAATAACACAGGAAGCACAGCTGAAATTTGTGTTGTTTGTCGTGGTGCGCTGTTACATCCATCTTGGTTATCGCAGTGGCAATATCGAACTCGTATGTTGTATGTACCATAAACTTCTTGACACTCTCTGCCCTCATATTTTCCAATAGTGCCACCAGCAGCACACTGACGAAGGTAACGTATGTCCCAGTGATCATCCAACCATACTATAATAAACAAAAACATTAATTCATTATCATAAAGATTAGTAAATTTCAATTTTATCCATAGCATGTGAATATTGACATATTTAGAAAGGTGTTTCTAAACACCAGAAAGGTGATCACATGATTTTGTTGAGGAAACCAGGATTTAGGTTAGATCAGTGTTTCCCAGCCTTTACTATATTCCGCACACTCTTGCAAAGAGAACTGTAGTAGCCTACTTTAAAAAATCAATGTGTAACTTTTTACATAAAGGAAAATGTTAATTTATAAAAAAGTCTTAGCGTTAGAGGTGCCAACTAAACCCTTCTAATTTAAATAGAAACATATATCCCATTTGCCTTACTAATTTATAAGCTGCTGAAATTATTAAAGTAAAATGGACTTGGGGGAAAAAGTGGCCCCTAAATAATGAAGCCGCCATTTCTTTTAACTTTAATAATTACAGAAAGTACTTTGGTATTTTTTTTTTTAGGCAAAACACTCAACAAGTCAACCTGAACTAGTGAACCATAAGAAGGGACGGCAATTCCCACAGGCAAAAGTAGAATGGAACAACTCACCTTCTTGCACAATTTTTCTGCACTTATGCTGCCATGAGTCACAAGTTACCAAGTGTTGTGTCACGTTGTCAAACCAATCTGCACAATCCGCTTGATGGTATGAATTACAAACAAAGCACTTTATGGCAAAACCTGTAATAAATAACATTGAATGCATAATTTAAACTATGTCTTCTACAATAAGAGCATAAATATTTTGAAATTAGTAAAACAAAGTAATGTTAAACCTGAAAAAGGAATGCAACAAAACAACAAACTTGTCCGCAGGAAGACTTCTTCAGCGAACAAAACAGAAAAAACAGAAAAAAATTAAAATATAGCACTTAGCTTAGAAGTAGTATCCAAGAGGACTGCAAATGAATTGTGACAGAAAGTGGGTGAGAGATTAAATAGTTGGATTGACCTAAACAAATTTTATGTTTTAAGCAATATCTGGGCAGAAAAAAAGAGTGGAAAGAGCCTGTGGAAAGAAAGAAGGGGAATAGCTAACTGGCCTGTGGGCAGGTCTAAATTTAACTAATTTGGCCTATGACTTCAAAATATTAAACTACCTGCATCAGTCCAAGGGACTGGCATAAATGGACTGATATTGTTGGTTTCTCAGCAAGTCCCTGACACAATGTATTTGGAGCCCTTCTTAGTGTTATAAATAGGTGTGTTGAAACTGTTTATGAATTTAAGTTCTGGAATGTTCAAAACATGTTAGCTGTTGTATGTGTCAGTGGAGGAATGTTGACCATTTAATCCAGGAGCTAAGAATGTGGTGACACAGTAGGTAGTCATTGATAGGTCGCCTCACCCAAATTGGCTAAATCACTACACTGTCTAAGACTACACAATACAGTTGTTTTTACAGTAATAATCAATAATGTCTGATATTGATAATGCGTTATTTAATTAGTAGACCCTATCTTTCCATTGAACATTGATAATTGTTATAGTAAATGAAAAGCAAGATGACAACATAATAGTACGTCAATCATATTAAAAAAAAGTATGATGGGATCCAGGAGTGGACTGGGCTGCTGGGAAAATTCCAGTAATATTTGGAATTATTTGGCTTTGGTCCGCTTCCACATTACAATGAAACTTGTGAATTAAATCTCTAAAGAAAAGATTAATTATTAAAGATTATTGTCCCAGGAGGCTTGGACCCTCCAGTCTCCAGTCCACCACTGCCAACCACTAACTATTTCTAATTGTACGACCGAGTATGATTCAAATCACAGACTAAGAATCAAGAAATTAACAATAAATTACAAACATGGGCATGACAGTGTGAGTGTACTAGTGTACAGAGAGACATGATTTATTCAAGTCCAGGGAGACAGAAAAATCCTAAATTAAAAAAAAACAGGAAATGTTTCTAGAGCTAAGGGACTCCTCTCTTCTAACTTTTAGGATTAAACATTTTGCAGTATTTGAAACTAAACAGCATGCATATTTTAATGGTTAAAACTATTATAACTTCTATATTTTAACACATACATCGGCCGCCATTTTCGTTAGTTACTTCCGCATATTACCGTTTGTAAAGGGACTAACAGGTAAGACGTTAAGTTTACTAGTGTGGAACTCCAAAAAAACGTTTTCATATTAAAAAATCTCTTACTCTGCTCCAAAACTAGAAAAGCCGCCACTAATGTGACTACTGCTACCACAAGTTTATTCATGGTAGGTCATGTACGCTGGGGTGGCACCTGCCTAAAACTTTACTAACTTTGGGACTTGTAAATAATAAAAAGTGGGTCATTCTTCGCGAAGGTAAGATTTCCGGTAAAGGGAGGTCACTTGATTCGAAACTAAAATTTAATTTGTATCATTTATATTTTGGGCCAAAAATATCCCCAAGTGATATTTTAAAACACTTAATATTCCAAACTTCATTTTTTTTTTAAATTTTTATTTTAAAATATATTTATTGAAGTTAATTTGAGTGTACAGGTAAACTGAGGTGCACACCTGAGTCGACCTCAACGCCACCTGTGCAGTGTGTACAAGTGAAAAAGCGCCGCAATGGCGTCGTACATAACCTGGTCGCTAGCGTTCTTCTTTATATGCTGTATAACCAGAGGTATTTATACTTCTCATACAATCCAATCAACATTATGCCATGTTTAAAAATGGTTTGAAAATATCTTAAATTTATTCATTTACGTTAAGTTCTTCTCATAATTACTTTAAAAACAAATTAAGATCGCTTGTTTAGGCCCTATTATTTTTTTTAGCATTTCCGGGTAACAAGGCCTAATGAAATGCCACTCAGTAATGCTGGATGTAATGGCTTTTTAGTTCAATTTTAATAAGTTTTTTTTATTAAAAAAGATATTCCATGCCATAACCAAACCTTGAGTAAACCCCTACTCACTGTTCCATTGCAATATAATAATTGGATTGATATATGGACCATATTTAATTTATATTCACCGTTACTCGATCAAATCTCAATACTCAATGAGACTTTCACTTTTATCCTTGATTAGTGATTAGGCCTATTTATTACAATTTCGCTATTCACTAAACTATATTATTGAGGGGTGCAGTACTAAGCCAACACTAAAAAAGTAAGTTTGTGTGTAAACCTCCAATTAGCAGAAGCTGTAGCCTGAAAGTTAATATAAAATTTAATCACTGCCACGCTAAGGCTAAAGTCTAAACTTCCTTCAAATAAGAAATTACCTATTATAATGGCATTATAAATTAAAAATATATATTAACTTATTATATCTGGGCTTAGTCATAGATCACTGATCAATAAAACTATAGGGTCTCTTAACTTAAGTCTATCATCAAAATTTAATTAAAATAATCTCATAATATAGATTAAATCTACAGGTTGTTTTGTCAAGTAATTATAAGAGTGTGAAGTTGGACTGCGATAAAGATTTCAAAAAGCCAATTAAAAACACATTGTATAAATAAAACAATATAGGTTAAGCTTTCATTATTGTTACACTGAATACAAATGCAAATGTTTCGGCCAATGCTTTCTTCAGTACAAAAAAAAACACCATTCATATTCATATAACTATAAATAAAAATTTAAAATCATACCTAAAAATGAAAGAAATCAATAAAAACTTAGAATGGGCACAAGTCCCTAATGCAAATAATGCTCAGAAGAATGGAAAGTTTTGTCACCTTAGATCCTTTCGTTTATTAAATTTCGGCATGTTGGAATGTAAATGTAGGCTGTTATTTGGCCATAGCTTCAAATGTTGTTCTAAATATTTAATTTCTCATTATCATTTATGAGATTAGAATGTCTCCATCTCTATTTGTATATATATATATATATAGGCCTGTATATATTTATGTGTGTTTCAGAATGTTTGTAAATATAAATATAAGTGAAGTCACTGATGATTTTCATTCATCAGAAACACATTATCATTTTAATAAATGATATTTTTCACCAAAGCAAAAACGAATTACTAATACCCTGTATTTCTGTGACATTTTATTCTGGGTGTGGCTATACAGTGCTACAACTTGGGGTTGATTTAAGTGCAGTTGTTGTTTTTTTACCAGAATGGCGTTATCATGTCATTTTCTATAATGTGTTCTGAACAACGAATGGGAAATATTGAAAAGTGAATTTATAAAACCAGTAGTGATAAAGGCATCAAAGTCGAAGGCTTAAAAAAAACTAATTTGATAATATAATCCTAAACCAGAAGTTCTCAACTTTTTAAGGGATGCATCCCCTTTATTATTACTATAATTATTATTAGTGGTTTTATATAGCGCGGTACGCCAGCCTAAGGCTTTGCTCACCACGCTGTACATACAATTTAACAAACATAATCATGCACTTAAAAATGAACATACATTAATTAAATTAAACAAAACAAATATATATTCACTCCATACATTCAAGAACTATTTACATGTCAAGGCATGGACGGCACCCAACAGCATCATTTATCAGGCAGAGGGGAGAATCAGTCAGTATAGTAGAGTTTAAAGAGATGTGTTTTGAGTGCAGTTTTGAAGGCTGTGATGGTCGGTATACTGCAGATGTGTAGCGGAAGAGAATTCCATTGTTTGGGGGCGCAGAAAGAGAAAGATCGTTCATCGTATGTTTTTGTGTGAGTCTTGGGGACAGAAAGAATACGCTCATCTGCAGAAGGGTGAAGCTGTCAAAGGGGTGAATAGACAGAGAGAAGTTCAGTTTGATAGGAATGGCAGGAATTCGAGAAAAAGTTGTGGCAGAGAACAGAGAGTTGGTAGTCAATCCGTGCTTGTACAGGGAGCCAATGAACTTAATGGAGTGACATGATCATGCTTTTTTTCCTTTAGAACTAACCTAGCAGCTGAGTTTTGAACCTTTTGTAATTTTTCTAAGAAGCGTTTTGGTGAACCTGACAGAAGAGAGTTGCAATAGTCAAGATGAGAGAGAACAAAAGCATAGACTAGGGTTTTTGTTGCACTAACTGTGAGGTAGTGGCGGATGGAGCTGATCTGATGGATAGCGGTTAATGCAGAGTGACAAATATGAGAGATATGATTATCGAGAGACATGTTGTTAGACAGAATAAAACCATTATTCCTAGCGAATGATGTAAACTGCATGTCGGAGTTACTTATTGAAATGAGGTGGGGAGAGCTGATTTAGAGGATGATTTGTGATCATGAATAACATCTGTCAAGTTGTGGTGATACACAACCAGAATTATACCTTGAAATTGAGAAACAGGTGTAAAGTAGGGGAGAGGAGCAGAGCTTTTTTGTAGATAAAAAGTTGTTTGTACTCTAAATTTGATCCGGGGTGGGGGGAAGCAGAAATAAGGACAACGAAGGGTCAAGGGTTCTGTAGAGGATCTCTGTAAGTCAATCCCTAGAATATTGTTGATATATTCACACATCCAATTATAGTTTTGTGTGGAAGCTGCCAACTTTTAATTTTAGGCACACACACAAATTAAACAACGAAGAAAGAAACAGCAAATTATAATATAACAAATTAACATTTAACAAATGAAAAGAAACTGCCAAACTATTTATTTTAATGATGTTAAATGTATCTTTAGTGTAGTAACAATAAGAAACTAGTACAATCGCTGTATATATTTACATTTTAAAATTAATATTCCAATAAGAAGAAAAGCATCACATTTTACATACCGTACAAAAACATTTTGTCAGATAACTAACTCATAACATTCAAACACGGAGCGTTTTTTTTCTTCATGTTTTCTGGTATAAATGATGCATAGTATTTAAATAAATATTTATATCATCATCATCGTGGCAATACCATTTCACCTTCTTTCAGTTAAGAAATTGCTTCACTTATTAAATGCATGTTAAATTACACTAGTATTATTAAATTCTATGACAGAACTTAGAAATGATCCATGCACACACACACAAACACAAACTTATGTTTCTGGGTAACATCAGCCAGTAAGCTTATGAAATGAAATAATAATTGTCAATAAAAACTGCCATGGTTATAACCAAAGATCGGCATCTTGCTAAAACAAATAATCACGCAAAATTAGCAAGTACCTTATAATTTTGAGAGCTTTGCAGTTTCATCTAGCTTAAATTTGGTTTTGCACAACTGTACTTTAAATTACATTTACAAAAAAAGGGGGCTATAAAAATTCATATAATTTCAAATGGTCAGACTAGCACCAATGATGCATAACTGGGCCTTATAATAGATATTACCACCTGCTCCTCAACAAAAAAAATTAAGTACCGGCACTTCACAATAAAAAAAAAAGAGATGAGATTGTCCGCCAAAAGAAAGAGAGAAGCAATTTTAATCATTGAACAATGAGATAATGCTGATATTTTATTCTCCATTTCAATAATAATATTTTGATGGCAATGATAAATTAATCAGTTGCTATGCACTATTGCAAAAAAGGGAATATTTGACTTATGAAGGGTGAAGATTTACACAAAATACAAAACATTACTATCCTATTTCGACCTTATCAATTATATAATACTTTTTGCCATATAAAATTTACTCTACTCTTAGGTTCTAGTTATTACAACTTTAAATTTAATAAATTTTCTGTTCTCTGCCGATTTCTATATCTTAAGCATCAAAAAGGATCCGTTCTACCTACAATGTGGCAGTAATGAAAAGGACTAATACTTGTATTTCTGTGACAATTTGTTCTAGGTCTGGCTATCCAGTGCTACCAATGTGACAGTAATGAAGACTACACATGTCCATCTGGTTATGCCTTTGACAAATCAGTTAATGCCTTGTTGGACTGCAATGGCTTTGAGGCGGACATTCCAGGCCAGTTTTGTGTGAAGATTTACCAAGAAAGTCCAGGATGTAAGTTAAATTTTTTTATTGCACAATTTTATAACAACCAACTCACTTTTTAACTAAGTTACATTTTTGATTGTTCATAAGCTAATTTTTTAAATTATGGATTGAAATAAACATGGATTCCCTTAATATAATCAGTCAAATGCAGAATTTTTGCATTCTCCATAAACACAACAAAATAAAAGCAAGTACTGACTCTTTCTGTGATTAAAAAAACTTCCAACATGTAATTTTTGAAGAGTGAAGGCTGAAAGTTTTGGGAACTGTTCTATAAAAAGATAAAATTTAAAAAAAAAAAAAATTTTATTTGCTCATTGTCATTAGATTTTTTTCTTTAATATAACAGTAACAGAGTAAGAAAAAATAATTAACATCCCATTGTGCCAATTTTTATTATTTAATTTTTAGAGGCCAGCTCTCTGGTATCTACGCATTTGATATAAACTTGTTGACTCTAACTTTTTGTTTATTTAAGGGGGAGGATGGCAAAAAACTACAAGACGTTGTGCAACACGAACTGTATTTGGTAAGTCTTTCCTATAATTTTCTCTGTTTTACTTTTAAAGTTTGTGAGCTAAAGGTTTCTTTTTGATTTTGTTTGTAGTTATTCAATTTGTAAACTATTTGTTAAGATTATGTAATTAAGTTAATTATTTTAGTATAAGATCAATTAAGAACAGATTTCGTTTTGACAGACAATTTAAAACTAATTTAATGGGTGTGTGTGTGTGATGTTTAGATGATCAATGCAAGTTGCTATAAAATCCCCCTCTATGATGTTGTTGAAATAATTTGATAAATAGTTTGAAAGTGAAAATTACAAAGTGACCACATTTTAAATGATTTAAATTATGTGTATTAAATTTAAATGTTCTTAAAAATAAAATACCATATTCTTCAACAATTTTTAGGTGTGGCTTGGGGTTGCCGTTGGTCCTGGGATTACACAGGTGTGTTTATGGAAACATGCTACTGTGAGGATGCTGATGGCTGTAACACATCGACTCATCTCAGATTCAGTGTCCTGCTCATGTCTTTGTCTTCCATTTTATATATTCTTTTGTATTTTGTGTAGTGTTTTTATATATATATGTTTTGTTTTTTTTAAAGTTTGTCTAAATTTTTACATTCCAGGTTAAACTTTTACAATAATAAGCTGAAAAGTTTGGTATACATTTCCTCAGTTTGAGACTAAACATTCCTTAATATAACATATTTGACAGTTGTGTTTCAAATTTTTCTTTTAAAATCATTTCGTTGAGAGAGTCATCACCAGCTATCATCTTTAAGAGCTTAAAATATGAGTCGTTAGCGTAGTATATTTTGTGTGTGTTTCCTGAATGAATGAGTTTGTGGAAGTGTGCATCCAATTAAGACTGGAAGTGTACATGCAGTTAAGACTGGAAGTGTACAAGTGAGTGAGAAAAACATTGGGCCATCCACCACCATATCAAACATATCACTGTAACATACGTTGGTTAATGATGTAAATAGTAATTTTCTTTTCTTAAAAATTTACTGTTATTTGTAAACCTGTAAATAATTATTTTGTGAGACAACATATTATACAGTTTTCAAGTTATCTTTCTATTGAAAATTATTATTTTGGTAGAATGTATGTACTAGGAATTCATTACATGCCTGTTGATAAATTTTCAGTTACACTGAGGATTTATTTTATTTATCTGTCTAAAAATATTTTAAAATTCCTTTCATTTGGATAAAATATAAATAGGATTTATAAAGATCTTTTTAGAGCACTCATTCCAGTTTGTCTTTATGAGGGCTATTATAAAATAGAGCACTCATTCCAGTTTGTCTTTATGAGGGCTATTATAAAATAGAGCACTCATTCCGGTTTGTCTTTATGAGGGCTATTATAAAATAGGCTGTTAGCTTAAAGATAATTCATTTTAAAACAAAAAGTTGTTTTTTAACAAGACCTTCTTCAATAAAATAAAAAGTATGAATTATTTCTGTCACTTGGTAAATATTTATAAAAATATCCTTTTAAAAGTGCATTGAAAAGGGTGAACAGTTGGATTAGATTCTGTATAAAGTGTCTCTTTGTAAAAGTAGATTTGTGCAGCTAATACTTGATTATTACTCAAGTAACTTATATTGCCTTGCCTCCAAATGTCACATGTATTTTATAAGATTAAAAATTATTATTCAAACTAAATCTATCTGCTCTTTGACTTACAGTTTTGACAATTAATAAAGTAAAATAATTTTTTAAATCTTATTCTATAATTCACTTTATTTTAACACATAATTATAGGGAATTTTTTTTATTTTTCAGCACACAAAAATATCACAGACGTTAAAATATATTACAAACATTGTATATAACATCATGAATTAAGTATAAACACGCATTTAAGTTAATATCATGTCAAGTAATAAATCATTTATTTTTTTGCAATACAAAGTGTATTGTGAAATCTATAGGGAAACAGTTGACGATGCATAAGTCAGTAGTTGTCCGCTATCATTATTTACTTATGTATATTTATAGTTAACAATTTATCTATTGTGGCAAACAATATTTTCAAAAATATAATTTAAACCTATAAAAAAAAACTGAGAAGTAAATATTAGATTGTAAAAGTAAATATTGAGATAAATATTGCTATATACATTGATTTAAAATAATAATTATGTGCAAGATTAAACTTGTCACACAACATGCATACCAGATTTATTCTCACAAAGCTAACAACATAATTTATTCCATGATATTGCAATCAGTTGCCGAACTACCATATCAATATAAATGACATAAGGAGTGAAAATAAACCAATACAAACTTGGTTGGTCACAACATATGATCATTTGGGAATAAATTCTGAACCATCATTTATACAGGTACAATAGTCCATTGATTAAAGTATCATGGAAGCAAGATATATTATTGTATTAGATTTATTGAAAAGCATTCATACATGCTCAACATGGCGAGAAAAAAATTAACTTTAAATTGAAGAAATTATGCTGGATTTAAAATGGATGGAAACAAACATATATTTATAGATGTAAATAATCTTTATACATTTATTTTCTTTCAAAAATCTTTCATCTAGAAAAACAAATGAATTGAAAAGGCCAAACTCACATTAATTGTACATGTATTACATATTGAACATAATGTAGACCTAAATGAAATATATTTACTGAATTGACAGAATACTGACTGTAAAATAAAAATATAGCAAAAACGATGACTAACTTATCCGAATAAAATTGTTTAAATATTGTTAGGAATATGTTCGGCATACATTTCCCATTGCTGGATTAGTCTAGTAAAGTAACAGACTAGGTGTGTAAATAAAATAACACTTCATCAGAATTTCCAATTTATTGTTCTGGTACCGGTACAACTTAAAATTTCTTGTCAATTTTTACATGCAACTTTTTATATACATATTTGGCAATTTAAAAAAAAACTATTTATTTTAGGCATCAATATTTGCTGAATGCAAATAAATCAAGGTGAAAACAAATTATATAATCATTATAAGTACAACTGATGGATAAATCAGGTTTAATTTGGTGAAATGAAGGACGGTTGTTGAGAATGGCTAGTGTGTTCTAACATTCTTTAGTCATCCAACTGACACAGGCTGGCAACGCCTCGATTGATCCAGTGGCTCTCTGGCTTGTCTGACGCAAGTTGAATGTACATCACAAAGTTGGTAGAGTGACCAGTTGTAGAAAGTGTTCCACGCCTGGCACTTGTCTTATAGACTGGACAAGTGTAGCTTGGCAGTTTTTGGAACTGATCGATGCTGTTTGGTTTAAGCCAGATCTGAGACATGGTTAAGGAGCAGCACCAGGTTTATTTTTATTCAAGGTTCAATCAAAGTGTGGAACTGCCAACCAGTCAAACTATTTTTTTTCCATTGTTGAAAACAAAAAAAAAGTATAAAACATCAATAATAAATAAGTTTAATGCTCATTTGCTGACAAAAAAAAAGGTAAAAGATATTTTTAAAAACATTATTTGAATTGAGGTAAAAAAGGATACATTTGGCATGATATCAAACAAAATTTTGGGGGCTGATTCTCCAATCACCATCTTGTCTCTGTCCCATTTGGCACCTTCCATAAAGAGGCCCTGATATGAAAGATAATAAAAAGATTGGTTTTAAAACTATTCAAGGTATAATTGTTTAAATAACTTTTCCATTTGATTAAACACATCTGTCACAAGAATCCAATGACAACTCTTTGTTAATACTAACATTTTGTTGACATCAATTTACTGAGTATTATAAGATCAAAGTCATTCAAAGTAATGTAACATTTAAGTCATTCAAAGTAATATAATTCATAACTCACATAAACAAATGCTCCATCTTCTGGTTTGCCAGTTGGGTTATCTTTCAGAACTTCAAATTCAAAACCTACGAGATCAATAGGAATTGTTGTCTTTCTGGCGTAGTTCTGGGAAACACCTTTATACAATAGAATTATAAATAAGTATTTACAGAGAAAAATATTTATGAATTCTAACTGTAATACTATAATAAACCTTTGGCATGAAATTTTCCATTAAACTAAATAAAATATGAAAATAACTAAAATATAGAAAACACATTATTTGTATATTAGTCTAGTATTTAATTAATAAATCACACCAGTAAGGAAAGACTGAGTGAAGTAAAAGCCAGACAACCAAAAAGTTGAAGGAGCTCCATTATCAATCCAATCTTGGAAAAACTTCAGCCTATGGAAAGTAAAAATATCAAAAGCTATATGTTCCATTTCTTTCAATGCACATTAAGTGTATTAAAAAAATTGTTTATTCTGAACAAAGAAAAATAAAAGATGGAAATGCACAACAGACGGATAAATACAAACTTGGGATGAAAAGCTCTCACCTGGCCAATAAATCCGCCACATAACTTCCAAGTGGCTTGAGACTTGGATATGACTTTGAGGCCCATGATGCTGGCACCTTGCCAACTAGCATGCTGTTAAATACTTCTTCCAATTCAGATGACATAACCACCAGACCTTAAGATTTAAAGCACTGTATTTAAATATCAAAAATAATTTCTCCCCTTTTAAATCATGAGATAATAACATATGTTTTAATCAATTTTACAGGTCTAAAAAAAGGCTGAATTAATAGTACATTCCTTATGGGTGACAAATGATATAGAAAAGATTACTATCCTGACCTTTGATCGCTTTCCTCATGTTGATCAAGGTTTTCCTGACAACAGAAATCAGATTATTGAAACGAATCAACTCCTGTCTCAGTACAGTGTTCATTGATTCCTCATAGACCACAGGATATTTGTTGATCACCTATAAAATATCAATTTTTAATACTGACACGAGTTAGAGTGAGTGTATTAAAAAAAGATCCCTAACATTTTTATTTTGTGAGTAGATTAACTTCTCATTATTTCCACTACATCACGCCCACCAAAGAAATGTCATTAAAAATCTAGGTTCCACATCTGTCAAAACCTTTATGAGTCAACAACTATGTCCATGTCCTTCATTTATCAAGTTTCTTTCATTCTCAGTACTTGATCATTAAAATACTCTATAGAAAAACGTCTTACGAATTCCAAGTCAAAGTTTTGCGGAAGCTTGCTGAGGATATCTGCAGCCAGGTTTTCCATGGCGTTTCCTGATGTCTGTCCACCACCGCCAGATTGACGAGGTAATGTTAGCAATATACTCTCAAAAAGCTGAAGATTTAATGTTTCACTAATTAAGAAATGGAAATGTCAAACAGAATGATGAATGATCAGGAATGTGTAAGTTTATAATAATATGAATACAGAGGGTTAGACCAATACTAACAATTTCAAACTGTAGCAGTTAAAATATGTTTCATTGAAGTAAAAATCTAAATTAAAGAGAAGAGTTACCAGTGCCGTCTCTTTGTTATCTTTCGTAATGTCAGCATTTTCATGCAGCCCAAACACTTCTGGCAAGGCTATAAAGGGGAGAGTTCTGATGTACTCAATGTAGCTTTGATAAGGTCCTTCAGGTGGAGCATAGTATAAGCCACTGGATGACAGCCTAGATTTATGCAATAAGAAAGGTCATAGTTAAAGAAAATAAAGCTAAAACTCGAAACAGACTATGAAACAAAAAATTAAATCAACACTTTTTGAGATGCTCAAAATGGTTTTTAAACTTTTCTGTTCTTACTATAACACTACTAATTTTTATGATATAGATCATTAACAATATAAATGAGACATATATTCGTAACTTACTTGTATTTATCATCTAAAACAATTCTTTCACTGTAAAAAACTGATAAAAGTGAATTCAGCAGACGTCTGTCCTTGTCATCTGTAACGCGGCCACCATAATTACATTCTCCTGTTAAATATGTCAGGGCCGGCAAGGGGAGGTCATCATAGTCATTTAAAAACATCTGTGATGGAAAATAAGTCCAAATTGCAATATCAGGTGATGAAAATACATTTTCACAAATCAATAAAACGGCATTTAATAATGTGATTTCAGATACTTGCTTTTCAACTTATCCTTAGACTATGTAATGAAAATTGAAAGATGAAATTAAAATGTAGGCCAGTAGTGAGACCAAGTCAAAAGATTGGCTCTATTCAAATGTGAAAAAAAAAAAACCCTTCTTAAAAAAAACATGGTGACTTTCTGTATAATAGATAAACAAAAAACTTATTTTAAAAATCTAATAAAAATAATTTTCTTCAAGTAAACAAACCTGCATTTGTCTCATACTGATTCTCAAATCAGATTCATTAAATTCATATGGAATATTCCATCCCAGAGGTCCAAATTTACGTCTTTCTTGGACCAGGGCATGGAAAAAGCAAAGGCCAAACAACATCTTGTGCCAAGCTTTACGCTGTGAAAAAGATAAGAAAATGAAAGTAAAAACAATGGATTATTTACACAACTTCTAGCAAAACTGACATTATGGACGAGGGCAAAGATAATGCACCAGCTAATGAAGTGGTGCCTTCAAAAGACCTGTAACTGCACACCAAATTCATCATCGTCTTCAAAATTCACGTGTAGTATATTCACTGTTGAGTACTGATATATCATTTTATATGTTGTTAAAATTAGTAGGTTTAAGAGTGCAGAAATTGTTTAAGAGCATGGGAAGTGCTATAAGAGTGTGGAAAAGGATAATAATATTGTGGGAAAATATAATGTCTTACAATGTATATAAATATTAAAATAAATATAAGGTTGCTACTTTATGGGTTTTCGCATATCAGGATTTTCTTGAACCTAACCCCCATGATAGACAAGAGACCACTGTATTTATAAATACTGAAAACCCCAAATTAACCTTCCGCCGGCACGTTAATGAGAGATGACAGTGAGCTCTGCTTATCAGTAGCTTAACGTTTTCCTTTCCTTTACAGGCCAAGGCTGCTAAGTGTGTAGAAAATGCTTTCAGAGTGTAGATTTTGGCTGTTTTGTTCAAACTGATACCCCTCGTCTTTGCACGTTACTTTTTTTGAAGTTGACAATTATATTATTTTTTGCTCTAGTAAGAAACTTTTTTCATATTTGTATATATACTGATACATTATCTTATAATTAAATAGTAAAAATCATATTGATACATTGCGCCAAAATGAGATATCTATACTGATCCGTATATACATCAGGTTACTTCTAATGTCTATGATGGCGGATATCTATACTGATCCGTATATACATCAGGTTACTTCTAATGTCTATGATGGCGGATGGTAGGAAAATGTTTGATTTTAAGAATCTCAAGGATATAGTAGAAATTTTTAAAAAACACTAATTGGGGATGAATTTTATATTGTAATTTGGTTAAACTATTTAAAAAATTCATTATTTTACAAAATTTCAGTAAAAAACAAATTTTACCAATCACTCATTAGTGATATCAAATTGATACACAGCGTCAGCCTTGTTGCTAAAAGAGCGCGCCTGCCGGAAGGTTAATATGACTTTTTTCATGCCATGGTATCTTAAGTACACATTACCTACCTTATTACAGCCTTCCCAGAAGGTGGTGTCAGAAATGGGGTCATTTAGATATGACCTGAGAAGGTTGGCTCTGAGACCTTTGGGTGGTTCATTTGTCATTTTGACACCTGTCAATCATTTGAAATTTTTCTCAATAAATAAAGAACAGTTTAAAAAATTGTTGTCATGAATTAAATACATTCCAAAGGTAGCCGAGAGGTGACGTGGCTTACAGTTTAAAAATCACAATCAGGTCTGAGAACTATAGTTTTTTTAAATTTACGTTAGGTACAATCCATTGACAGAGCCAACAGTAAAAAATCTCTCACACAAGCTGACGATCCGAGGTATCCGTTACACACAACAATCTAAAAAAATGTACACATCCCAAGTCCCAGTTTGCTCCCCTTCTATCGCACAAGTACAAGGGAACCCGCATCCCGAGCTGATCATGGATCAACCCCGGGGCAGGGATGGTTGCTCCCGCGTTTCAATAACCAAACATAAAATTTAAGCCCAGTACACAGCTGTGTGTTACTTTAAATGACCATGGATGTGTGCGTGCTTTGGGTTACCCACAGCAGTCACACTATGACTATGAGAGTGGATTCTCTTATTCCTATCTGTTGCATACTGCCGCATACAAAATGTTACCAAAAAGCAGTTGCAAATAGTGGCACGTTGCCACACACGAGTAAGTATTTTAGAAATATTTTTATAATAGTTTTATAAATGATGATGAAGAATTATTTTACAATCAAGCATGACTTAAGAATACGTTTGAGTCATGAGATTAGATCTATTTGTGGAAACCAACCATTCTGTAAAATTGACACAGGGAAGCTGTCTGAGGGATAACTTGTTAGCCAGAGTCGGAAGTCTTCATTGGTTGATTCTGGCACTATCACCTGCAAGATGGTAATGATGGACAGATTGAGGTTTTAAAGCAATCAACAAGCTTATTGAAATAAAGAGCATTTCTGAAATGACGTAAATTGTTTGAATAATTTAAATTAATCCTATATTAATACCAGCCATATAATTTCTTTGTATTTAAGTGACAGAATTTGTTTAATTCTCTAAGCCTAAATTTATCAGTGTCTTTTCAAACTTTCATGTTTGTTCAGGTGAGATGAGTTAGGCTATGTTGACGTTAGAGAGAAAGTAAAAGATTTGTTGATTTCGATGTTGGCTCAGGTGAGATGAGTTAGGCTATGTTGATGTTAGAGAGAAAGTAAAAAATTTGTTGATTTTGATATTAGCTCAGGTGAGTTGAGTTAGGCTATGTTGATGTTAGAGAGAAAGTAAAGGATGTGTGGATTTCGAGTTTAGCTCAGGTGAGTTGAGCTAAAGGGTTCATGTTTGAAGATGATTTTAAATTATTCAATTTTTCGAGTAATCTAAAAGTTTAAGTTTGTTCCGACCTCTTCACAGATTTTCTCAAGTTTGGGCATCCAACTAGTGGCCAGGTGACAGTTCTGTAGCACAACCCAAGAGCCGTCACTGATTGCTCTATCAATCATTTTAGCTGCAATTGGTCCCTGTGTTTACAGAATGAAAGGAAGATTTAATGAAGGAAACTTTTTCTCTGGTACAATTATTAAGTAAAAATATTTAAAATAATTTATGAATCACTGAACAACAATCAAGTCTAACCTGTCCTTGACCCAGTGATATTGTCTGTATCATGTTGGTCTTATAACCCCTGTCCTCCCCAAACTTCAGGAGCGCCATCATGGGATCAGCACCAGGGGAGAGAATAAAAATCAGGGGTGCGCAGCAGTTAGAGTCGGCAAATGAGCCTGGAAGATCAAAGGTCGGCGGCTCAATGTAGGCCTGACCCATATTTTCAACAATAAAGTTTTGAACAGCCGGAACTATTTTATCTGGGCGAAAGCATCTGAGAACAATCATTGCATCGAGGCCAGTCAGTGAGTCCCATGGGGTCGGTAATTTGTAGTTATGTGGTGCTGAGTTGTCATAGAATTTCTTCCAAGTATCTGGCTGTTTGTTCACATCTATTATAAAAAGCAAAACACTTTATTGCATTGTATAACACAAAAGCATATATTGCATATTAAAGAAAGAAAATTAAATTTGTTCACCGATTACACAATCAATAAATAAAACATTTCTTTAATAGACAAAAATATTTAAAAAATTTATGCCTGAAAATTTTTCAGGTAGTTAAATTTATTTTAAGATAATTAACAAAGAATTCAACTATTTTTTCTTTAATTCTACATATTTCAATAATAAATTTAGAGATAGATTTGACAATTTGAAGTTATTTTTTAAAAATCACTGGTGCCAAACCATCTATAGTTAAAATAGAGAAACCAATTGCTAACTAATTTAAAGATTTAGCTCTTGACTTGATTTCATGATAAATTTTTAAATGAGGCACTTTTCTAGCAGGAATATTACTTACGATCTTTCAAGCCCTTAAGGTTGGGAAGATTGGACGCACGGACAATTTCTGACCAAGCTTTGTCCGACAACCAGGCAGTTGCAGGGTTGGGAAGTGGATTATCTAATGCAACACCACCAGTGAGTAGGAATCTCCAGACATTTTCATCAACCTTGCCTCTGTGAAACAAAGTGGTCATGAGTAATGGAAATTTGGCTCTAAGTCTACATCTATATAATAATATAGATTTTACTTACAGTTTTAAAAAAAATTATAAAATTTAATTGTAATGAAATAACCAGAATGTCCTTGTAGTCAAGGGTGAGCATGAACAACCATTTAACAAGTAGAAAAAATTGTTGTGTAAAATAATGCGGAATTTTGAACACAATCTACTCACTGGCCTTTCTTTATACCAATACACAAGACGAAGGAGAACAGAAGTTTATCTTTCTCAAACAGAGATCGGCAGACATTGTTGTACATGCTGTATGTGAAATGTTCATTAAGGTTTATGATGCGATCTTGCAGATCTTCTGAACGTTTGCTGTTGAGTATTGACTGGGGAAAAAAAATTTACACTTTATTTGTGTAACAGAAAACAATTTATACTTTATTTGTGTGACAGATTTGTTTCTATAAAGTTTTCAGGACAGTATCAATGAACCTGATTTTTCACATAGCTCCTTATATTATACAATGCTACTTTCATATTTGCATTTTGATTATATTTGAGAGCATATCCGGTATTTATACTATGGAATCCATGAACAGAGTATCACAATGCTGACTAAAGTCTGTTCAGCTTTCAAAGTAGTTTGGGTCACACATTTGGGTCACACACTTGGGTCACACATTTGGGTCACACATTTAGGTCACACATTTGGGTCACACATTTGGGTCACACATTTGGGTCACACATTTGGATCACACATTTGGGTCACACATTTGGATCACACATTTGGGTCACACATTTGGATCACACATTTGGGTCACACATTTGGATTCACAAGATTGGATTCAATAACATTGATCAAACAAGAATGGGCTTTAAAGAGACGTTTTCAGAAACGTTTACATTGATTCATTCTTTTATACAAGCTTTTAAATATTTGTGAGTATAGACAAATGACATACCTGACAGTTTGGGAAAATGACATATCAGACAACATGGACAAATGACATACCTGACAACATGGACAAATGACATACTGACAACATGGACAAATGTCATCTGACAGCATAGAAAAATGACATATGCAACAGCATGGACAAATGATATATCTGACAACATAGACAAATGACATCTGACAGCATGGAAAAATTACATACCCAACAGCATGGAAAAATGACATGCCTCACAGCATGGAAAAATCACTATGTCAATATGGGCAAATCAAATTTCTTACAACATAGACAAATAACACAAAACAACATGGACAAATGGATGCCACGTAGTAAAGACAATTTGCCTATCTGTATCCTACCTGTAAGTATGATTAATGACCTGCCTGTAACTTTAAATGAACCTACCAGTAAGTATGATTAATGACCTGCCTGTAACTATAAATGAACCTACTTGTAAGTATAGGTTTATGAACCATGTAAGTGAGTACTGGTACATGGGTTCTATGTTGGCCAGGTCAGAGATACAGAAAAACAAGATGGAGGAATGTAGGGCAACCGGTTTGTAACCATTTCTAGTCTCATCAATCTCTTTCTCAGTTGACACAGCAATTTCCTGTTTGGCTGAGATTTCTTCTGAGAGAACTTTAGACGATGAGAGAACTTTAATGGCTGTTTCATCTTCCAGAATGTTGCCCTGTTAAAGGAAACATGAAAATTGAGAGCAAACATTAAATAATCAAAGAAAGTAAATTTTGCAATAAAGTTTTGTCATTGATGGCTAAAACTGATGGTGAGAAACATCACTGTGCTGTCCTGTTATTTTACAAGTTCATCTCAATGTTCAGATAGAGTGTGTTCAATTAGAAAAATCATCGACCCTAACAGGACCCAAGTATTTCCGATCACTGCCAAAGTGATAATTTTTACCTGTGAAGTTGACCAGCATTTGTAGACTGACCTGTGAAGAGGATAAGACTTCCAGGATTTTATCCTCAATCTCCTTCAACTGCTTCCTGTTGGCCGCACTCTCCAGGATCAGCTGATTTTTCTTTTCTTCCAGTTCAGGTTTTTCTTTGGCAGCGACAATTCCCAACAGTTGGTCCTCGAGACCTTGAGGTGTTATCATGAAGTTCAAAAGACAAACTTTGACGGACACTTCAGGCAGGTAGTGAGGATTTCTTAGTCCAGTGGTGATGTACATCTGCAATGAAGGGAATCTTTCATAGACTAAACAAAAAATGGAATATTATATTGTTAAAACACATTCCTTTTTTATTCCAAGTGATGTCAACTTTTAACATTAAATTTAAAAAATCTGTCAGTTTTCCTAACCTTAAAATCTGGCGAGTATTCAATGATGTTATCTCCAAGTCTCATGTACTCCACCCCTTGCTGTCTGAAGGTCAATTTCTGCAACACTGGTTCAAGAATTGGGTCAAGCTCTTCCCCGACATTCTCCAGCAGGATGGGGTTGCCAAACTGGATGCTGTTCTCTAGAGTGCGCATGTAGCCACCATCAGAGAGTTTGATAATGTTGAGTTTGTTGGCTTTCTCCATATTCTTAATCCACTTGTTGGCTTGACCTTGAAATGGAAACAAACACTCTCTAACTATTCCATTTTAACCCACGAACTGTGGTAGGCCAAAAAAATCAGCAGATATTTTTGTTCTGCACTGTGACGGTTGAAAAAATCAGCCAATAAAAAAACACGGTTCTATAGCAACTTCAAATTCAATATTTAACCAGAATTATAGCCACTTCCATTTACTAATAATTAAATCATCTTCCGGGTCAAGCTGTTTGTTGATAACTGATCAATAAGTACATTTTAATCAGAATTTTATATCGCTATTTTTGTTAAAGCTAAAATGGCTGAAGCTACGGCTGGGCCTTCAGTATGAGAACTAATAGAAATATTATCTGTCTATCTCTCTGAACTGTTGCTTCCTTACATCCCCACAAGACAACTACGTTCTTCCATTGACAGTAGAACCCTCTCAATCCCAAGAACTAAAATTAAGACCATCGGTGAACGCTCCTTCTGCTTCCATGGGTTCTGGAACCAGCTCCCCTTCCATATACGTCATAGTGAAACCTCGTCCATTTTCAAAAAGTCCCTTAAAACTCATCTGTTTAGGTCCGCCTATGACCTGTGATGCACCCTCCTTGCCCTACCTAATTTTCTGTTTCGGTTTAATCCTGAAGTGTCAAAGTGTCCTCTTTTTATAGCCATTTTCATTGTTTCTATAGAATAGTAGTTACTATCCTAGTGTCTCATTTGTATTTACTTAGTTTACATGTTTTAATAATTGTAAAGCGCTTAGAGCTTTATGATAAGCGCTATATAAAAATGCCTAAATAAATAAATAAATAAATAAATATTTTTGAAGGCTTTTTAATGGAATTAATGATGTTATGAGCACTTGAAAGCAAGACATTTTGTCAATTTTTCTATCTGAGAACTCAAAGGTCAAAGACACTGAACAAACATTTTTTACGGGTGGGAAATATAGCCAACTTTATCCCCATCCATTTACCTTTCTAAAAATATAACTTATTAGGGTCTTGTATTAATATTTCTATGTCATTTAATGCTATTTCTAAAGGCACTCAAAAAGCTCTGATAAGCTTCCACACTACGGAATGATGCATGCCACAGTTCGTGGGTTACAAACATTTTTTTAATCAATTTTGTTTTTGGGGGGTGGGAGACTTATAGAGTAAGCTGATGTACTGATGACACAGTGAGGATAGTTGAGACACACAGGAAATTACAATTTTAAAATGACAAATTAAAGCAAGTAGTATGCCTGCCAAGCTCCTCATTCAGCAAAAAAAAAAATAAAATGTGACCCTAAAAAAGAACAATCAGCTCATAGCAATTACAAATGCACCCCCTATAATGTATAAAGTATGTTTAAGTAGACACTCCATTAGAGTTAATATTTATTTATTGTTCAGACTTTCCTATTATCTAAATATTTCCTTATTCACTGTCTCTGTTACATAACCAAATATATACCTAGTAAAATATCATTAAATAATTTCAGTCATGCAAACCTTGTGGGTCAATCATGAGAGGCCATCTTCTAGATTTGGACACGATGATGCCGTTGTCAACACTGAAGGCATCCACCGGGAGTCCCGCAATATTCCATGCTCGAATTTTGACTGGCTCCCCAAGCGTTGCACTAAGGGAAAATACCTTGGAAGAAGGTATGTTACGCTTAACACACTGCTCATGCCATTCCTTGGTCATCATCTGAAGAGAATATTAGACTTTAATATAAAATCTTATATGTAGTATTATATAGCATCTTATCTGTTTAGTTACATGTACTTCATCTTGGATGAACTCTTTGTAAATTATTATGTGTTTTTGTAGATTTAATTGTATGCATTTATTCTTATATATTTACTCTGATATATACAACTATACTAATATTTCACATTTGAAATTTTACAAAATTTATATTTTATTTTTTAACAAGAACATTAAAAACTGTCAAAACCAAAATAAAATTACCAAAAGACAGTGATTTCTTACTTGTCTGAAGTCGACAGTGAATGCCCCATGGTAAGCTACCACACCTGATGAGATGAGGACATCTCCAGTAATATTTATATACATTTCTCCAAGAGCTCGAGCAGCCTCTGTCCATCTGTCCTTCTCGCCACCAAGACCACCAATTAGTTTTTCAGCTCGGTCCAGTTTCTTGGAGCACAGGTCAATATTACTTTCAAGATCTTTCTTTTTTTGTGTCATTACCTCAAATTCATCATTCAGCGCTTGGAGTTTGTCTGTTACCTTGACAATGGAGAATAGTACAGTTATATCCTCTATTGACCATACTAATATTTTAAAATAGTAGAAAACCTATGCAAAATGTCACTAGCCAATGTAATATATAATTTGCTCCTTATTCTGCAATCAATGAAAAAATAGTCAGTAATTAATTGTATAATTCTCTTAGTTATTAATATTGGTAACAATTTTATTTAAGATGATGTTTATAGTTTGGGGAGGTGGAAACAGAATAAATTGAGTAGTTTCCAAGAATTATTTCTTCTCATTCTTTAAGTGCTTGTATCTTTATCAGGAGGCTTTTTAAATTTAATGGCAAAAATTTAGTTTTGATATATTAATTTAATTATTTTTTTAATTAAAAAATCCTCATTCTGATTGGAGGATTAGAAATCGAAGGCACTGTGACTTACTGCCTGCAACTGGGCTCTCTTCTCATTTAACTTTTCCATCTGGACGGAGAGTTCTCCTTCTGCCTCTGCCAATTTGGCCTTTTTGGGAGCAACAACCTTAGCTACTTTATCATAGATATCCATGGCCCGCACCCACTTGCACAGGCCTTCACACGCAGTTGATGCATTTCTTATAAGCGTCGGGTCAAAATCAGGATTGGCAATGTACCTAAAAGATCGTTCAATATACATTCAAATTTAAATTTGTGCACTGCAAGGCGTTCAGTAAACTTAAATAAATTTTTGTCTTCATTTTTATTAATATTATAAAGATGATCTATCCTTAGTTATAAAACATTTTTTTTTTTTGGATAAAAATATCTGTGAGGTACTAAATGATTTCTTTCTTAACTTATTTTGATTTTGTAGTATTCTAGACATTGAAAGCTTTTCAATCAAACATTAATTTAAGAAATTTACATTGATTGCTATTGACAATATCCATAATTTCCTCTCCGAAGACTTAACAAACCCACTTTTCTCTAATCTTCTTGATGATAGGGGGTGAAATGTTATCCTTGTCATAAGTCTTTAGCCTGTCAAGAAATTTGAGATCTCCCAACAATTTCATGGAGGGACCCCAATAGTCCTCCATCATCTTTCCTGAGCCGGATGGATCTGGTTTACGTTCAGATTTGATTCCTAGCATGACACAGACTGATTCCATCACAAGTTTTACAGCTGATGGTGGGTTCTAGGGGAAAACAAAATTATAATTTATTTACAAAACTGAATAGGGTATCAGGTTATTTTGATGGAGCATTCCTAATTTCTAATTAGTTTTTTTTCTCAGTTGGAAGATTTCATTGTATATTAATTTGTTTATTTTGTTAGACGAAAATAAGTCTAACATTTTGTAAGCATTTCAAGAGGCCATTTCTTATGACATTCAATTAGAAAAAGAGAAATTAAATGACCTACTTTCATGGCCTTGACATTAGAAACATCTGCAGGTTTGAGAGTATTTAGAGCAGTGATGGCTGCCTCTAAAGCAGGAATAGCTTCAGCAAGATCTCCTTCACAGTCATCTTTGATAGCCTGGGCAGCTGCAGCAGCTTCATTAGCTACAGCTTCATCTGCAGCTACAACCTAAGAGTGTAGAGCTGAATGTACTATTTTGCATTGTAAAGGTTATATTCTTTTTGCTAAATTGTCTGCCCTAGACTCAAACAAAACATTCTGTTGTAACACAAACATTTAATAGTAGTAATGACATGTAAAAGCAATGAAATAAACATCTTATCAAGAGTTGATTGTTTACTTATTATTCTTGTATTATTCAAATTTGTCACATTGACATTTGAATAAACCAAGCCAATAATTGACACAAGTTTTCTTACCTCTTTCTTAGCCTCCACTTCCACCGTGTCCTGTTCTATTTTTATCATGAGTTTCTCTGTGTCGGCTGAAGTTTTGATCAGTTCCGGTTGGAGGTCGGTCAGCTCTTGTTGCATGACTGACACTTGTGACGCGGCAAATTCCAGTTTCTCCAGACCCACAAGGTAACGGTTTTTCATGGTCATAAGCTCTTCTCTCTTCACCGTGAGAAGGGACTTGAAGGTGAGGATGAGCTCAAGATATGAGGTTGGTGTCACATAGTTATGGCGTCTGAGCACATCATAGTATCTTGAGGGGTTGAAAAATAGAAAATAGTAATACCACAGATCAAAGGCAGCTTTTGAATGTTGAATGAATGCAACTAATTTTTCTGGTAGATTAAAAAATCAATAATAAAAAAAATATTTTTTAGGGGAGAAGATGTCAGCATTCATTTTCTTTTGTACAGTAAAACATTAGCTATAAAATAGTTCCATAGAACAACTAGGCATTTGATAGTTGGGATAAATAATGTATAAAGTTATGCTTATAAAGAATAGCAAGCATAAAATGAATAAATTGAATGATGTTTGATTTTGATATTAAGAAAATTAGCAAATGGCTTTACTTCTCTGAAGCGAGCCTGACAGACTCATGGAAATGCTTGCACATGCTGACGGTCTCTAGCTTCATGCTGTCGTCCATCTCTATTTCTTCCAGAAACTTGTTTGCCACCATTTCCAGGGCATCCTCGGGCCACGCCTGCAAGCAAAAACAGCTGGATTTATCTGAGTGTTCAGAGCTAGTACCATAAACTAAGGACTTGTTTATTTTAACTGACCTTGGTAACACATATATATACACAACACACATTGTTTTTGTTGGTTTGTTGTTGTTTTAAAATCTGTAGGGTGTTTTTGGATACGTAATTAAAAATCTATGCAATAAAGAAAAATCTGTATTAAAATTAAAAGATTAAATATTTCAAAAAGTTAAATTATAAGCAAAATGGAAGTGTAAAAAATAAATATTATGTAATTTCTAATAGGTAAGAATGAAGAAAAAAATCTACAACCTTAAATTTATAAATGGTTTCACTAATGTAGTCTAACTTTTGAGAGAAATGTAAAATGTAAAAGAAATTGTTTAACTAGGTGTAGGACTAACTTACCTGAAACCAGTCAATAGTGCAGCAGTTGATGAGTGAAGGGAACATTCTCAGCCTGTTCCTGAAAGCATCTCCAATAGGGGACATGGCCAGCACTATATGGAGCTGTTGCTTCACCCGGGCAATGAAAAAGTTGTACATGGCCAGAGGTGTCCCATCCAACTGGCGACCCTAGAACAATAAATATAGTTTTTCAAGTGTAGGAAAATAATTTTTTTTCTCTAAAGTTTACCTTAAAAAAAATGAATACATTATTTATGACATTTTATTTATTGGTCCATTTACCTCCATCCTGGCAACTGCCTGCATTTTTTCAATGACATCTGCCTTTTCATCACTTGGAAATATGTTTGGTACATCACCAGTGTTGAGAATCATGCTGATATCCTCCATGAAAGACTCATCTTTGATTTGGTTGTCAGAAAACAAGAAAACTGTTGGTTTGCCTTCTACTCCAGCTTTACGCAGGAGCTAAAATATTTGAGAAAAAAAAATGTTTTGGCCAGATGAAAACTAGCACTCATATGTATCGCAACAGCAAGTCATGATAATGAAGCTATTTTTTCTCAAACTGATATTCCGGTTCAGGATTTTTATATTTGAATGAACAGCTCGGCGCATACAATAAAATCAATTAGGTTTCATAAAAGCACTGAAAGTTTCTTAAGTTTCATCAGTGATATGAAATAAGGTGAACATCAAAAAGAATTATGCTGCATGGATTTAAAAAAAAAAAAAAAAATGAAATCTAAAATAAGCTCATACGAGTAAGTCGGGTGGGCAAGCCTAAAAGTAAACATTTTAACAAATACAAATTTTATTGACAAAAAATGATTTATCATTACCCTTTTCAAATCTTCTCTCCATTCTGTATTGCCATAGATTTTTGTGATTTCTATTTGGAAAAGATCATAGTTGGCCATAAAAGTGGCCAGTTTGGCTGCACTTTGTCTGCCTGAGCCTCCAATACCTGGAATGAAAATTTCAATTTTATTTTTAAATTCCTAATAATCAAAATAGTCATACGATGGAGAATTTAAAAAAAAGGGGTGGGGTTGCGCTAAGTGATTAAGTTGCAGTGGGTGAGTATTGGGAACATTCTGGGCCTGGATCATGTTATATGTTACCAGAAATTTTGTAGAACTCACTTCCCAAAAATAATAAAAAACATCAAATAAATCAATTTAAAAAGAGGATTTAGTGAGAAGCTCAAGAAAATATTTTTGGTTTCTTTATCCAGCTAAGATAACAATATTTCAAAACGTCCTCTAGAACTCTGGTCCTGTTGTGTAAACAACAACTCACCAACAAGTAGGGCATGTCCATTGTCTTGGAGCAGCACGCGGCTGACACGCGACATGTGTTCAATTGCAAACTTGAACATGACTAACTTCATGGGGGCTTTGCTAACCAAGTTATACTCATCTAAGTAACTGTGAAGGCAATGTGATGTTAGGCACATGTGACGTGGTGACAATGGTGATAAGTGACAATAGTGATAAGTGACAATGGTGATAAGTGACAATGGTGATAAGTGACAATGGTGATAAGTGACAATGGTGATAGTGACAATATCATGATGTTTGAAATACGATAGGTAATTAAAAAAAATTGTAAAACTCCTCAGAAAGTTCTAGACTAGACATGCTGACAGGTAGTCATGTACACAGCCATTGGCTGAGATATCTGGTGAACTGTTCAGCTCAATTTTTGTGTAAAGTCATTGAAGCCCTTTAAGCTCAATTAAGTGTGATGATATTTTAGGTCATCTAATGCTACTACTTTACATTCCAGTATGAAAGCAAATCTTGTTTAACTTAACTTGTTGACAACGATTTATGAAATCCCCATGGCGTGTTCCTTGTTGCAAACACATTTAAAAGTAAGAAAATTTCAATCAACTCACTGCTCCATCACAGACGTCAGCTGTTTGAGGTCTGTTATTTCTGTGTACACCTTGTTCTCAGGATTGAAGAAATCTCCGAAGAAGAGGCTGCGGATATCAGCATCTGTAACCTTACCGCTCTTGGAAAGATGACCGAGTATTTTGTCGATGTTCTGTTTGAAACTGTCCTGGCAGTTGTTCCTCACGATCTTGAAGAACATGTTCCTTGGTGAAAAAAAAAATTGGTCTTTGAAATATTGGTAAAGAGGGGAACCTTGGAGTCGCACTGTGTTTAATTTAATATCCATGCCGCCTGGGAGAAGATCAGAGGAGGATGAAGGTTATGTTTTTTTTCTCACCTGTCATCATCATCAATAAGTCGGTCATAGAAGACTCGGTAGACTTCGTGGACCCAAAGTCTCAAAAGTTTTTCCATTTCATTCATCTCTGTTGGCGGAACTAGCAGCACACCTCGTATGACCCGAGCGAAGTCTCGCAGATTGAACACGTAATGAGATTTGGTGGGGGTAGGCAAAAAGTTGGCGATGGCATCCTTGTACACACCCATAGTGGCAGCCACTAACAACTGGAGATAACCAGGCAAGACATGTTGTGATATGTGTGGCGGACAGACAGTTCAGACACAGAAACACATATACAAAAATGTATAGTCAAACACACACACACACACACACACATGTTCACAAAGCTCACACACACACACAAAGCTAACAGAAAGACAATGACATACATGAAAACACATTTCTTTTAACTAAATTGGCCTTTTAAGCTCAAAATGTTTTATTTAGGTCAACCTCGTCTAAATTATGGCTAACAAGAGTGGTTTATATTTGAAAGGAGTTACCTTTCCATTCTTGACAAAGCTTGTTTCAAAGCCGTTGGCAAAGTGCCAGTCAGTGATGGCAGTGAATATTTTGGTCATGATGCTATCCTCAAACTCATCGATAGAGACAATGTTGAGATGACGTGTAAATCTTGAAGTGATGTCATTACGGCCACCACCAGGGGGCCCCATGGCACTGACAAACAGCTGGACACAAACACAATGCACTAGTTAGAATTGAGTGAAATCTTGTTGTTGCTGTTCTTTGATGATTTTGGCCATATTGTAGATAAGGCATCTTTTATAGGACAAAGTTAGCAGTCAATGTAAAGTAAAGGACATATTTAACAGTCAATGGATAGTTGTGGACAAAATTAACAGTCAATGGATAGCTGTGGACACATTTAACAGTCAAAGGATAGCTGTGGACACATTTAACAGTCAATCGATAGCTGTGGACACATTTAACAGTCAATGGATAGGTGTGGACACATTTAACAGTCAATCGATAGCTGTGGACACATTTAACAGTCAATGGATAGCTGTGGACACATTTAACAGTCGATGGATAGTTGTGGACACATTTAACAGTCAATGGATAGCTATGGACACATTTAACAGTCAATGGATAGCTGTGGACACATTCAACAGTCAATGGATAGCTGTGGACACATTTAACAGTCAATGGATAGCTATGGACACATTTAACAGTCAATGGATAGCTATGGACACCATTTGATATTTGACACATTTAACAGTCAATGGATAGCTGTGGACACATTTAACAGTCAATGGATAGCTGTGGACAAATTTAACAGTCTATGGATAGCTGTGGACACATTTAACAGTCAATGGATAGCTGTGGACACATTTAACAGTCAATGGATAGCTGTGGACACATTTAACAGTCAATGGATAGCTATGGACACCATTTGATATTTGACACATTTAACAGTCAATGGATAGCTGTGGACACATTTAACAGGCTGTGGACACATTTAACAGTCAATGGATAGCTGTGGACACATTTAACAGTCAATGGATAGCTATGGACACCATTTGATATTTGACACATTTAACAGTCAATGGATAGCTGTGGACACATTTAACAGTCAATGGATAGCTGTGGACAAATTTAACAGTCTATGGATGGCTGTGGACACATTTAACAGTCAATGGATAGCTGTGGACACATTTAACAGTCAATGGATAGCTATGGACACCATTTGATATTTGACACATTTAACAGTCAATGGATAGCTGTGGACACATTTAACAGTCTATGGTAAAGTTGACAATTTATTCCCACCAAAGAAAATGTAGACTCACCACATCATTTAGGAATATTTTCGATGTGTCTTTTCTGTCGTACCAATGTCCGTGATCTATCCACTGACGGAGCAGCTCTATGGGGGGCTGGGCACCATACTTTTCTTTGGCTGGCATGTTCAAGTCATCCACAAATACTACAGACTTCTTGCCCATAGGGGGCCCAAAGACACCTTTACGACGCCTTGTTTGGAGAGAATTTTTTAAATACTTTTACTTAGTATTTTGAGAAAGAAGAGAGAAAAGGATTTTGGCGGAAAATCCTGAATTGAGATATAACTGGACAAGAGTCTTTCTTAAAAGCACAGCCCAGTCCAGGCTCTTTTTAACCTTACCTACATGTTAGACTACAAGAAAATAATAAAGCAAGGAACGGAAAATACAACTGACCTGTCCAGTTTGGACATAATGATGTCTTGAGTCTGATTGGCTGATGTACGAGCTGAGAAGTTGATGCAGTTAGGGATGTATCTGGGAAAATAAGAGCATTTTGCAGCTGTTGAATCCATGCATTTTATTCTAAAATTTAAAATTATGTTTAATGATTTTTAGTCGTTACAAATTCATACTTAAGTTCTTTCACTGTTGCATTGTTCTAGACCTGGTCATCAAACATGTATTTTGTTTTAAAGCACCTGTGCTCCCTAAATTGTTGTATCAGAGGTTTATTATTGAAATAATATGAGAACACAGAGACTAAAAGAGTTTTAAAAACTTCACTTGAAAAATTGGAACACATTTTATTATCTGATTTAGAAGGCATGACTAAAGCTGAAATTTTATGTCGAAGAGAGATTATGAAATGAAAATGTGAGAAAATGAATTGAAAATGACAGAATATGACTTGATAATGAGAGAATATGAATTGAAAATGAGAGAATATGAAATGAAAATGAGAGAATATGAATTGAAAATGAGAGAATATGAATTGAAAATGAAAGAATATGAAATGAAAATGAGAGAATATGAAATGAAAATCAGAGAATATGAAATGATAATCAGAGATTATGAAATGAAGATGAGAGAATATGAAACATACGATTCCTTGGGTAGAGACAGCAGGTAGCTGTTGGTGATGGCTGATTTGCCAGTTCCAGTTGGTCCGATGACCAGGAGGGGCACCTCATGGGTCATGTAGAGATTCAGGAAAAATTGCTGCCTGGCTGTTTCTGCTGTGGGAATTGTCAGAGTGCTCACCTTTGAACAAACATTTAGAATAAGTAGCTGTTAGAATATTTCTAGGAAAAAATTTTTTAGCTTAAAGTGTAATTTTCATCCCCCAAACTTCTGCCATGAAATATTTAATAGATTTTGAAATATAAATAAATCAAGTAAAAGTATCTTTAGCTTCAAGAAAATACAAAACAATATGGTCAATGCAGAGGTCAAGTGAGTCGGCTAGGCACAGGTCATGATTTCCTCAAAGACTTTCCGTGATGTAATGTCCCAATTTATCATAATAAGAATGTTTTGAAGCTCACTTAATAATAACAACAACAAAAACAACAACAATAACAACAACAAAAACAACAACAATAACAACAACAAAAACAACAACAATAACAACAACAAAAACAACAACAATAACAACAACAAAAACAACAACAATAACAACAACAAAAACAACAACAATAACAACAACAAAAACAACAACAATAACAACAACAAAAACAACAACAATAACAACAACAAAAACAACAACAATAACAACAACAAAAACAACAACAATAACAACAACAAAAACAACAATCTCAGACAACACTTGAAGATGTTTTATGGATGACAAACAAATATTGCAACAATTTCAGATAATATTTTTGAGATCCAATAGTCCAGCATAAATCTCTGCTGACCTTGGCCCCAGGGGGGATAGCTGCATTTGACTTGTCAATTGTGTCCATCCAGTCTATCCAGCCTCCTCCACTCTTCTTCTGGAAGGCAAAGTCATAAACTGTGTTCCTCTCAGGGAATGAGTTACTCTGAAAGTCAAGCAGATTTATAACTGATGTCAACAAATTTCTTATTTTACAGTATTTAATAGAAGCATTTGTATTTGAATGATTCAGTAATTGTCAAAACAAAAACCTTTATGGAAAAAAACTTATATCGTTATTCAATTAATTTTCTCCGTTCTATTAATGTTCTACAGATCAAGAAGTTTGCTTTCAAATTATTTTTTAAATGACAAAATTATTTTAAAAATATGTTAGTGTACAAGATGTGTTTTTTTTGTTTTTTTAGATAACTATCATCAATTTTAGGTTTGTGATACAAGATTGCACAAGAGATATATATCAATGTGTTGCCAAATTTTCAATTTCACCTTTGTGATTTTGATGCTCTTTGGTTTTGGGTGGTTGTCATCAACTCCGCTGATCAATGTGCGGAAAAATTCATCAAAGGCTTTCTTACTGTCCCCAAGGACGGTTCCACCGATTGACCACACCACACAGAATAGGAAGATTCCTTGCAACCATAAGGTTACCTGGAATATTAAACAGGATGGGTATGTATTAGAATGGACATACAAGTAGAATAATTATTTCTTTACATAATTTGAGAGGCCTTTCTAACATTTAAGAAAATCAACAAAAATTACGGCATGTACTCCTGACATGTTAACAACATATAAACCCCAAAAACTGATTCAATTCCCAGACATCATGACCTGCTGTGTGTTCAAATGTTTAACTTATAAACCCAGACATGTTCACCTGCTGTGTGGTTAAGTGTTTAACATATAAACCCAGACATGTTCACCTGCTGTGTGGTCAAGTGTTCAGCATTGTGCTCATAGTTGGCTGCCTCGGGGGATCCCTCATCAGGCCAGTGCTTGCATGTCTCAATGATCTCGTCCAACATTGTTGTGTAAAGTTTCATTAACATCTGAACCTGGTGCATTTCTGATGTAGGGATGAACGTCTTGCAGTTACGCTTGACAAAGTCAAGACAGGGTTCAACCTAGACGAAAGTCAAGTGACAGGATATTATATTATGACAAATTACTTCAAATGTTAATATCTCATCACATGATAGAGATTTAATCAAAGCCAAGGCTCTAAAATCTAATTCTTCAAATCAAATAATCTAAGAGTTCAAATAGAGGCTCCCCTTCTCTCAATTTGTAACTCTCCTGATCTCAAATGTCCTCTCTTGTGACATCAGACCTAATCCAGTTCCTTAACTCACCAGCCAATCAAAAAGATCTTGCACTAGCTCCTTCTGCTCCTGTCTGAGTTTCTTGGGTAGAGAGTATTTCATATAAGACTGCACACTTGGTCGCCAGCCCATCTGATGGGGTTCCAAGTAGACCATACCGCATCGGCTCACAGTGGCCGGAGAAGCTTGTTCAAGATCGGCTGGCTCAAAGATCAAGTTCATCTTGTTGCTCATCTGAATGATCTCTCCACTCATCAAACATAGCTGTCAGAGATCAAAAGGACACCAAATCAAGAGTAGGTCTTATAAAAAAAATTGTTGTCATCTAGGATAGTGTAAAACCGAATTGTTACTTTTGGATAATTACCTTTTTGTTGTCATCCAGGACAGTGTTCATGTTTTCAATCCACACGGCATCCACAGGGCCATCAAATATGATCCATTTGCGATATTCATCTTGGCTGCTTGCATATTCTCGGAATGTGTTTGCCAGGACACCTGAACATTGATTGTTTCAAGAAATTTATTGTTTTGAGAGCAACGTAACATTTGGGCGGATGAAGTAAGATTAAATATTATCACGCTGATTACATCGTTAGGTCAAAGGTGAGTTGAACTAAATGATTAAAATGAATGGCCACTAACCATCTGACCACTCATGGGAAACAGGGTCAAAGCAGCCATAAAGTTGTCCCATGGTGATAGCCTTGGGGTTAATGATGCGGTAAATGGTGCGGAATTCTTCAAACTGATGAGAGTCCATCAGGTCACCTAGAGTCTCTGAAAGAACCTGGTAGGCTTTCGTTTTTCCGCCAAGTGGCTCTCCGACTATCATCATTCCGTGGCGGACCAAAATCATTTCATAGATCTGTAAAAAAAAAGTTCAAGATAATTATGACCAGTTGATATCATTTATCATCATTTCAGACATGTAAGAAATATAGAGTAAAATTTGACACAGTCGTTTTTACCTTACTTACTTAACCACTAAATTTCTTTTAATTTAACAGGGTCCAATGTACAAAAGTCTCATGCTAATATTCCTAGAGGTGCTATAGACAAAATATTAATGTTCATATTTTTGGGGTTGACGTCAATCTGCTGAATTTATTTTTTCACCTGTGATTCAAAGAAGCAAAGTAAGGTGTGTTTACCTGTAACACTTTGTCAATGAAAAACTGGTTTGGCTGCAACTGTTGCTTGGTGATGATATCCTTCATGGTGTCCAGGAACAATCCATAGTCTGGCTGGGGCAACTTAACCCCCGGAAACAAATCTGAGATGATTCCCTCAAATAACGGCACATCCTAGAGGAACAGAGATCTAGTTCCATTACATTTTTTTCTTGAAATAGTTTTTGTTAAAGAGAAATTTGATGCAATAGAAGCATCAAAGCAATTATATGGGTTTTTGTTTTGTTGTTGATTATTTCACTTTGGCTCTGCTCTCAGCTAATAGAGAACGGCCTGCCAGGTATTTACCTTAATATAAGTTGCCCTACCAGGTTGATAGCATCTCACAATATACTTGCTGGTTGTACATCAGAGCCACAAGAAAATGTTCAAACTTTACCTCCTGTACATTAGAGCCACAAGAAAATGTTCAAACTTTACCTGTGCCAAAAATTTGGGTAAGTTGACGTCACTGATGGCTTTGAGTAGGAGAACAGCTTCATCTTGGTTTGGGTATTTCAACTTGAGATTGCCGGCAGCAGTCAGCACAGATTTCACTGCTCTCATGCCGTAGTCATAATGGTGTTGTGAGGACAACTGCTCCGAGCACAGGCGGTAAACAGCAACAATTTTGTTGGCTAGACTGATGGATTGGATAAAGTAGGATGAATGTTTAAAGCACTTTGGTGAACTTGGATGTCATCAGATTAAAAATTTTTGATTGAGGCTTACAGAATTATTTATGTTAAAATCTCACTAGTGTCGTCAGGATTTATTGATAATTACAAATGAGATCTATTTTGTCAAAAAAGGATTACATTTTGTGTAGTGTTTTAATATTTTCCTCACCAGGAAATATCAGCAAGAAATTTTCAGGGAGTTTGAAATGTTATAGAAACCAGTTAACAAGCCATCAGTGAAATATGAAATGTGAAACTTTAAGCCGTATAAAATGTCTGTAAACGTAAGAAGTTCTCATGAAATCAATGCAGCCACCACTGATACGACATGAGAAATGTTCAAAGTTCTCACCTCCTGGCATCCACAAATCCCATTGAATAGAGTTGAATTTCTCCAATCATGCCATAGTCAGGGACCATCATGGCTACCGTGCGAAACAGGACCTGGAGGACACATTTGACGCTTTACAATAGATACTGAATAATGTCATCAAGACACAATTATAACTTCAGCTCTTAAAAGTTATTGTCAAAGTTAATGAATTTTACATAATAAAAAAAGTCTAAGATAAAAAAACTCACACTTTATTCGTTTTTAATTTTTAGTTTCTTGGTTCTACCAATATGTCGAGTTGTTACTTTTTAAAATAATTTCTTAATTTTAAAATTACACTTAAAATCTGTAACTTGTAAATTTTACCTTTAAATTATCAGGCAATTCTTGTCGACCAGCGTAGCCAGGATTCATTGTGATAAAAATGGTGCATGTCGGGTTAAGTGAGAGTTCTGTCCCCTCAAACATAAACCTTTTCAGGTGGGCTGCGATGGCCTGCTGTATGCTCTGAATCTGCTGGGCAATGACAGACAGCACTTCCAGCTCAATGCGGTTGAACTCATCAAAACAAGCCCATGCACCGGCCTGGGCCAAACCTTTAAAGAATTTCCCCATGGCTTTGTAGTCCAGGCCATCAGAACAGTTGAACACAACACACTGCGGCCATAGGGATGTTCAATATGTGACATTCAGGAGTGCGACACAAAGAATGAATGGGACTTTAAATACTTTAAGCGAGGTTTTAATACTTTTAAGACAAAATTTAGTTATAAAACACACATTGGTGAGTTTGTCAAATATTGGATTGGTTGCAAGAAAGTGAATAAAACTGGGAAAGCCTCACAGAAATGGGGTGGTTAACAAAGAAACACACATTAATGTATTATTAAAGATCCATTAAGATGATCATTGACTACAAACCTGTTTGGCAACTGCTTTGGCCAGATCTTTGCTGGTCTCTGTTTTCCCAGTGCCTGCTGGTCCTTCTGGGGCTCCTCCCAGGTTGAGTTTCAGGGCCCCCATCAGTGTTCTGTTTAATACAAGGAGAAAATATTCATTACAATTAAAAATAGCTAGGCAGCTTGGCAGTGTATTACAGAAGTATTTACGTATTTTATACACCAATATACCGCTTTTAATAAAATAAAATAATAAATTATATAACAATAATCTCTGAGCTATATTTTTAATGAAAGGATCCAGGATAAAATATTGATGAACACATTTCATTGATTTTACACTAGTAAAAGTTAAAAAGAAATGAGGTCATCTTCATCTTCGAAATAATTAAAATCTATAGATTAATCAAACAGTGTGTGGAAATAGTTGTGGAGAAAATTTAAATATTTAGCAAAAAAACGTATAGATATAAATATTAAAACTGACGTAAGCTTCATTAAACGAAAAAGTACATGAGTTTTAAAGGCTTCTGTCAGGAACAACTGTAGTTGTATGAACCCACCTGTAACATCTGTCTGTGAGTGGTGTGATGACGAGGCGGGGAGAGTTGCCAAGGTATTCATACCCATAGGCTATCTCAGTAGTAATCATGTGAACAAACACATCACGGCCTTCAAAGTAGTACCGCATCTGTGACAGCCAGTTGAAGTCCTGAGGGCTGCGGATATTGTTCTTACACAGGTGGGCCAGTACATCTCGGGCTAGTGGAAGAAGTTAGAACTATACATACGAAATTCAATAAATATTTAATTTCTTTAAAAAAAAGATTCTCCTTTAAAAACTAAGATGGTATTCTATAAATTATTTATTGTAGATGTTTTCTAAAAACTGAAAATAATACTAATAAAAAAGCAATCTAAGTAAATTGCTCCTAAAAATTCTCTATCTCTTATATTTTTTTTATTATCAATACCCTAAACTTTATGTGAATTGTTACAGTAATGTTTGAAATTAAACAATATTTTTAAAAACACTATGTAAGCTAGGCAAACACATTTGTTTCTCATGAAGTTTTCATCAAATTTATTTAGTTCAGACAATAGCATACTGACCCAACTTAAAGCAGTGGAGATCAGTTTTATAAGCTCTTTAGTTTAACCAAGCTTATCATGGACATCAATGACAGTGAGAGAACAGTTTCATAAACTCTTTAGTTAAACCAAGCTTATCATGGACATCAATGACAGTGAGAGATCAGTTTTATAAACTCTGTAGATAAACCAAGCTTACCACTGACATCAATGACGGTGAGAGATCAGTTTTATAAACTCTGTAGATAAACCAAGCTTATCAATGACGGTGAGAGATCAGTTTTATAAACTCTTTAGTTAAACCAAGCTTACCATGGACATCAATGACAGTGAGAGATCAGTTTTATAAGCTCTGTAGTTAAACCAAGCTTATCATGGACATCAATGACAGTGAGAGATCAGTTTTATAAACTCTGTAGATAAACCAAGCTTACCACTGACATCAATGACGGTGAGAGATCAGTTTTATAAACTCTGTAGATAAACCAAGCTTACCACTGACATCAATGACGGTGAGAGATCAGTTTTATAAACTCTGTAGATAAACCAAGCTTACCACTGACATCAATGACGGTGAGAGATCAGTTTTATAAGCTCTGTAGTTAAACCAAGCTTACCACTGACATCAATGACAGTGAGAGATCAGTTTTATAAACTCTGTAGTTAAACCAAGCTTACCACTGACATCAATGACAGTGAGAGATCAGTTTTATAAGCTCTGTAGTTAAACCAAGCTTACCATGGACATCAATGACAGTGAGAGATCAGTTTTATAAGCTCTGTGGTTAAACCAAGCTTACCACTGACATCAATGACGGTGAGAGATCAGTTTTATAAGCTCTGTAGTTAAAACACGCTTACCATGGACATCAATGACAGTGAGAGATCAGTTTTATAAGCTCTGTAGTTAAACCAAGCTTATCATGGACATCAATGACAGTGAGAGATCAGTTTTATAAACTCTTTAGTTAAACCAAGCTTACCACTGACATCAATGACAGTGAGAGATCAGTTTTATAAACTCTTTAGTTAAACCAAGCTTACCACTGACATCAATGACAGTGAGAGATCAGTTTTATAAGCTCTGTAGTTAAAACACGCTTACCATGGACATCAATGACGGTGAGAGATCAGTTTTATAAGCTCTGTAGTTAAAACACGCTTACCATGGACATCAATGACAGTGAGAGATCAGTTTTATAAGCTCTTTAGTTAAACCAAGCTTATCATGGACATCAATGACAGTGAGAGATCAGTTTCATAAACTCTTTAGTTAAACCAAGCTTATCATGGACATCAATGACGGTGAGAGATCAGTTTCATAAACTCTTTAGTTAAACCAAGCTTATCATGGACATCAATGACAGTGAGAGATCAGTTTCATAAACTCTTTAGTTAAACCAAGCTTACCATGGACATCAATGACAGTGAGAGAACAGTTTCATAAACTCTTTAGTTAAACCAAGCTTATCATGGACATCAATGACGATGAGAGAACAGTTTCATAAACTCTTTAGTTAAACCAAGCTTATCATGGACATCAATGACAGTGAGAGAACAGTTTTATAAGCTCTGTAGTTAAACCAAGCTTATCATGGACATCAATGACAGTAGGAGAACAGTTTTATAAACTCTTTAGTTAAACCAAGCTTATCATGGACATCAATGACGGTGAGAGAACAGTTTCATAAACTCTTTAGTTAAACCAAGCTTATCATGGACATCAATGACAGTGAGAGAACAGTTTCATAAACTCTTTAGTTAAACCAAGCTTATCATGGACATCAATGACAGTGAGAGATCAGTTTCATAAACTCTTTAGTTAAACCAAGCTTACCATGGACATCAATGACAGTGAGAGAACAGTTTCATAAACTCTTTAGTTAAACCAAGCTTATCATGGACATCAATGACGATGAGAGAACAGTTTCATAAACTCTTTAGTTAAACCAAGCTTATCATGGACATCAATGACAGTGAGAGAACAGTTTTATAAGCTCTGTAGTTAAACCAAGCTTATCATGGACATCAATGACAGTAGGAGAACAGTTTTATAAACTCTTTAGTTAAACCAAGCTTATCATGGACATCAATGACGGTGAGAGAACAGTTTCATAAACTCTTTAGTTAAACCAAGCTTATCATGGACATCAATGACAGTGAGAGAACAGTTTCATAAACTCTTTAGTTAAACCAAGCTTATCATGGACATCAATGACAGTGAGAGAACAGTTTTATAAGCTCTGTAGTTAAAACACGCTTACCATGGACATCAATGACAGTGAGAGATCAGTTTTATAAGCTCAGTAGTTAAAACACGCTTACCATGGACATCAATGACGGTGAGAGCTCCAAGCGTGATGCGTGTACCACTCTCCAGTTTACCTCTAACCAACTCAACAATTTGGTCAATTTGTCGATTACATCTTTCAAGATAAATCTGGAGATAAAATTGGCCAGCCATGAATTAATAATTAATTCACATATATGACCCAAATACACAATTTTGTACTCCATATTATTTTATATGTTCAACTCAAGCCCTACATCAAAAATTGAACTCTGGATTAAAATGTTCACATCATAAATTGAACTCTCTACTGAAATGTTAAACTCATATATTGAACTCTGGATTGAAATGTTCACATCATAAATTGATCTCTCCATTGAAATGTTAAACGCATAAATTGAACTCAGGATTGAAATTTACAACTCATAAATTGAACTCTCCATTGAAATGTTAAACGCATAAATTGAACTCAGGATTGAAATTTACAACTCATAAATTGAACTCTCCATTGAAATGTTAAACACATAAATTGAACTCTGGATTGAAATTTACAACTCATAAATTGAACTTTGGATTGAAATGTCACATCATAAATATTTGAATGTTGAGTGAAGTAATTGTTCCAGTTTTAGTTTTCCATAAGATATGTTAAAAACCACTGACCCAGAGTAACCATATATTGTATTCAGTCAACAAGATCGTTAAAACTTTCAAAGCAACAAAGCATGTATGTCTGGTGTTTGTCTGATGTATGTCTGGTGTTTGTCTGATGTATGTCTGATGTTTGTCTACAAACCTTGAGCCCATTATCATTTTTCATGGAGTCTGTGACTTCTGATGTCCAGTACAAGCTGCTGACGCACAAGACGACTTGACCCGCCCACTCCACCACCCAACGTTTGCGGTGTGTTGTCTTGTAGGCGTGGATAGAGTCAGTGATGACTTTTCTCAAACTGCTGATCATCACATCTTCCACTTGTAGCAGCCATTTCTCCACCATGCCCTGAGACAGGAACAAATTAAAGAATTGTTAACTGTTGACTTTTCTTTTCTTGTATCAAATGCATCTTTAAATTCTTAAATGTTATCTTGGTTCATGCCAACATTTTAAGTGCCCTATTAGACAAGAGAAAATTGTGATGGAAGATAAGATATACATCAGCCAAGCATCAGACAAACATCAGACGTACATCAGACAAACATCAAACATACATCAGACAAACATCAGACATACATACATTAGAGGGATATTGATTTGTAAATTGGAGGTTATTGATATATTTTCAAATGCTTTAAGTTAGTTTTACGAAAGCCTTACAAAAAACAAACATCTAGTAAGTGGGTAGAAAAAGAAATTAGAAACAACCAAATCTTATGGTAAACAGAATGTTCATTAGAATTGAATCGAGCAAATGTCTTTGGAATCAAGCAAATGTCATTGGATTCAAATATTTGTCAACAGAATCAAGCAGATGTCAATTGGAATCAAGCAAATGTATTTGGAATAAATTATTGTCAATGGACTCAATCAGATGTCAATTGGAATCAAGCAAATGTCATTGGAATCAAATAGATGTCAATGGAATCAAGCAGATGTCAATTGGAATCAAGCAGATGTCAATTGAAATCAAGCAGATGTCAATTGGAATCAAGCAGATGTCATTTGGCATCAAGAAGATGTCAATAATTAATGCAATGACCTGTGTTCTTGTAAATAGTTTAGAAGAAAAGATACAGTCAGTAAAAAAAAAAAAAGAATTTTTTATAAACAAACACAAATGAGGGAAGACAACAACTAAGTATTTCAATAACAAGACAGTAATCACCTTCGCTTTGCCAGGGAAAATGGTCGTTGAAAATGGAACTGTTTCATTTTCTGCAGAGACCATGCCAATAATTTCCTCATTGTCAGTAAAATCCAATTTGGCGATTCCCTCAAAACACTTTTTGAGATGTGGCTGGACACGCATTGGGTCTTTTGTCTCTGACAATATCTCCAGCAGTTCATCATTGGACAGGAAGAAGAATCTGTCAGAGGCATGATCAGTGACAGTGTGAATACTTGTTTAATCAATGAAGAGGTATACAATTCTGTCACCAGTGTATAGTTTTGTAATCATTAAAATAATGTTTGTTTGTTAAGTCATTGACATCTAGAATAACTGTGAAAACTGAATAAAATAAATATTATTTTAAACAAATAAATTTTTTATTAATAACAATGAGAACAGTTTAAAAATCTTACAATCAATGATATTATATAGCACTGATGACATATAGCACTGATGACATATAGCACTGATGACATATAGAATTGATGATGTATAGCACAAATGACATACCATTGATGATATATAGCATTGATGTCATATAGGATTGATGACATATATCACCACTGATATCATGTAGGATTGATGACATATAGCACTGATGACATATATCATTGATGACAGGTAGCACTGATAGCATATATGATTGATGACATAGCATTGATCACAGCATTGATGAAATATAGCATTGATGACATATTGCACTGATGACATACTGTTTTGATGACATATATCACTGATGACATATATCACTGATGACATATATCACTGATGACATATATCACTGTTTAAATATATCACTGATATCACACATGATTGATGACATATATGATTGATGACATATAGCACTGATGAGATATACCATAAATGACATATAGCACTGATGATATATAGCATTGATGATTGATGACATAAAATACGTGAAGTAACTTTGAAATCTCTCACCTTGGGAAGTACAACCGTTTCTTCTCCAGATAAGCATTGAGTCCTTTCTGAATATCCTCCAACAAAGTATTGGCCTCTCGTAGTCGACTTAACATGTTGCTCTGTCCAGTGGCCACAAGGCAGTTTGTGTTCTGTTCAATAAATCAATATTTTCAGCCGATAGTTTCATTTAATCATGCACATCGCTGATTAAAAACACAAGAGTTTGTATTTTAATGTCATTCTAGGATTTTGTAAATACAAAATAATTATAGCTACTGAATCTGTGGTAAAATTAAAGAATATATCAACAGTGTGATTGGATAAAAACTTGCTCAAACAGAAACGACAGCAAAAGCACAACAAGAAGAGCAAAAAAACTAATCACAGTGATTATTGACCAATGGAAAGTCTTATATCAATTCCTTTAAACAGTCATGGTCCACTGACTTGAGCTTGGTATGAAAGTTTCAGTTAGTTTTATATCAATGACCAATGGAATGACCTTCACGACCGACCCATATTGACATGACCTGCCAATGACAGAATGACATTCACGACTGACCCACATTGACATGACCTGCCAGTGACAGAATGACCTTCACGACCAACCATATTGACATGACCTGCCAATGAAAGAGTGACCTTCTCATCTTTGAAAGACAACAAATTGTTACACTACCTGCTTGGTTTCTTTCATGATGTCCTTCCAGTAACTGTCCACTATTCCAAACTTGCGACCTTCCTCCGGCATCTGGGCCATGATGTCTTCAGAACTAAAAATTGGCTCAAGATAAAGCCAAGTAGCTTGCACCTGGAATGACATTTATTTTCAGTCTCAACATTATATACAAAATTAATTAATTTTGAAAAACAAACAAAGCTGTTTAATTTTCTTTTAAAAATCCCTTTAGTAAGTATCTGATTTCTTAAATTGAATGTCATGTCCTCAAACAACTCATCAATTATGTCCCTTGCCTAGAGCCACAAATCAATTATGTCCCTTACCTTGAGCCACAAATCAATTATGTCCCTTACTTTGAGCCACAAATCAATTATGTCCCTTACTTTGAGCCACTCATCAATTGTGTGCCTTACCTTGAGCCACAAATCAATTATGTCCCTTACCTTGAGCCACAAATCAATTATGTCCCTTACTTTGAGCCACTCATCAATTATGTCCCTTACCTTGAACCACAAATCAATTATGTCCCTTACTTTGAACCACTCATCAATTGTGTGCCTTACATTGAGCCACAAATCAATTATGTCCCTTACCTTGAGCCACAAATCAATTATGTCCCTTACCTTGAACCACAAATCAATTATATCCCTTACTTTGAGCCACAAATCAATTATGTCCCTTACTTTGAGCCACTCATCAATTATGTCCCTTACCTTGAACCACAAATCAATTATGTCCCTCACTTTGAGCCACATCAAATATGTCCCTTACCTTGAGCCACAAATCAATTATGTCCCTTACTTTGAGCCACAAATCAATTATGTCCCTAACCCTGAGCCACTCATAAATTCTGTTACTTACCTTGAGCAACTCATCAACTATGTGACGTACCTTGAGCCACTCATCAATTACATGACTTACCTTGAGCCACTCATCAATTATGTCCTGCATGAGAACCAGTTTCTCTTCCCATTGTTTCATCTCAGTTTCAAATGGTTTAATGTAGGGAGAGCCTCTCATGGTCTGTGCCTTGACGATGTTGTCATCAAGAAGTGCCTGAATGTCATCTAGGGCACTCAAAATACTCACACCCTATGACACACAAAAAAAACAACATGTAATTAAGACTGCTATCAATACGATAATCAGTTTATGACGGCTCGTACAAATTAACTTTTGTGTTCATCTTAACTATTATTCCATATAATTTGATAGAAAAGTTTCAGAAACATTTAAATTTTGTTTAATCTATGAATTCAACTCATAATAGATTTGATGACCAATAGTGGGCTATCTAACACATATTTGCCCAATTGTACACTAAAACCACATACAAAGAGTAAATTTTCGTCAACTCAGATCCAGAAGAAACTGACTAGTTGTGCTTCCTAGCAAATACATTTTTAATTAATTAATTTTTAAGCATTTCTGTTTTTAAAAAAAGAAAGCCTGTGAGAACCATACTTAATTCCAGATGTTGAAAAATCTGCCCCAGTCTGTAGGTATCACGCTTTTTTAAACTAGGGAAAAAAACAATCTCATCTACAGTGGCATCCAATTTACACCGTTAGGGCAAAAATCGCAAAACCTCTGCTGGCCTGTAAAGAAGAGCCAAGAAGCTAAAAAGTACATCAAACTTACTGTGTCTCTATAAGGGACCAGATCAAATCTCAAGTCTTTCCAGTCATCCTTCATCTTGGTCAGAGCCTTCTCCAAGGAGTATTCTTTGGCTGCACTGCCACCAATCTCTTCGAGTCTGAAACATGAAAAACATGCATTACATTAAAATGGTTCCCTAAAGATCTGGCCAATCAACCTAATCAAGTCAACCTAACCTAGAAAATTATCTTTGAAATGTGTTCAATAATTTTGTGTAAAGCAGTTCCTGTGTTTTTCTTTTTAATCCTTATAAAAGTTTCATCCCATCATTGCTAGATCTATATAAATTAGTTTGAGGTTTATTTTACATAATATTTAAGAGAAAAACCATGTACATAAAGATAGAAACCTTACTTGGCCAGGTGTTTTTGCAATCCATATTCTAACATGGTGGAAAGTGAAGTGTCCTTTTGAGGTCGGATGTCAAATCCCACAATGTCACTCATCTAAAAAAAAAATAAACACATTTTTTTCATCAATCTTGTCTAATAGGATACAGTGTGTGACCCAAAAGTTTGTCTCTACAAATTTATTGATCTCGTAAAAAACAGTAAATACAATCTATGATATTCCAACTGACCTGGTCCCAATGCCGGTCTCTAATGCCGGGGTTGCAGATGGTCTGGAGGATCGGCATGTTGTTCTTGAACTTGTCAATCTTTGTCTTGACACTGTTGGCAATGTGGCGTGGTCCTGGCTGGTCAGCAAATGACTTGGTCAGTTTGTACATTGTACGCCACATCTCGCTAACTTCATTTTCAATCTCCTCAGAGTTCAGATTCTTGAATGGGCCTAGAAAGAGAAACAGTTTGATAGAGAAATATTGGTGTGTTTCATGAGCCTCAGAGTTCAGATTCTTGAATGGGCCTAGAAAGAGAAACAGTTTGATAGAGAAATATTGGTGTGTTTCATGAGCCTCAGAGTTCAGATTCTTGAATGGGGCTAGAAAGAGAAACAGTTTGAAGGAGAAATATTGGTTTGTTTCATGGGCACATTTTAAATACTGCACAAGAACTTGTTTTAAATAATTAGTTACTATGTAAAATGAACAAAATTAAATAATGGCCTTGAAATTAAATGTCTGGAAGAATGATCAGATGTTACAAGTAAAGAGATTCTTATGGAAACAATAGGAGAACAACCCTTCACCAAAGACACCACAAGGGGAAGCAACCTTTCAACAAAGACACCACAAGGGGAAGCAACCCTTCACCAAAGACACCACAAGGGGAAGCAGCCCTTCACCAAACACACCACAAGGAGAAGCAACCCATCCCCAAAGACACCACAAGGGGAAGCAGCCCTTCACCAAACACACCACAAGGGGAAGCAACCCTTCCCAAAAGACACCACAAGGGGAAGCAACCCTTCACCAAATACACCACAAGGGGAAGCAACCCTTCCCCCCAAGACACCACAAGGGGAAGCAACCCTTCCCCCAAGACACCACAAGGGGAAGCAAACCTTCACCAAACACACCACAAGGGGAAGCAACTCCACCCGGAGCACACACACACACAAAAAAAAGCAAATAGGGAAACAATGTTTTTCACACTTTCACTTTATTTACTGAGAACATAAATTTGAAACTCTTTTATTAAATCTTGAAGATAAAATTGTTTTACCTCATATATACAGAGATAAGTTTAAAATTGATTAATAATACGTTTGATTGTGGCGGGTAACACCCCATTTTAATGTGAGATTCACTTACCGTGTGTCCACATCTCATTCTTGAGGTAAAAGTTGTAAGCTGTTCTCCAGAGTTTGTCGTAGGGTTCTTTGGTTTGAAACATTTGTGACAACTGAGGGAAGTCAGTTATCTCCCATTCTAAAAGTTTCTCCTCATCCTGCAGACCTTCCAGCTCAAATCTGGCTGCTTCCAAATTCTCATGTAGCTGGGTCAAGGTGTCCACATTGTTCTTCATCTCTTCCGAACTCATGAACTGAAAAATTGATTTAATCATGAACATAGACCAACATAATAGATATATATATATCTAAATGTGTAAATTGACCAAACTGGTAAAAATATATACCTAATGAAAACATTTACTAAATTGATATATACATAATGTAGAAATTGATCAACTTCTAATATACCTTTAAATGAAGCAATCGGGGTTAACTGAATTATTTGGTATTTTGATTATGAGGGACAAATTTGGTTGGCTACTTATAGAAAAATTAGACTCAGGGTTGTGCAGAGTCTGTGACAACCCAGTAAATCACAAGTACAGCATAAAAATGATAGATAAAATTTGTGGGGGACCAAAATTTGGATTTCTCTGGGCCCAAAAATCTGCATGGCTCTGATAGAGATTGTTTAATTAAATGTGAAATGATTGAACTGAATAAAGTTCAAATCTTTAAGTTCAACTGTCATGGCCTGGTTGACTCACTTCCTTCTTTTTGAAAGACTCCACCTCCTTCATGTAGCTGTCAATCTTGACTTCGAAGGCAGCCACTCGTTTCTTGAGCTCCTCCTCGATTTGATCCCTCTTGTTCATAATCCTTCCTTGGCCATGATCCAGAATGGAAACAATATGAAGTGGCCAGTGAAAGGTCACTGTATTCAACTTGATGTCTTCATCTGAGACATGCACAGTTTTTTGAAATTATTAATAACTTATCATTAAAATAAAATACTTCTGAAAGGGATAGGGGTTGACCTAATTATATTATTTGTTATTAGTAAATATTTTTTAAAAATTATATGGAAAAACCAACGCTGTTAGATAAAAATAGTGTGAAAAATTCAGAAGAAATTTATGAGAATGTCAATAACTCACAACACATTCAAGATTTTAACCAAGGTCTGGGTTTTCTTGTCCAATAAAATTTGTGTCAATAAGATAGGAATTTAATCCAGCAGAATCATATGGTAATCATTTTCAAACAAAGACAGGCCTAAGTACCAACTCTTCATTGTCCCACCAACCACTCACCCAAACCTGTCCCATATATCCACACTCCCAATAACTCAAGTATTACTAAAACGTGAGATTTACGGATGCTTCCTCTCACCAATTTAAAGTGAGATTTACAGATGTTCTCTATCTCTCACCAATTTAAAGTGAGATTTACGGATGCTTCCTCTCACCAATTTAAAGTGAGATTTACAGATCCTCTCTATCTCTCACCAAGTGAAATTTACAGATGTTCTCTATCTCTCACCAATTTAAAGTGAGATTTACAGATCCTCTCTATCTCTCACCAATTTAGAGTGATATTTACATATTATGCTCTCTATCTCTCACCAATTTAAATTGAGATTTACAGATGCTCTCTATCTCTCACCAATTTAAAGTGAGATTTATGGGTGATCTCTCTCACCAGTTTAAAGGGGACTTTACATAATTTAAATCCAATACAAAGTAAATATTAATGACACTAAGGTTTTAGAAAAGAATAGTGAGACTAGTGCATAATTTTATCATTGATTGGATGATCTCAGTTCACATTTCAAACCATTTAGTTACAGGTAAAATCATGATCCCTCACTTACACCTGACATTATGGCAGTTCTGCCATGCATACCCCCTGGGTCAGAGCAGCCACTGCAGATGAATTACCCAGTATCCATAGTGGGCTGGAACTTTAGCAGCAAATTAAATTAACATAGACTGAATTTTCATCAAATGAACTTAAGACTAATTCCCATTGACTAATCTCTGTTTTGGTGAAAAAAATGTTTCATCAATAAAAAACACAACTTTTTCATTTACAAGTATTTAAAATGGACTTCAGTCATGAAGATTATAAATCCACACAAAAAAAATGTTTTAAGCTTACATGGGAAATCAGCATAATCTAGGAGGAACATCAATCGGTGACCGGCTTCTGTCACTTTGTCTTGTAGTTTGTAAACTGTCACATCGGATGACTGAGGAAATACACAAAACATTTTTCATTAAAAATGCAAATTTGAAACAAAATAAAATATCCATTTTGCTCTGTAAATTCTTACAAATTGTTTTTTTTTTAAATCAGACAAAAACAAGTTTTTCAAATATCAATTATTTCAAACCTGGAAAAACGTGAAAAGCAGGGAATTATTTTCTGCTAACACTTAATTTGTGCTATCAAATTTTCACAGCATTTATTTCCATCACTGGTCAATCAAAGATCAATAAAATATCAATAGATGTAAAACAAAGCTTTACAAAATTGGTTAAGAATTAATGATAAGAAAAGTGTTTTAAAAATGCCAAATTATTAATACTGTTGTATTCATAGCATTATCATTGTTGAATTTTGCAAGTAAAGAAAAGAATTTCTAATTTACATAAATAAGATGTATTTCCACAGAACCTAATTTTCCACCAGTTCTAAACATACTCACAGTTTTGAGGAAGTCTTGTAAGTCCACCAAATCTTTGGTTGAATCAGGAACCACTTGTACTCTATCATGTATCTCTTCATAACTTTTGCACAACCTGAAGAATTGTTATAGTAATGAAAAGTACAAAATAATGTTATATTTTGCAGATAACACTAAATTTTAATGATTTCTATATATTCTTAAAAGTGCTACCTGATTATGAATTTCAACAATGTTATTGTTGGGCAAAATAAATAAATTTTCAAATTGGGGAATAAATATTCAAAGAAACAAACAATTTTAATTGTAAGAGACACTTACGTTCTATTCAGATCCCTGTTCTCATCAACCACAAAGACCACTAGTCTGTCTCTGAGACGCTGGGCTCGCAAGCACATGTCATTGTTTAAGTTGACACAGTCCAGACAAAACATAGATAGAGGGGCAGTAACTCTCATGGACGCTATTTCATCTTTCAACTTTTGATAGGAGTCTATTTTCTATTCAAAGGAAAAAATGTTTCATAGCTTTAAAAACTATCAAACTGTCAATTTCTTTCAAGAATTTTAATAAATGTGATGTACGCAGATTTTTTTTTCTCTAAAATAATTGATTTTCATCACTTAGACACATTTATTAAAGAGATTGTTTCATTGAAAACTCACTACTTTAAATGCTGTGATAGAATGTTTGTCTCTCAAGAATGCAGAGACATCTTGATCTGCTTTGTTGTTCAACAAGTCAGCATAGCTTTTATACTCATTCAGATACCTGTATAAAGAAATCCATAAAAGGACAAGATTGTTATTTATTGAGCATTTTGAAGCTTTTTAACCGATCTCTTAAAATATCTTCATGCTCTGATAAACATACCATAACATAGATTTAAGGTCTGATCATATTCCCACCATTATATATGTGCGCTGATACATTCCCCACCATCACATACTTCTGTGGTCCAATGATGTTTATCCTAAAGATTTCCATAGCCCTGTCCACATAGTCTGTCACCAGACTCTCATCTATCCTGACAGATCTCAGTAGAAGACGATGGCCTCTCATGTCTGGAAAAAGTTCACACTCCACCTTCAAGAAAATTAATTTACTGATTCTGTCAATCTCTCAGGACTGAGGGGTTCTAGCCAATGACAAATGTTTTGAAAACATAGATCTTCAAATGGATCCTATTTTTAACAAACTCTTTCTACCCTATTCATCACAAGCCAAACATTAACAATGATATCAAATTGTCCTAAAATTCAGTATTTCCACATCAAAAATGTACAATGTCAATTTTGAAATGCTATGATTTTTACAATATGGTTCTCTTGAGAACCACTGTTTCAAGACAACTCATCAGCATTAAATATTTGATGTTTTCACTTACAGAATACATTTAAATAGTTAAGATCATTGAATAAATTTTTTGAATAAATATTACTAATTATGTGTCTGTTCGAACTTACCCTTGTTAGTCCTTCACCACTGGCGATTATTTCGGAGAAACACCTGAGAATTATGTCCCTTAGTTCTCGGAATGTAGGTTCAAATATAATTTTGGGCTCTTCAATCTTCAGTTTAACAATCATCACTTGCTTTTCTGTGTACGACAAGTCATCATAGTGTTCTCCAAAATCATTGCCAGCCTTTATTGTGAGAAAAAAATACAATTTTAAACCATTGGCAACTTGAGCTTTAAAAAATTAAAAATAATAAATATTTATATTAACTTGAAATGATTCATAAATGGAAAATTTTAAATTGTCTTAGAATTACCTCATGACGTCGGAAAAAGTTGAGAAAATCGGCCAGTGAGTTGATTACCATGGAGCGGAGCTGAAGTGACATAAGAGATGCGACACAAGAGAAGAATTCTTGTATCAAATCTGTGCTGTCATACTCGCCAGGTGGAACTAAATCCTGCCACACCTCCTTGTAATCCACAAACACTTTGGCACATGATGGGATCCAGCTGCAGTTTAGATTTAGATTTTAAATTTTAAGAATGCATTTTTGCAACTAAAGATTCTGCACATTTTTGTTACAACTCTGACTGGCACATCATATAATGTCCAACACTTTTTCTATTAGTAGAACAAAAGATCTCCCAATGATCTAACCGTTAGAGCCTGTGTCTTGACCTAGTTTTTCTTCACCACAAGCCATGGCATTCAATCTTACCTCCCCTCCCCCCTTTATAGTTTTGATATTGACGCCACCAATTAAATGTGTAGCACCAACCCTTTTTACCCACCCCTCTCTGGATTGGGAAAAGGTTGTTAACATTTAAAAACATTTTAATTTGTTCTAAAGAATGCAATCGGGGTGATGCAATTTCAAAAAATGCTTTTCCAACTTTCTCCCTATAAATAAGGCTGCAGCTTTTGCTGTATTTCCTAGACATTTACGCAACATATTATACTTACAAGATTCCATTTATATATTTGTATGTGTATTTTAATATTTGTAACTTACAAGGATTGTGCTTTTTCATATGCTGTGCTGTAAGTTTATCTAGTTTTTATTACTCCTTAATTGATTTTGTATTCTTAATAAACATTTAATAGTATAATTAAATTGAATAATGTTAATATCACTAGCTTTAGTATCTTTTTTCTATGTATACCGGTTTCCAATCCTTTGTTATGTATTGTAAAAAAAAAAACTAGTCACATCTTAAAGCCGATGAATTTGTAATGGTAACAACACTAAACAATCCTAATTTTTATGTCAATACTTATAATATATATCCACAGATTTTCCTATTGAATCTTTAAACAACTGACCCAGGCCTCACCTCACCACTACAAAATAAAAATTGCTCATCCAGGAAATAAAATTCTATTGATTTAATTTTTATTTAAATTTTGTTATGTAAATATTTCTTGCTTTTCTTATGTATTACTCTATTTTGCTAACACCTACTCATAATGTTGAAATTCCCCAAATCCCATAAATGTAAATAAACGATTCAGTCAATATATCATGAAAGTGTTCTTTACGTTTTTCTGAGAAACTCATGAGCTTCCCAGCACTGCGTCTTGACAAGGGATTCAAACTCCTGAGGCAAGAGAGGTAACTCTGCCTTGAGGAGCACTTCTGGGTTTACAAAGCGCAGGTGGCAAAATCTGAAACATGGTAAAACAGCTATCAGATTTTATTCACCTTAATTTGCATATCATAGCCAAGCAAACATAATTCCATTAATACCTAACATGGCCTCGATATCTGGATTAAAGATGCTCTTTTAAATTCTATACAAAATAAAGATGATGCCTTACTCATTAAACCACAAGTTTTGCAACTTTAACATGACTGGATTGGTGATAAACAAATGTTGTTCATTGAATGACTTCCTGGCCATAAAAGTGGTGTGCCATGGAACTGGGGCACGAATTACTCTGTGAAGTTGAAAATAAAACAGAAATTATAAACAGTAAATTAAACAAAAAATATCTCCTGTTTAAGAGAGGTTAACATTCATTTTGCCTTTAAGAGTATTTCATTGGGAGTTTAACAAATGAATTTGCATGAATGTATTAGAAAGAGATATTTTTAAAACCTATATTTGGTACAAAATTAAGAGTCTTACATGTAAACAAAATGTAATGAGACGTTAATATTGTTTTTAATATACCCAGATCCCTTATGTAGCACAACCTTAATGGAACATTCAAAATTCAATATAAATTTTCTGGGACTAACTTTTGTGGAAATGACTTTGGTATCCATTCAATGTGAAGTCTTTTCTTTTCAGATTCTTCTTGTAAAATATAGTCCACTGAAAGAAAAATTGAAGAAAATCCTACTGTATTAAATATAATGGTAAAAATGTATTAATTCACCCTAAAAAAAACAACTTTTTAGCACCATATCAAACAAATGTTCACCAGTGCAAATAAAGTATCAAATTTATTATCATACAGAGAGTAGTAATTGATAGGTGAATGGAATAAAAATATTAACTTTGAAAAATGTGTACAATGTCTTCAGCCTTGTTTTGTAAAATTTAATCTTTATTCTAAATGACAACTGCTTCAATAACAAATAACATTATTGCTTTAAACATTTTTTGCTTGAAATAGCTCAAAATATTTGAATATCAGTATTTTTTCTTTGGTTAGATATTTTAACTTCTTTTTAACGCCACACACAGTTTTGAAAAAATAATAACGAACCTATACTCTTTCTGGCACTCATCTCATAGTCATTGGCTATTTCCAACCTCAAATCATTGCACAGATGTTGTAAGACTTTGGACTGGAGGAGATTTGGTGGTACCATCCTCTCAATGTTTTTTAACTGTTGGCTGGGCTGTGGAGCCAGCATGGTTGGCGCTATGCCTTTCCGTATATAATAATAGTAGCGCTACATCAGAGTATAAATTAATCAGGCTGTGTTATCACACACTAAAATATATAGAAATGTATAAAGTATTTTGGAACACTTTCACTGACATAGACTTAATAAGCGAAGAAGATGACATATTTTAACAAATAAATTAACAAATGTTTTCGGTTACAGAAATATATTTGTTTATTTTTATCTTTTTGATAAGATACTCTTGCATGGGTTCATCATATAGTAATTGTTCTGCCTATTTGCTTTCATTTATTTAGAAGGCTTATATTCCTTACCTATTATTTGAAAGCCCCAGAAAATAAAATTTACTATCTAATATGCATTTTATTACCAAAAGGTTCAACATTAAACTTAGTTATGAAATGTGCAATGGTGAAAACCATTGAGTGGTACAACATTGTAACTCACTTCTAAATCTCTTTCTGTAGGTTCATGTGTATCTTTGGATTGTTCATTTTGTATGGCCATCATGATATCAATTTGCTCTGTTGGGGTCAAAGGTCGACTAGGGGCCTGGCTTGTCAAGCTAGAATCTTGACTGAAATAAAAAAATTATTGTACATTACAGAGTATAATGAGAGAATTTTGAGTAAAACATGCTTCTTTAAAGTAGGGTTTCGCATTATATGCATGTGTACAAAATTTAATGACATAGACTAATACCCATGCAGCAAAATCTTCTTGGCCAAAACATTCTGTGGCCAAGCACACATCATATCTGCGCACAACAGAAGTAATTTAAGTAGCGCCCCTTTGATAGGATATTAGCATAGTTGTATCGGTAAGACCACAGTTTATTTTAAATATTCTAAAATTTTAAAGGATTTTTGTATTTTTATTAAAAATAATTATTTATTATGTTAATTCAAGTCGAATTATTACGGAACAAGATTAAAAGATCGCATTATATTTTGAAATGGCATTGTAGGGCTTTTTCAAACAAAAATGTTATTTATACATAATTTATCAATTTGATAATTTCTTCTTACAACTTAAATGAAATTTTTTTCTTTAATATAGCCTCTGCAATTATGGACATGAAATTATTCTTATAAATAAAGAAGACTTACTCATCAATTCTAAAAAGTTTACTTATGGCCTTGAGCTTCCTGGCACTTGGTAAATGTTCAACTGGAAAAGTACATTATTATCAATCAAAATTTAACACCAGTTTGGATTAGTATTTAAATTTTTAATCAAAAGTAATATTTATTTAACAAAAATATGATGATAAATTTAAGACATTTAAATCAATAGATGCATCCATATTAGTAATAATACCTTGAGATTATTTTTTTTTTAAAGCGCTAATCAGAATTATTATTGTTAAAAAAATGTAACCTTTTAACTGAAAGTTAAAACAAATGAAAATTGTTGTTGAAAATAAATTATTACGTCCGTTAAAATTGGATTTATGCCTTAAGTACACTTTGTGAAAACAAGCATAAATCACAATCTATAAATTAGTATTTACAAGAAAAATAATATTTACAAAAAATATTCCCTTGTACAGAACATAATATTTGCCAAATAGTATGAGCATAAAAAGTTAAACCATTTGTTAATATAATATTATAAGGAGTCAAAGGTTAAACACAAAAGATATAGAACTTAATTGTTACAACAGTCTCAAGATATTATTCTAAGATTGTTAAACAGCATTCTCCCTATTATTAACTAATTATTTATTAATGATTGTATCATTTAAAGTTAGTACAATGATAGCAATTATTTGGAAAAAAAAATTGTGCTTAAGACAGAGAAAAAGAAATTTTTTCCACTAGTGCAAGTCTAAAGAATGAAGCAGTGAAGGAAATTTCGAGATGACATACCACTGATCTCTATGGGAGGTAAATCAAACACTGAAAAAAAGGTAATAAATTATATAATATCTTGTAGACTTTACTGTTAAATGAATTTTCATTAGTATATCCTTTTAAATAAGGCTGAAGTTTAAAAAGCAATTTAATAATAATGAAAATGTCTACAAAATAGAGATACCTTTCGTTTTTCCTCTGTATAGTTTTGGCAAATCTTTCAATTTAAGATTGCTTGCTGTTGGGGTATATACATTTGCAATGGATTCACTTGGGGTTCTGTCAAATTTTTGTTCTTTAAAGGGAGCTGCTAATGTCCATGATGTGCTTTTCATGAGAGGAGGATGCTCACTGTTCCGCAATACAATCTGAAATAATATATTTGAAATACATGAACAAAAAATAACAGTTATTTCATGCAAAAAATAAAACTTACCTCTGTTGTATTTAGATACAGACATTGCAAAACACAACTTGAAAAAAATTACAAATAAATGTCTTGTACTTTCCCACTACATACTGCTTTGAGGGAGAGATACTTTCATACAAAACTTATGAATAACTTTGGTTGGTGGGGGTGGTGGATTGGTGGGAGAACATGGGGGGGGGGGGACTTGCTAATTAAAAATACAATAGTTCAAGATGCTAGAGGTGGTGTTGTCATTTCATGGGATCAACAAATTTGAGTGCGTGTTCAATTCCAGTTCAAGCTTGGCATTTTCAAAGCTTTGAGGGAGAGATACTTTCATACAAAACTTATGAATAACTTTGGTTGGTGGGGGTGGTGGATTGGTGGGAGAACATGGGGGGGGGGGACTTGCTAATTAAAAATACAATAGTTCAAGATGCTAGAGGTGGTGTTGTCATTTCATGGGATCAACAAATTTGAGTGCGTGTTCAAATCCAGGTCAAGCCTGGCATTTTCAACTGAACTCCTATGTATGAGATAAAAAGACTAAATGCACTGAGCATTGATTATCTTAAAGGCAAAGTGAGACAAATTGTACCAAATATTAAACTTAGCATCACCTAAGTGATTCCATTTCCTTATACCCAATTACCCTAGGCCACAGCTGACCAGGGATCCTAAGAAGCAAGGCAGACCATTGGCTACAGATTCTCAAACAGAGCTCATTATTAGCAACATGATGCCATTGATAAACACCTCATTAAAATATGTCAGACTTACTTTGTACAAGTCAGATGGTTCTCTGCTGCCCTCAGCTGGAAGCGGTGGCAGGCCAGGAAGGCCTCTCACCTTACTGCTGCTGTACACAGGCGTTTCACAAAGCTAAAATTGAATAAATGTAAATAGAATATTAATTCTGCAAGGCTCTGAAGAATATAATTTAATATTGAAAAAATAAAAATTATTGATTTCAAGAACAAGACTACAAAGTTATTTTGGAACAAATATTTAAGATCATAGTCTGCAAAAGGAAAAAAAAATTCAGAACTTAGAGGTTGTTTTTTTTAAAGAGTTATTTAAGATTATAAAGAAATGATCATTTGAAATGTGGTATTATTTTCAATAGCTTAAAAAAGAAGATGAAATAGGGTGACAGACTCAAATTTTCCAATTATATCAGCATCAAATAAGTACATGCTAATTATATGACATCTACCTTTTTTGAAGCAATGTTAAGAATATGCTTCCCCAATTAGTAATTTGACTAAATCAAATTTAAATTAAAATAGTCCTATTTAAATAGAGGAACACAATAATCATTTAATAATTAATTAGGTTAATTCTAGTCTATAAAGCTTATTTAAATGGCAAGCTCATGGGGAAACTATCTGCACCTCTGAGGCCTGAACGAGTGTAACATACTAACATATATTATATAAAAAGTTATTCTAATTTATAATTTCTGTTGGTATACACAGTCTTTCCGAAAATATATTGAAAACCGAATTAATTATACAGTATACAGCATAAATTTGGTAGAAAAACATGTCTTATACACAAAACAGTATGCTACATGCATGTTTAAATGATTGAGAGTTTACCTATGGAAATTGCCACCCCCTAATTTTACCTCCAGTGAGCCTGCAGTCAGCTAGACTGCCTAATAAAAGGGGATATATTACGATATAGCTCAAATTCAAATGAATTCATATTTATTAAATAATTTTCATACATTTCATACATTGATTCATTGATACTTCTTTGTACCCAAGTATCAAGCAAGAGAAAATCATGCATACAAAAACCACTGTTATTAATGTATAGAAATTAACTCAGTACTTCATCAACTTAATTTTACTAATGTCCTCCATCATTTTTATGAGTAAAAACAAAAAAAATAAATTAAATAAAATAGTACAATTAAATAGGCCTAATGAAAATAATTATAATTTTTACTGACCTTGGCTCTCTCAAGCGCCATTTCAATGCCTTCAAATTTACCTAAAGATTTAAATATTTACACAACTTTGTTGGTCCTGGTTTAGAAATCACGAATCTAGACAACCAATAGAAATATATAATTATTTTAACCGCTCATACGCTAAAACAATAATGGCAAAAATAAGCGATAATATCAATTGATCCAATTTGTGTAAATTAGTTGACACTGTTTTTCACTGTGGGTTTCTGCTGATAAATTATCAGCAGATGCCAAGGCGAAAATGATAAGAGCCCCTCCATTTTCGCAACAAAATGTAGCACTAGTTGCTAAGCAAGCTATCTCGATCAAAATAGCACTTCCGGATTTGATTTTATATTTAAAGAACTAAGGTTCAATGTAAAAGTGATTAAAAATTTCCCTCTATAAATTTAACCTTTGGAACAATTATTTAACTAAAATTCTTTTCTTGCAGCTTTTTTATTTTTATTAAATAAATTATATTATTTTGCTGAGATAGTAGGGGAAACTACTCTACGTTATTTTAATACGGTTTCCTTGGGGACAGCGTTAGCGAGTGCTCATTACGAAGTTGCTGAACGATAAGTTATCGGGGTTTTAAAAGAATGCTATCGCGAGTGATTATGGTTTAAAATAAATACATTATTTTGAAATATCTAAATTTTGACTGTGATGACTACGAGAGTGCTTTATTTTATTTTAATTATGGACATCATTAGTGTAAGTTGCTTAGTTGTATTAACTTTTAACATTAAGTCATTAAGTTTAAGTTTAACTATGTCACTATGTGGTGGTCTATTTAAAGACTATTATTGTATTAATTATACTATTTAATTTAGACTATTACTATTAGCTTCATTTAAGTTTAAGTTTAAGCCTTTCTCTTAGTAAGTTTTAGCTTAACAAACTGTATATAATTGTCTTTAGTCAATAACATATTTTGATACAAAAGAAAAAGTGATCTAGTATTAGTATAGTCAATAGTCTAAGTCTAAGCATAGTCTAAAATTAACTACTGTCTACTATGACATGATTTCCTTAATTTTATCTACGTTAAATAGGCCTGATATTTTTTCAGGAAAACAGTAATATGAACAAAAAATAATAATTGCCCTTATTATTTAAATTACAAAAAAAATTTTAAATGGCATAAGAGTCATAAGAGTAATAAGGACAAACTCTTCTCCGCTATAGACTATGACATAATTAATTTAATTACTATAAATATGAAAGTATGAATTTGGCCTATTAGTATTATTATTATTGGGGTCTATGCAAAATATTTTAGTTGTTCTGTTTTGCAGAAATATGGACTTACAAATAAATATTTGTTTTAAGTTCCATAGGAAATGTGTATGAGGCAAACTCTGTCTGATGTAAAATACAATAAGATTAAGATAAGAATAATAAGATTCTTTTTATTGATTCAAATAAATTAAAATGTTTTTATAACAATTTGGACAATTTAAAAATTCATTTTCCACAAATATTCTTTCAAAAACAAACATTTTAAAACAAGAACTCTTTAACTCGTGACATCTAAAAGTATGTCTCAAGTGAAAAAATCAACCACTATTAATATACCATGGATTAGGTCTAACTTTTAGTGTTTTCTTTCATTACTTGTTTATTTCATTATTATTTTTTTTACAATTAGTTTAATTAATAGTTCAACTTTTTTACTACCAGATATTTGCATAATACAGAACTAAAAAAGGTTAGAATATGTTGTCAAAAGTATACTGCCTTTTACTTACAAAAAAATACATGTTTTACCTGTTCATTATTTCAATGAAAAGTATGAAAAACCTTTAAACCTTTAAATTCAATAATAAATAAATAAGATTTTTTTTCCTTCCAGGTAGCTTACACTTAATCTTCATGATGTTGGACTTAATACAACATACAGAGTTAGGAGAATTAATGGCTCAATCAAAAGACCCAACAGTTCCACCCAACAATCCATTTGTTTCCCCTTCTAATGTTTTATCTGAAATCATGAAGCATCCATCATCACACAAAGAGGAACATGAATTCAATATTGGCCAGGCCCTAGAGCTAAGATGCAAAAACACACCAACATATACAGCATGTGGGCAATGTCAAACATGCACACTAACCAGCAAAATAAAAGAGTTTAAAGAATGGTTCTTCCGTTTTGGAGATCACTCAAAAAAGCGTTTTATGCTTGGATTACTTCGTCGCATTAGAAGTGTTGATTTGTTAAAAAACTTAATAACGCTATTACAACCTGTAGTTAACAAAGACCAAACCTATGCCAGAGCCAGGACACATCCAAGCTTAAAAACAGATGTGGCGACCATTAGTTCCGACCGTGCCATGAATTCAAATCAAGTTGAGCAGGTTACAATCAGTACATGGGAATGGTTTTCTCATGCAACTTATTGGACTAAAATGAACTTTGCCCTCAATTTGCTTCAGAAATGTGATGCTCATCTAATTTATGAATTGTACATGCAAGCCCGAACATTGTTAGCCTCTGAGATTAAAGCTGAAGAGACTTTGAAAGGTAAGCAATCCATTTAATAACAATATCAATTTTAAAAAAGAGCATTAATTTTGGACCGGGGTGAAGAGAGGGGGGGGGGGGGAGGGGAAGGGGGAAACCCTTAGATCAAGTCTACTTAAAGCTGAAGAAATTTGTAAAAAGGGAAATTTGTTCATTTAATTTGTAAAAAGTAATAAAACTGTTTTAACAATGTTTATTCAGAAGTTGACCCTTATGAAGCAGCGTCCATCAAGTCCACAGAATATTCTTATCATTCGTTTGAACACCCCGAGCTAGAACTTTTATCAAGGACTCGGTCAGTGTACACTCCTGTTGTAGTGAATCCTTTCACAGGAGAAACAATGACAAGGAAAAAACAGAACTCAGTGTCTGAGACAACCTCCTATGAGATGACCTTAGAGGACCAGCCGTCCTGTAATGTGGATCCTTTACTGCTCGTGATCCCCACCTCAGCTAAAGCCTATGCTGGTGTTTCGCAGCACAAAGATTTCATCCGCTGTTTGCCAGTGCACTTGGCTAAGATGATATTGAGCATGTTGGACATGGTTTCACTTTACAACGCTTTGTGTGTCAGTCCCAACTGGCGTAAGCTTGCTGATGAGGTCAAGTCTGAAATTGGTGTCAATCAACAGCTGCGTGAGGAGGTGATGCTCATGCAGGTATGTGTTTAACATAGACCTGTAGTCAGAATAAACATAGTGTTGAAAATAAATTTGTTGTTGACAGCTCATTTAGTTGACATTAATTTAGAGTTGGTATTTATAGTTGGTCAATACCATTGATGTTGACACAGATGGCTACATGATATATGTTCAATCTTTCACCTTCAAAATTAACTCAAATTTAAGAGATAAGAATAAACATCTTTGGATTAGAAATAGCAGTTTAAATGACAATGTTTTCTTTAGCATCAATAGCACCATGTGCCTGGAAAGAATAAAACATGATTTTTCCCTGTCACAAATCCCCCCCCCCCCCCCACACACACACACACATTAACCCATTACCAGTCAGCAATTTTTTTATTTACTCTATGTGAACATGGTAATAAAGTAGCTCTGGATAATTATCAATGTAATTAATAAATCTAAATTGACCATTGGGTTGGTCGTGGTCTACTGCAATAACAACTTCTGAAAATTCACAACCTGTGGTACACCTGGCTGTCATTGTGATACAATTGGCTGTTCTGTGGTACACCTGGCTGTCATTGTGATACAATTGGCTGTTCTGTGGTACACCTGGCTGTCCTGTGGTACAACTGACTGTCCTGTGGTACACCTGGCTTTCATGTGGTACAACTGGCTGTTCTGTGGTACAACTGGCTGTCATGTAGTACAACTGGCTGTTCTGTGGCACAACTGGCTGTCAGTGGTACAACTGGCTGTCCTGTGGTACAACTGGCTGTCCTGTGGTACAATTGGCTGTCCTGTGGTACAACTGGCTGTCATGTAGTACAACTGGCTGTCATGTGGTACAACTGGCTGTCCTGTGGTACAACTGGCTGTCCTGTGGTACAACTGGATATCCTGTGGTACAACTGGCTGTCATGTGGTACAACTGGCTGTCATGTAGTACAACTGGCTGTCATGTGGTACAACTGGCTGTCCTGTGGTACAACTGGCTGTCCTGTGGTACAACTGGATGTACTGTGGTACAACTGGCTGTCCTGTGGTACAACTGGCTGTTGTTTGAGAGATATTTTATGTCCCTCCTATCCCAAGAGCCGGGTTGTCCAACTGGCAACATAAGACACATGTAATCCTATGCTGTCCAAATTGCAAGTCATGAGACGACACATGCTGCCCTATGAGACATATGCTCCATAGATTTCTCTCATGCCACTGTAGGTTTTCATGTCTTTCTTGTCTGCAAAGCTCTGAATCTCATCAGCTTTTGCACTCAGCCAGGTGTCTTGAGTCTGGCGCAGTTGCAACTGGATCTTGCTGCGGATGCTCCTCAGTGCAGCTGTCTTTGCTGTTGACATTGGGTCATCATGGAGGGTCTTATACGTCCGATGTTTTTGCTCAAGTAGCATTTGGATTGCACAGTTGTTTCATCAAACCAATCCCTGTGTTACCGGTTACCTGAAATTTGATCTAAAGAAATTTCGTCGACAATAAATTGATCGACGGTAATTTGATGAAACGGAAATTTGGTTAAATCTTTTTTTTCAGTTCACGTGTTAAAATTTTCGTCAGATTTCTTTTTGAAAGCTCTATACTATATAGTAAAACAAAATAATGTGTTCAAAAAAAATTTGAAGCAAAATTTTAACGGAAAATCTGAAAAAAAGGTTTGACAAAATTTCATTTCGATCAAATTACTGTTGATCAATTTACCGTCGACGAAATTTCTTTCAATCAAATTTCCGGATACATGTGTTTCCTGGTAGAGGGTCTAAGGCGCTCAGCGGCTGTGTATTGAGTACCTTTATTTGTACAGTTATGTGTACTTTTATGTGTACAATCTTTGTACCTTTATGTATACATTTATGTGTTCATTTATGAACAAATTAAAAGCCAAATTTATCTCCAATGATCAATGCTGAAGCCTGAAGCCATGGCTGTCATGACTGTGTTAACCATTTACAGAAGTTCAAAATAGATCTCTTGTTCTTTACTGCCCTTGTAACCATAGATCTTTTGTTGTTCATTGCCCTTGTAACAATAAAGCTCTTCGTGGTTCCTGTGTCCTATATAAAAAAAATCTGCCAAAAAACAAGAGAATAAATCTGCCATGAAGTCTGCTACCCACATAAACA